CTACAGTAGTTATGAATTGTCAAAGTCAGTCGGGTTTGAATCCGCTTGGGTGCAAGTGACAAAAATGAGGCTGTAAAGAAAGTTTTTGCAAATTTTTATAAATTTAAAAATATTATATGCCTTATCATGGATAAAGCTACTTTGTAACAAATTTTTGAAAAATTACAGTAAGAACTACAGTAGCTATGAACTGTCAAACTCAGCCGGGTTCGGATCCGCTTGGGTGCAAATGACAAAAATTGAGTTGTAACAAAAGTTTTTGCTTTTAAAATTTTTTGGTTTTTTAAAATGATTGTGCATGTTTTTGTTCTTTTATTATTCAAACAACGGACATTTATTACTTTTTATTATTTTTTTATTTGTTTACTGTGAGCGTTTGTCGTGGTAATAAGATTAATTATTAAAATAACAAAAACTTTCTTTATAGCTCTTTGTATCAACTTTTTTTTATTTTTCATTTGTCAAAAATTTCTTTTCCAAAACTCATTTTTTGAGAAACTGCAAAAACTTTCTTTACAAAACCGTTTTTTAAAAAAACAGAAAGAACTTTGTTTCCAGAGTAAAAGCACGCGTAAGAGTAAATTCATCGTATAAAATGTCGCTCGCAGCCTGCAAACCGTAAAAAATTTGGGAATTAGCTAATTTTTTAAAATTCACAAGAACTTTCTTTCCAAAACTCATTTTTCGAAAAACCGCAAGGACTTTCTTTCCAAAGCTTATTTTTTACAAAACCGCAAGAACTTTCTTTCCAAATCTCATGTTTCAAAAAAAACGCAAGAACTTTCTTTCCAAACTTATTTTTTTGAAAAAACCGCAAAAACTTTCTTTCCAAAACTATTATTTTTTCTTTTATGCAAAAACTTTGTTTCCACTTGTTTTTCCTCCCCTAATCAAAATATTTTTTTTGCAAAAACAGTGACAATTGTGGCATAACGAGTTCATAAATTGTCGTGTGACGAGGGGAAAAAACAAAATGACCTAAGGGCATGAGTGCCGGCCAGAGAATGTTTATTCTTCTTGCCACTTCGAGTACGTGTTTATCATAATTCCCGATCTTTGCAGAGTACGTTGTTCGAAACAGTACGGAACGTTGGGTTTTCTTTTTTTTAAAGGGTTCATAAAAGAATGGCATTAAATTTTAAAGTAGTGTAGGGTGAGATTTGGCTGGGGTGAGGGTTGGGTAGGGTGAGGGTTGGGTAGGGTGAGATTTGCGTAGGACAGGGTAACATTTGGGCGGGGTAAGGTTTGGGTAGGGCAAAACTTGGGGTGGATAGGATGTGGGTAAGGTAAAATTAGGGTATCTTATTTATTTTTATTGCTTTGCAGACTGCGGGTGACAAGTTATGCGGATTCTCTAATAGGACAGAACTGAGCAGGATAGGGCTGGGTAAGGTAGAGTAGGGTAGATTAGAGTAAGGTAGGGTTGGGTAGGATAAGGTAAGGCAGGGTAATATAGGCTAGAGTAGGATAAGATAGGGTAGGTTAGGGTAGGGTAGGGTAGGGTAGGGTAGGGTAGGGTAGGGTAGGGTAGGGTAGGGTAAGGCAAGGTTGAGTAATGCAAAGTAGGGAGGGCTTGAGCTAAAAATAACTTTTGGAAACAAAGTTCTTGCGTTTTTCTGACTTTTTTTTATTTTTGCAAAACTAACATTAAATTACTATCACAAACTACAACCCATAATTACTATAAGGATATACGTCAATCATGTGTAATGTAGTATAATTAGCTGGTAGTTTCCATTAGAGAACGCATCATTTTGGTCGTAATTAATAACTTTTTGAACAAAAAAGTAATGAAGAGACCATTTTGAGATTAAAAAATACTTTTTTACCATTAGTGATATTATCATTAACAGGTCATTTTGATAGGTAGCTGCGTGGGTTTTTTTGGGTTGTAAGGAAAGTTCTTGCTACATTTTTCGAAAAATGGGAAATTGTAAAGAAAGTTACCGCAATCTAAATAAAACATTGCAAATCAGTCTGAATTTAAGGACAAATTCGTTATAAAGAAAGTTTTTGCATTTTTTTTTCAAACTTGTGTGATATAACATTTATCGATTGATGTTTTAGCTAAGTTATTATAAAATTTCAAAGCATTACAATAAGAAAAACAGTAGTTATGACTTTTCAAAGTCAGCTGGTTTTGAATCCGTTTAGGTGCAATAGACAAATATCGAGGCTGTAAAGAAAGTTTTTGCGGTTTTATAAAATTATCGTTTAGACTATAAGCTTTGGCATAGTCTGTTTTTTATTACTGTTGATTTTGATAAATTTACAGTAGGAACTACAGTAGTTATGAATTATTAAACCCAGCCGGGTTCGAATCCGCTTGGGTGCAAGTGACAAAAATTGAGTTGTAGAAAGTTTTTGCATTTCTTTTAAAAATGGAGTTGATGGCAATGCTTTAGCAGGGTCTTAGCTTTGTTTCCACAAAATATCAAAAAATTACAGTAAGAACTCTAGTAGTTATGAATTTCCAAAGTCAGCCGGGTTCGAATTCGTTTGGGTGCAAGGGACAAAAATGGAGCTGTAAAGGAAGTTTTTCTTTGTTTTTAATATGAACAATACTGCTGTGGTTTGAAAAACTTTCGTAGAAAGGACCTACAGTAATTTTCAAAGTATTATTAATGTAAAGAAAGTTTTTATAGCTTGTTTTCAAAGCATTAGGTAGCTTTTTTTGGGACGTTGTTTAGCTTTATATACCATTTTTCACCTTTTAATATGTTATGATCTCTTATCAAAATTACAGTATCCAAACCTCTTAAAATTGTTCAAAGAAACGAGTTGATGACAAACAAGGATGTCATAATTAATATCCGCAACGAAAACGCATTTTTCGAATTTTTTGAATTGTGGTTTCCTTCGCCGAATTTGTATTTTATGCTTTCAAAGATTAGAAATCGTGGTCAAAAAGGGTTTACATCTTCTCGTTTGTAGCCTGTAAGGATAGGGTAGGTTGAATTATCTCTGGGGCTACGTCCTTTATAGAGAAAGGTTTTTGAGTAAAAATTTTTTTAATTTGAGCATGGGACTGGGGCCAAGGAGTGAGAACGAAAGGGTAGAAAGGTTAACCTTGCGCCAATACTTTTACTTATGAAAAATATAATGTTGTAAAAGAAGTTTTTACAAATTTTAAAAAATTTGAAATGATGTTTAGGGTTTGACATTGTTTTAACTTTATTGTCACAAAATTTAGAGAAGTTACAGCATGAAGTACAATCGTTATAGGGCAATAACGTTTATCACGTAATAAGGGGGAAAAGCGTGAAAAACCTTTCTGTAAACAAAGTTTTTGCAAGTCTTTTAAATTTCTTTATTTTTAATACGTTTTAGCATAGATACGACTACTTTGTGACAAATTTTCATAAAAATACAGTAAGAATTACGGTAGTTATGATTTTTTAAAGCCAAGCAATTCTGAGCCGTTTGATTGCAATTGACAAAAATTGAGCTGTAAAGAAAGTATTTGCTTTTTTTTAAATTAAAAAGGGCGTTTTTAGTTTGGCATGGCTTTAGCTTTATTGACAGTAAATTTCAAAAAATTACAGCATGAATTACAGTAGTTATAAAGCTATAAAGTTTGTCGCGTGATATGGGTAAAAAAGTGTGAAAAACAAAGCTGTAAAGAAAGTTTTTGCACATTTTGAACACTTTTGTTTTACATTATGATTTGTTATAGTTTTGTCTATATTACATTATATTGCTAGGCCACTACAGTAAGATATACGGTAGTTACAGATTAATAAGGGCAATTTATCCTAATGAACCTTCTAGACTCAGACTTGTTTTGGTTTTGGCTATGTTACATTTGCTATGATATGTTTTGAAGACGAAATGTAAAAGTGTTGTAATCCGAGTATTAAGTAGCACAGAACAGGTTCGCCCGTGGCAATTAAGTCCGTATTTGAAATGAGGGCATTTGTCATGTTTATAAAGATTTTCAGGACATTAAAAATTTATTACAGGATTTGTTTACATTGCCATTTTGAAATAAAAAAATTTTTTTTGAGCGTTTGCCTTGTCTTGCCTTGCCTTTCCTTGCCTTGCCTTGCCTTGCCTTGCCTTGCCTTGCCTTGCATTGCCTTGCATTGCCTTGCCTTGCCTTGCCTTGCCTTGCCTTGCCTTGCCTTGCCTTGCCTTGCCTTGCCTTGCCTTGCCTTGCCTTGCCTTGCCTTGCCTTGCCTTGCCTTGCCTTGCCTTGCCTTGCCTTGCCTTTCCTTTCCTTTCCTTGCCTTGCCTTGCCTTGCCCTGCCTTGCCTTGCCTTGCCCTGCCTTGCCTTGCCTTGCCTTAGCTTTAGTTTTAGCCTTGTCTTATCTAGCCCCCTAATCCTCTAGCCCCTAGCCCTTTAGCCCCCTAATCCTCTAGCCCCTAGCCCTTTAGCCCCCTAGCCCCCCCCTAGCCCCCTAGCCCCCTAGCCCCCTAGCCCCCCTAGCCCCCTAGCCCCCTAGCCCCCTAGCCCCCTAGCCCCCCTAGCCTCCCTAGCCCCCTAGCCCCCTAGCCCCCTAGCCCCCTAGCCTTCTAGCCCCCTAGCCCCCTAGCTTTCTTGCTCCCTAGCTTCCTAGCGCCCTAGCCCTCTAGCCTCCTAGCCTCCTAGCTTCCTAGCCTCCTAGCCCCTAGGCCCTGATCCTAAACCTGACTCTAGCCCTGGCCGTTGCCTTGTTTTGCTCTACTCTAGCCTTGCTTAGCCTTGCATAGCCCTGGCTTTACTCGTAGTCGTAGCTCCAGTCCTAGCTCTAACAGTAGCCTTATCTTGTCCAGGTTTGCTTAAGTTAGCCTTGCCTAGCATCAAGTACTTGTGTCTAGCATTGCTTAGATTAGCCTAGCCTAGCCTATCATTGTTTATCTTTGCCTTGCATTTTCTGGGTCCTAAAACTAGCCTCAGGTTGTAGCTTTCTTTTCTATTTTTAAAAACCTTTACCGTGCTTATTACAATATCAAAAAACTATTTCAGAAATCGTATTTTACAAAACCTGATTTCAGGCCCAATCCTAATGAAAACCCGATGAGCAACGCCACTCTCGACACAGCATCGCTTGTATACGACGATGAAGAGGAAGAAGAGTTCATTGAGGATGCCTCATTGTTACTGTACCTTCGGTTCTACGCCCGCCACTTCATACCCATCTTTTGTATGGTCGGGATCCTGGGCAATTGCATGGCGTTAATGCTGATTCGGTAGGTTGAGGGGGGGGGGTGGAAGATTAGGAGGATGGTAGGAGGCAGGGGTAAAAGATAGATATGTTTTAGAGAATAGAACAGGGTGGGGTAGACATTAAATGTGCTTTTGAGGGATACAAAAGTTAAAAAAGGTTGGGCATGGGAAAAATGAGTAGCTCAGAAAACTTTTTATAAAGAAACGACGGGAAGAAGGGGTGTAAAAATAATTTTCGTTTACTATTTGTAGGGTAGGGCAGACCAAAATACGGCAGGGTAGGTTTAAACAGGGTAAACCTAGGGGAGGGTAGAGTAAAACAGGTTAGGCCAGATCAATGCAGGGCAGGGTAGCATAGAACAGGAGAGACGAAGATATGGTACGGTAGCGTAAAGCAGGATAGGATCCCGTAAAGCTTGGTAGAGCACGGTAGAATAGAGTAGGGTAGAGTAGGGTAGGGTAGGGTAGGGTAGGGTAGGGTAGGGTAGGGTAGGGTAGGGTAGGGTAGGGTAGGGTAGGGTAGGGTAGGGTAGGGTAGGGTAGGTAGGGTAGGGTACGATAAAAACTTTAAAATTTTCGTTTCAGGACAAATTACTGGTTAAAGCGCCTCACCTCCAATATATACCTCTGCACCTTGTCGATATGTGGTTGTATGTTTTTATCGACCGTTCTCATCACCTGGCTCGACACCACTTTTGGGTTTCCATTGTATTCGGATTCGGAATTTGGCTGTAAAATGTTCACGTTCATGGCACATTCGTGTGATTTCATTTGTGTTTGGATGATCAGTTGGGTGTCGTGTGACAGAGCTATAGTACTGTTTCGGTAGGTTTGATATTTGTTTTACAGCTTTTTACTAAGCCCAAGCTCCATTACCTTATAGGTACACTTTTTTTATACTGAATAATAATCCTACTAAGCCTAAGCCTACTAAGCATAAGCTTATTAAGTATAGGCAGATTAAGCCTAAGTCTGCTAAGCCTACTAAGCCTAATCCTACAAGGTCTAAGTCTACGAAGCTTAAGACTACCAAGTTTAAGCTTATTAACCTTACGAAGCGTAAGCCTGCTAAGCCTAAGCCTACTAAGCCTAAGCCTACTAAGCCTAAGCCTACTAAGCCTAAGTCTACTAATTCTAAGACATTTTAGCATAAGTCTGTTAAACCTAGCTCTACTAACCCAAAGTCTACTAAACCATAGCCTACAGAGTTGTATAAGACTAAGCCTACTAAGCTTAAGCCTACTAAACTTCAACTTAACTTACTTTTACTAAGCCTTATTCTAAGCCTATAAGCTTAAACCTAACCTGGTTAAGCTTAATCTAGCTTATAGAGCCTGAAATTAAGTCTGCTAAGCCTAACTCGCTAAGCCAATCCTAATAAGGATAAACATAAACTTTAATCTACTAATTTAGGCCAGGGATTAGAAAAAGAGTATGCTCAAAAACCTTTGCTCGACATTTAGTCATCTGTACGGTACTATTCGGTGGTACTCTTTATGGCTGGTGCTTGGTCTTCGCTGGCCTGGAGCCATCTGTTAATGGTGCCACTTACTGTGGTCTAAACTCGGATATCCAAGTAGCTGATTACAACCTCAGAGAACTTCACATCTTCTTCTCGTTCTTGGACACCATATTGTGCACCATTGTACCATCTTTGTTGATAGTCATCGTTAACAGTTTGAGCATTTGGAGGTATCGACAATGCATGAAACACTACTCGGGTGGAGTACTACGGGTACGATTCCTCGTGGATGGGAAGGTGCACCACTCGGTAAGTTTAAAGAAAATGGTAAGAACTTTCTTTACAAAACCAAAAATGGCAAAAATTTTCTTTACAAAACAAAAAGTGGCAGAAACTTTCTTTACAGAGCAAAAAATGGCAAAAACTTTGTTTACAAAACAAAAAATGACAAAAACTTTCTTTACAAAATAAAAACTGGCAAGAACTTTCTTTACAAAACATAAAATGGCAAGAATTTTCTTTACAGTTTAAAAAATAGCAAGAATTTTCTTTACAAAACATAAAATGGCAAGAACTTTCTTTACAAAACATAAAATGGCAAGAACTTTCTTTACAAAGCAGAAAATGGCAAGAACTTTCTTTACAAAGCAGAAAATGGCAAGAACTTTGTTTACAGAATAAAAAATAGCATTTATCGTATAAATTGTTGGCCGCAGACTGCGCAGTACCTAATTTGTCTTTTTTAAGTGTAAATGGCAATAACTTTCTTTACAAAACAAAAAATGGCAAGTACTTTCTTTACAGACCAAAAAAACCAAATTATCGTATAACTTGTCACTCGCAGGCTGCTCAATAATCTAACTCTTTCAGACTCACCTCGAAGACCTGACAAACCCAAAACATCGTCTAATACGTCACCAGGAGAGTGAACTGTCATTAACTAACCAACTGTCAACTCAAAGCCAAAAATCTCAATATGGCAGCCGGCTGCGCTCATCTGATTTGACCCTCAGCCGGTCTTTACTTATTGTTACGAGGTAGGTCTATTTTATAAAAATAGCATTTATTAGGGCTACGTTACAGTATACTTGACTGAAAAATATACAATATTATACTCAAGACTTGGGTAAAGCATACTGTAGCAACGGTTTTTTGAAAACTGCAAAAACTTTGTTTACAGACGTTTTTTTAAATGTTTCTTTGGAAAGTTTGGTACAACTGACATTATGCGGCATAACTACGGTGGTTCTCACTGTTTTTTTCTAAAAGTTTAGCATAGTTCAGTCAAGACTCTGTGGAGTCTTACTGTAATTAGAGTTTTTATAAACAAGAGCAAAAACTTTGTTTACAGAGGATTTTTAAACTTTCAATTGTTTTTTTTTGAGTAGCTTGTAACAACTGACATTTTACTTTATATTTACTGTATTTCTTACTAAATTTCTTCAAAATTTTGGTTCAATAGGGCCAAGACTATGCGAAGTCATACTGTAACAACAGTTTTTGAAAAAAGTGAAAAAACTTTGTTTACAAGGCCTTTTTTAAATTGTGATTTTTTTGCTAAAAAAGTTTTGCTACAACTGACATTTTTACCGCATAACTACAGTATCTCTTACTGTATTTTTTCTAAATTTCAGCAAAATTGGGTCAAAACTATGTGAAGTCATACTGTAACAACAGTTTTTTGAAAATAAGTGCAAAAACTTTGTTTACGAGGCCCTTTTTTTACTTGAAATTTATTGCAGAAAAAATTTTGGTACGACTGACATTTTTTCTTTATAACTACTGTAGTTTTTACTGTATTTTAGAGAGAATTTAAGAAAACATTGCCAAGTCTATACCAAATCATACTGTAACAAAAAATTTTATAATTAGTTACAAAAACTTTGTTTACAAACCTAATATTTGGTTTATTTTCAGTACATTTGTATTGCTCAATGTGCCAAACTACGCGTTTCGACTGTATGAGGCCGTGTTCAACGTGGAACAGTCAGCTTTGTGGCAGTTCTTGTTCTTCACTACTTATTTGTTATACTACTTACATCATGCTGTGCTCTTTTACATGTACATCTTCTGGAGGTAAGAGTTGGGTGGGGTGATTTAAAATGTTTTAGGGTGGGGTAGAGACTAACATCTTAAAGTAGAGTACTGCAGAGTAGAGTATTGTAGGGTAGAGTTGGGTACTGTAAAATAGCTTAAGGTACTCTATGGTAGAATAGGGTACTGTAGTATAGAGTTGGGTAGGGCAGGGTAGGGTAAGGTAGGGTAGGGCAGGGCAGGGTTGGATAGGGTATAAAATTTAATTTTCAAAAACTTTACTGTACAGTAACTTATCGTATTTTAGTCCCCAAATGAAGAAGCAGCTCCGACCGACCGCCTTAAAACTTCTGGAGTGCTATTGCTTTAAGACTGTGCCTGACTTTGGTCATGGATCAGATGAATCTGATGACGAAAAAGAAAAGGAGAAAGATAAGAAGGATAAAGAGAAAGAAAAGGATAAAACAAAAGACAAAGAGAAGGATAATAACAACAAGAAAGAAGAGAAAGTTGAGAAGAAATGAAACTACTTGTATATACATGAATCGCCTATACCTATACGTCGTATATTTATGATATTGCCAAATAAAATTGCTCATAACTACACTAATATTGACCTACCCTACCCTAGGTTACCCTACCCTACCCAACGCCACCTTACCCTAACCTACCCTGCCCTACCCTACCCTACGCGACTTTTTTTGCCCTACCCTGCCTTTTCTTTTCCTTTCCTGCCCTACTCTACCCTATCCTATTGACCTACCTTACCCTACCGTATCTTATGCTGCCTGTCTGTTCGGCCCTTTTCTACCCTGCCTTTTCCATGTCCTGCCCTACCCTATCACTTTTATGTCCCTACCCCACCATAAACAAAACTATTCTTCAATATATTTATCATTATATGTTACAGTAACCTTAATACATACAAATCTAATCTTTGATGGCAGCAATGTTCGGTCGTCGATTGATGTAGTCCAGGAACTCCATATCCAGCTCTTTAACGTAAAAGTACATATCAGCTGTGTCATTTCGAACTTCGAAGCGCACGAAACCACCGTAACCGTAGCCCAGTTCTGGAGCGTGCAAAATCCGCTTCCATAAAGGTTCGTCCTGGTCTCGGGGGTAGCTGGAAAGAAAGTTCTTGCGGTTTTTTGAAAAATATGTTTTGGAAAGAAAGTCCTTGCGGTTTTAAAAAAAAATGCGTTTTGGAAAGAAAGTTCTTGCGGTTTTTCGAAAAATGAGTTTTGGAAAGAAAGTTATTGCGGTTTTTCGAAAAATGGGTTTTGGAAAGAAAGTTCTTGCGGTTTTTTTGAAAAATATGTTTTGGAAAGAAAGTTCTTGCGGTTTTTTTTGAAAAATATTTTTTGGAAAGAAAGTTCTTGCGGTTTTTTTTTGAAAAATATTTTTTGGAAAGTAAGTTTTTGCGGCTTATAGGAAAATGCGTTTTGGAAAGAAAGTTCTTGCGGTTTTTTTGAAAAATATGCTTTGGAAAGAAAGTTCTTGCGGTTTTTTCAAAGACTTACTGATAAATTGGCTCAGCTGGATTGGAGCCCCAGTTTTCGGTACTAAAATCTGTCCTAGAACCAGCACCACTTATCAGGTAGTGCATGGTACTGACATCACTCTTGTAGTAGTTGGGTCGGCCTAGGAAGACCTCATGATCCTTCTTTGAGGTCGTTTGGCTCACCCCATAAGTTCTGGCAGTTGATTGACTGGACGTGTTGTCTACTCGGAAAAACTAGAATTTAAAACTTTACAGCTAAGCTACGGCTATAGCTAGAACTAAGGTTGTGGGCTAGGGTCCTGGACTAGGGCTCTGGACTAAAGATCTGGGCTAGGGCTTTAGCCTGGGGCTTCGGACTAACTCTGTGAACTAAAGTTCTGGATTAGAGCTTTGGACTAGAACTATTGACTAAGGCTCTAGACTAAAGCTAAGGCCCTGGATTAGGACTATGGACTGGGGCTTTGGACTAGGGCTCTGAACTAAAGCCGTGTGCTAAAACTTCGGACTAGGGCTCTGGGCTAGGGCTCTGGGCTCTGGGCTCTGGGCTAAGGCTCTGGGCTAGAGCTCTGGGCTAGGGCTCTGGACTAGAGCTCTGGGCTAGGGCTCTGGGCTAGGGCTCTGGGCTAGAGCTCTGGGCTAGGGCTCTGGGCTTGGGCTCTGTGTTAGGACTAGGGCTAGAATACTTACCTGTATTGTATGATCATGACCAGCAAAGTATGCACTGACATGATACTTCCTTAGCAGTGGATCTAACTTATCGATCAGGCATTTAGCTGGACCGTGAGATGAGATTGAGTAGATTGGGTAATGGCCTACTACAAACAGGTAGTCCGCTCTGAAAATGTCATTTTTAGTACTTCACCCTACCCTACCCTACCCTACCCTACCCTACCCTACCCTACCCTACCCTACCCTACCCTACCCTACCCTACCCTACCCTATCCTACCCTACCCTACCCTACCCTACCCTACCCTACCCTACTCTACTCTACCCTACCCTACCCTACCCTACACCCTACAGTAATCCTACCGTGAGCTACCCAGCTGTTCCTCAATCCATTTCCACTGTGCCACGGCTTCTGTAGCCCATTCCGGATCCGGTTTATTCGGAATCTTCTTCCGATGCATGATCCACGAGAACAATGACCTGCCGTTCACATCAATACAATTACCACACAGTACTATTGTGTCAATGAATAGTATGTCAACAGTACGAGTACCATCCGCAAATGAGTACGAGGCTTTGTAATATAGCTTTGGATAGGTCCTGGAAGGTAAAATACGTAATTTGAGGTAATGCGTATTAAAATTTCAAAATTTTAATAAAATTTTAAAAATTTTAAAAAGTTTCAAAAAAAATTTTTTTTCAAAAATTCTTAAAGAACATTAAAAATAGTTTTCAAAGTCATAGTAATACCATTTAGTTGAGTATTTGGTATACTCAATTTGAGCAGATATATTACCAAGGTGGTCATGATTACCAGCTATCATATACCATGGTACATCTAATCGTGGATCTGCGTATGGCTCTTCGAACACTGTCTAAATATGACATTTTTAAAAATATATTTATTAATTTTACCTATTTTTGTTAAAGTATACATCAGTTTTGTCATTATAAAGGATTAGGGCAGTTAAAAATAAATGGCCCGGGTTCAAATCCGCTTAGATGCAAAAGACAAAAAAACGTTGTAAACAAAGTTCTTGCGCAAAATTTTAAAATTCAATTGGAACGCATTAAAGTGTATGCTATAAGCTACATTTTTACGAATTTTTAAAAATTTACAAATAGAACTACAGTAGTTATGACGCTTCGAACTCAGCGGGATTTGTATTCACTTACTGTTAGGTGCAAAGAACAAAAATTAAAGTTGTAAAGAAAGTTTTTGCATTTATTATAAAAATAAAAACTATGATAACGCTTCAGCATTATTTAATCTATAATTTCCCAAAGTTTCAAAACACTACAGTAAGAAACACCGTAGTTATGCAGGTTCAAAGTCAGCGGGTTTGAAACCGCTTGGGTGCAAGTTGACAAAATGAGGATGTAAAGAAAGTTTTTGCAAATTTCTAAAGTTTTTAATGAATTATAAGCCTTGCTGTAGATAAAGCTACTTTGTGACACTTTTTTTGCAAAATTACAGTAAGAACCACAGTATTTATAAATTGTCCGAGTCAGCCAGGTTCGAATCCGCTTGGATGCGAAATACAAAAAAAAGCTGTAAAGAAAGTTATTGCGGTTTTATAAAAACTTTAGTTAAACAATTACATTTCGCATAGTCTGATAAATATTACAGTAAGTTTTTATGAAGTTACTGTAAGAACTACAGTAGTTATGAATTGTCAAAGTCAGCCGGGTTCGAGTCCGTTTGGGTGCAAATAGCAAAAATAAAGTTGTAAAGAAAGTTTTTGCTATTTTTAAAAGTCGATAAGTTTTTTCAATATTAACTTACATCAAACCTTGAGTCAAACACAGTTTCAGCTCCATTGAAGTAGACATTGTCGCCCACATTGATGATAAAGTCTGGTTTTTGGCGGCCAGCCAAGTCCGCCATAGAGTCTGCCAACCGTTGCTGAGCCTCTGTTGCCTTTATAAAGTTGAGGTAGTTTGATGTTACGTCAAATGAGATTCCTAAAATTAATGTTTTTAAAGTTTATGTGGCTTGTAAAGAAAGTTCTTGCCATTTTTTGTTTTGTAAAGAAAGTTATTGCCGTTTTATGCTTTGTAAAGAAAGTTCTTGTCATCTTATGCATTGTAAAGAAAGTTATTGCCATTTTACGCTTTGTAAAGATAGTTCTTTCCATTTTTTGCGTTGTAAAGAAAGTTATTGCCATTTTTTGTTCTGTAAAGAAAGTTATTGCAATTTTATGGTTTGAAAAGTAAGTTCTTGCCATTTTTGCTTTGTAAAGAAAATTCTTGTCATTTTTTGTTTTGTAAAGAAAGTTATTGCGGTTTCCCCAACAATTTTCCAAAAAACAGTTGTAAAGAAAGTTTCTTCTTACCTCCAGTATCTCCAAGCACAAAGAAATCGAGATGATCCTTATTGACACGACATACATTACCATTCGTACAAGCTAATCGGTCTTGTAATGAAACACCGTTTACTGTAGATACTGTAACATTGAATAACCATAATATTAACCAGCCTATTCTTTTATATGTCATTTGTGCTGAAATTTCAATTTAATTAGGGTATAAGCTTAAAAATTGACCAAAAATGTAAAATACGACGATCAAAAAATTTTTGAAATTTGGCGCGAAAATTAAAATTCAAAAAAAATAAAAATTTAAATTGAAAAAAATTAAAAACACGGCCAAGGATAATAAAAAATAGTTTAAAAGCGTTATTTCAATTTGAAATTTTACGTAAAAAGTTGAAAAAAATATTCGAATTCTTATCTTACCCATCTACGAAATATGAACATGAAGAAGAGTTCTTATGGCGAAATTCGTCTTCCCTCACCCTCCCCAACCCACTCAAAAAAAATTCTTCTACTTCATGCCAATTAAAAAAATTTAAATTTAGGTAAAGTTTCAATGCAAAAAATGGCAAAAACTTTCTTTAAAGAGCATCAAATGGCTAGGACTTTCTTTACAAATTCAAACTGACAATAACTTTCTTTACAGAACAGAAAATAGCAAAAACTTCCTTTACAAGGTTTGAAATAGAAAGAACTTTCTTTACAGAACAGAAAATGACTATAACTTTCTTTACAACGCTAAAACCGGCTACCTTTAACACTGATCGTCTAACATGTCACCCGCAGAATGCACAAAAAAAAGTTAGTAAAAAATAGCAAGAACTTTCTTTACAAAGCAAAAAATGGCAAAAACTTTCTTTACAGATCAAAAAATGGCAATAACTTTCTTTACAAAGCCAGAAATGGCAAAAACTGTCTTTACAGATCATAAAATGGCAATAACTTTTCTTACAGACTAAAATTACCCACCCGCCACTAATTATGTCATAATAACTACTATAATAATACCAAATGATCTTTTTCTTTGACTTTTTCATCTATTTATCAAAGCTTTTTATAAACAAATCTCTGTTTATCAACAATTGATAATAGACGGAGAAATATGAAAGTACACAAGTTAATCACACGAGTAAATACGTAGAGATAAGTGAGTCATATTGGGAAAGTATTAATGGTCAAAGCTTGTGAATAACAATTCAACGCCTTTTTTGTGGAAAAATGAGTGTTTCTCCCCAATTTTACCCATTTTTCATGTTTATACACAGTAAATAATAGGTATATAATTGTTGTGAGCAAAAAAGTTAATCTTTTATTACTTTTCAAAACAAAAACGATTTTGAAATGGCAAAAACTAACTTTACAGCATCATTTTTGTCTTTGGCAACCAAGCGGATTCGAACTCGACTGACTTTGAAAATTCGCAACTACTGTAGTTCTTACTGTAATTTCATTAAAAAAATAACAATGTAGTTAATACTGCGTAAAACGTTATTGTGTAAACACATTTTTTATAAGTTAGCAAAAACTAACTTTACAACTTCATTTTTGTCTCTTGCACCCAAGCGGGCTCGAACCCGGCTGACTTTGAAAATTCATAAATACTTTAGTTCTTACTGTAATTTTATAAAAAAAATTCAACAATGTAGCCAATACTATGTAAAATCTTATTGTAAAACCAAAATTTTAAAAAGTTAGCGTATACTTTCTTTACAACTTCACTTTTGTCTCTGGCAACCAAGCGGTTTCGAACCCGGCTGACTAAAAATTCATAACCCATTTAGTTCTTACTGTAATTTTTTTTAAATTTATGAAAAAATAGAAAAATCAACAGAAAGGAAGAAAAAATGCAAACCTTTGTAAAAATTTAACAAGAACTTTCTTTACAACTTCATTTTATGTTATTTGCACCCAAGCGCATTCGAACTTGAATAACTTTGAAAATTCATATCTACTGTATTTCTAACTTTAATTTATTGAAAATTTACGACAATGTAGATAATAATAGTTAAAATTTTAATTTGAAAACAACATTTGAAAAATTATCAAAAACTTTCTTTACAACTTCATTTTTGCCTCTTGAAACCAAGCGGATTCGAACCCAGCTGACTTTGAAAGTTAATAACTACTGTATTTCTTACTGTAATTTTTTGAAATTTGATGAAAAAAATCAATAGCAAAGAAGAAAAAATGCAAACCTTTGTAAAAATTTAACAAAAACTTTCTTTACAACTTCATTTTTGTCTCTTGCACCCAAGCGGATTCGAACCCGACTGGTTTTGAAAATTCATAACTACTGTAGTTCTTATTGTACATTTTTGAAAACTTTTGAAAGTATAGCTAAAACAATGATAATGCTTTGTCATAAAACCAAGTTTAAAAAAATTGAAAACTTTCTTTACAACTTTATTTTATGTTATTCAACACACACCCAAGCGAAATCGAACTCCAGAATAATCAACAAATTGATAATTTATTCGACCGCATTTAAACAAAACAAATTTTATTAGCAACTAATTATGTAAATTCGTATTTTACACAAAAATTCGTATATTTTTAAAAACCAATCTAAAAATAAGTTTTCGAAAAGGGAAAGCGAGAAATGAGTTCTGAAGGTAACGGTCAAGTTGAATTTCGAGGATCTCGACCACCACTTGACTTTTTTATTGTCCTTCGTTGAGTTTTACTATGTTCTCGGAAGGTAAAATACGAAGAGCTGTGTAATGGTTTTTAATTTTTTCTAATTTTTAAATATTCAAATTTTCGAGGTTAAAAGGGGCTCAGAATTATATGAACAACACGCAAAAATCATTTTTAAATCATTTGTTAATGTGATATATAGTTTATTCGGATATAACTGATAGATATACAAGGTAATCAAGGCTTAAAACTTAAATTTCAAAAAAATTTCAAAAATTTTAAACTTTTTTTTCAAAATTTTTTTAAAATTAAAAAAAAATCATTTCAAAGCAACCAGCGGATTCAGAAACCCCTCTCCATCGTTGAAACGCCAGTAAGTCCAAGAGTTGACCAAGGACAAGCTCACAACGCCAGAAACCCACAAGGCAATGTGGACCCAATAGTCGCGGAACAGTACCATAAACCACAATTTTGAGCCGACTGGCACGTCCTTCAACGTATACGAATCCAGCTCGCCGTTCACAGTGTTACAAAAGTCATTTTGGCATACACATACTGTGTCATTGTTCATTGTGTGCTTAACACAACCGTTCTTCTGATAGTTCCGGTTTGTGCAAAAGAAATGGTGATGGTTGCCCGTTGAGGTGGCGTTTACACAGTCTGTAAAGAAACTTGTTGCAAATTTTTATATTGTAAGGATTCTCATTGAAATGGCCATATTTCGACAACATTTGAAGGAGTTACAGTAGAAACTACCGTACTTACAAAGCAATAAATGTCGGGCTCGAATCCGCTTGAGTGCATAAAACCTCAAAAAAGGCTGTAAAGAAAGTTCTTGCGCTTTTTACAAAAGGTCATTTTAAAAAACCAGTTTGCCATTGTTTTAGCTATATTGTCATAAACTTTCAAAAAATTACAGTAAGAACTACAATAGTTACAGATCAAAAAAGTCAGCAAGGCGCGAATCCAGCAAGTTATCAATAACAAAACAAAAGCTGTAAATAAAGTTTTTGTCAGCTTTTCAAAAATCTATCTTAACAGAAACATTTCTAGTAGTATTGTCTATAATATAAAAAATTTTAGCAACTTATAGTGTAAACTACAGTATCTACTAACGAAAAAGTCATCATAACTCCTATTTTTAACCGCAAATGTCAAACAAGATTTTAAAATTCAAGTATAAATCCACACTTACGTCCATCAACAGTATCAATCTCGCAAACACCTTTGTTACAGTATGCTCGATCGTCACCCATTGCCCACGAAATGGTACAACGACATTTCAAAGCGGTACAGTAATATATCAGAGCTAAGAGTAGAACACAACGTAACATGACCAAGGCAAACAATATTAATGAGATTATTGTCAAATATACGATATTATAAGTAGTCAAGTTAATAATTTCTGTTATGTTAATAATTGCTTCGACAGACGGGTTACTGCTATTGAACTTATGTTGTCGTTGTCTGATGGCTAACTTTATTATTTTTGAGATTTTCGACATAATATGGAGTGATTTTTGAATTTTTTTGGCTGGAAAAAGTAATTGTAAAGTGCATTTTTACTATTTCTAACAGTCCTTCAGTAAAGATTTAATGCTTTTGCCAGTCAACCAACTAGAAAGACCTAAAACAAGGTCGTTATTTAGACATTTCATTCTTTTCTCAATAAAAATATGTTGAAATCGCAAAATACTTATTTCGACCATTATAGCGGCTTGTATTTTACAATACTCAAGATTTAATTCCACCATTTACAAGATAAACAAAGCCAATGCTCTTGATTTCGTTGCGAAACCAAGTCAAGTCCGATATGTTAGCGCGCCATGTCTCTTTTCAAAAGAAATAAATAAAATAAATTCACTTTTTGTTACTTTTTCTAGTTTTTAGCATATTTTACACAACAAGTAATCTTTCAAAAATTATATTTCAACACAACAATGGCAACACAACCGTTCATCTCGGAGCTTATGGATCAATACCTGATGGACTACTATAACAACTTGTATCCGACCAAATTGTTCATAAAATGGTTGAGTTATAACAAATGTAAGTTGTCAAATTTTATTTTCTTTGATTTTTAGGTACTTGTTTTGGTTTTTGGATGATACTTTTTGACAGAGAAGGGATTTTATGAAGTTAACATAGGTAGATGGAGACTTTTGGAAAAGTGAGGTTAAGACTAGGTTAATACTGTCTGACTCTTCTGAAACTGTTGAAATAGACTCTGGATTGTGTTTGAGGTTTCAAGTTTGATTTAGCTGTTATAGAGTTTTAAATTATATTAAAAAATTTGATTTCAATATGTTAACCTATATCTGATAGATACTTTTGAGGAAATTGAAGCACAGCTGCTCTGAATGTTTCTTATTTGATCTGAAACTGTAAAAAACATGCTTTAGAGTATTTCAAACTTTTTTACTAGACTTCAATTTAAAATTACGTTTTAATAGATTTAAAAATGACATTTCAGCAGCGAAGGAAGCGATGAACAAGAGAGAAATTGGATTTAGTTTTAAAGGTGGTGCCATGCTCCGATACCAATCATTCAGTGAGCCAAATGAGTTTACACGTACTTTATGTACTAAACTACCACATAAGATTGAAATTGGGCCGGTTTACAATCATCCAGTAAGTATTTTATTTTATTCTTCTGGTTTTAGGTGCAAATCTTGTATTGGTTGATAAACTGAAGGATTAGAAGCTTTATGTTGCTGGGAGGCTTGATAAAAAGTTAGCTTAATGTTTGTAGAAGCTTGAAAAACTTGTTATCACTTTATTTTGTAGGTATCTGAACGACTAAAGCTTGAGCCAGGAGCGATGAAGGCTGTTGAACGTGAACTTATTTTTGATATCGATTTGACTGATTACGACGATGTTCGAAACTGTTGTAAAGACGCCAAAATATGTCAAAAGTGTTGGTTGTTCATGACAATAGCGGCCAAAGTCCTACAACGCATATTGATTGAACATTTCGGCTTCACCAACTTGTTGTTCGTCTTCTCTGGTCGACGTGGTATTCATGTGTGGTGTGCGGATCCAGCAGCTCGAGGACTAGCTGATGGTGATCGAAGAGCAATCCGTGACTATTTCAATGTTAACGACCTGAAGAATACGTTTAGAAATGGCAAGATTCACATGATGATCAGGGATTCTTGTCGGACCATCATGGATTCACCAGAAACAGAGGAATTGGTTGATGAACAAGGCTGGATGGATGATGATTATTTGTTGAATATATGGTTGAAAAAGTGCGAGGATAAAGCTACTGTCAAGCATGTTACTACGTTGTTTAAAAAGTAAGGAATTTTGGGGGAAAATTTATATTGTGGTAGGTGACTGGTTGAAAGAAAGTGTTTTTTGAGTTTAAAGTTAAGTTATATGACAATTGTTGATTTTAATAGGAAGAATATAGTCTATTTTATGGTTTGTTTAAACAATGTATGAAGAAATTATGTTTAAAATAAGTAACAACGTTTTTCGTATATTATAGTAGGTATCTTCGGAGCTTTGATGAAAATATGATTTTTGTTGACTAACTTAAAGATTATTTTTGAACAGGGGTTTAATACGTTAACAATAGTTTGATTCACATATTCCTTAAATTTTATTTAAAAATTTTGCCTGTAAACAAAGTTATTGCGTTTTTTCAGGCTCTTCACCTCAGCAGATCGCTTCAAATGCCTAAAACAAATGTGTGATCCCGAATCTCATGCTGAATCCGGAACAAAGTTAGCAGCACCTTCATACGAAGCTACGAAATGGTTTTACACGTTCTTACTTCATCACATGCATCCACGACTCGATGAACAAGTGACACTTCAGGTCAATCACTTGCTTAAGTCTCCGTTTTGTGTTCATCCCGGAACAGGACTAGTATCGGTGCCATTCAAGGTTGAAGGGTCTCACGAGGTTCAGGTTGAGCAGTTCCCAAGGGTTGAGTAAGTGTTTTGGTGGTTTTTTGGGATGTGCTGGGTTTTGGATATTGTAGTAGGTGCTTGGTTGTTAATGTTGATATAGGTAATATTGTTGATTAAAGAAGAAAATTTTAGTTTGTAGCAGTGGAGAAAAGCCTAGAAATGTATTTTTAGATTAGATTGATGAATATTTTTGCTGAATTTTGATTTATTGGGAAATTATATTGTGTAGGTATAGGTGTTGGGAAAATCTTTGTATTTAGGAAAATATTGATCAATCCTTTATAGTTTATATATTTTTACGTAACAAAAAGAATTGTTTTTAAATTTTAAAAGCAAATTTAAAAAATTTTTGTTGTAAACAAAGTTATTGCGATTTTTTCTAAAAAAGCTTGAAAATTGGCCATTTTTCATGGTTTTTTAAAGAAAAAAAGTTTGTAAACTAACATACAGCAAGAAAATGAATATATTGTTTAGAATGTTGTAAAGAAAGTTCTTGCGGTTAATTTCATTCCAATTTTAGTACATTGGTTCAAGAGGTAAAGAATGAAAAGGCATCGAAAGAAGAAGGCAACGAGGACAAGGAGAACAACAGAAAAATACTTTGTAGGTCATTTTTGGCGTTTTTTAAATGAGAATGCCATTTTAGATAACATTTTACAATAACCCTTGATCTGGAGGTTCTATCTTGGCTTAAACTTGAATATCAACCTAGATTTTAGGTAATAATTTGACATTTTTAGACTACAAACGCACTTCTCTAGCCCCTTACATTGAAATCTTTGAAGAATTTATCGAAAAAGCATTGCAAGCTTCCGATACCAACAAGATGTTGAATTAAATCGATTTGATATTGATATAGCTTGGACATGATTACATGGTTATCAACTTGTACATGGAGATATGACTCTAACTTTTGATTTTCACAAGGAAATATAACACTAACATTACGTTATGGGTAATAAAAATAATTATTTTTAGGGTGGAAAGAAAGTTGTTGCGGTTTTTGATATGTAAACAAACTTTTTGACATGTTATGCTTTGTAAAGAAGGTTCTTGCTGTTTTAAGTTTTTTAAAGAAAGTTCTTTAAGTTTTGTAAAGGAGGTTCTTGCTGTTTTAAGTTTTGTAAAAAAAGTTCCTGCTATTTCAGGCCTTGTAAAGAAAGTTTTCTTCATTTTGATCTCTGTAAGGAAAATTCTTGCTATTTTTTTATCAAAATGTTCAAAATTTGCGTCTAGCAGCCTGCAGCTGACAAGTTATACGATAAAACAAAAGGCGACAAAATTTTAAATTAAATTTATTAAATTACTGTTAAAACCACTATTGTAAGCAAGAATAACGATGGTAAATACGATGCCGTATCTGATCTAGTAAGCAGCAGCGAATTTGGAAAGTTCAGCTCCAGACAGTCTTTGTAGTGCGTGGGATAACCAGAAAAGTCCAGTCGAATGTCCAGTTTGAACCGATTGTCCCCGATTTTTCGATATGGCACACTGGAAAGAAAGTTTTTACATATTTGCTATGGTTCGACGTCTTTTCAGCTATATTGGCACTAAATTTCGAAAAGTTACAGTTAGAGATACAGAAGTTATGAATCCAAAAAGTGAGCTGGGTTCGAACCTGCTTAGGGGCACGGGACAAAAATTATTGCGTAAAGAAAGTTCTTGCCAATTTTTTAAAAAGTTTTAGCATTGTGATGGTTTGACATTGTTTTAGCTATATTCTCACAAAATCCCAAAAAATTACAGTAAGAACTACAGTAGTTATGAATTTTCAATGTCAGCCGGATCCTAATCAGCATAGGTGAAAGTGACAAAAATTAGGCTGTAAACAAAGTTTTTGCAGATTTTTTGTAATTGTGAGGCACGTTTTTAGAGTTTAAGTCGTAAACGTACTCAATATTTCGATTTTCCTTGCATCTGATGTTAGGTAACACAAAAACAAGACCATTTTCCTGGACCTTCAAGTTCAACGTGTTGATGGTGAAGCACTGCCTAAAATTCTTAAAAGGTCATTTAGGTCGCCACAATGAACACGACACGTTAAATCCAATTAGGTCTTACTATTTCAACATAAAATATCAAAAATTAGTAAAATACCGTACGCTTTGTCACTTAATCTCAAACCAAAAATCCGGTGTGGTGGATAATATTCGATAACAATGTAATTGTTTCGAGAGCCACCAAAGTTGATCGTGAAACTGAAAAGTGCACTTTTATTAAAATTGAAAAAAATATACATTGTCAGCTATGAAAAAAGAGACAAAACTGAGGTTGAAAGAAAGTTTTTGCCATTTTTAATTAAAAATAAAACGAAAAATAAACTTACTGAAACATGAAGTTATCTTTCTGATCAACATCAATACATTTTTCACTGGTAATGACGATTAAAAACGCTTCAATTCGTTCATATGCTAATGACATTTTGTACTTGACGCACTCTTTAGGTGATAAGGTACTAAAACCCAAAGTTTTTTAGGTATACAAATTAAGGTTTAGGTATTTTAAGATATGTCATGAAGCTTGAAAATGTCATAAATAGTTTATCAGTAAATAACTTTACCTTATCACTTACAAATTAGTGATATTAGTTTGACCCTCTACTATACATATGGTTTCAGCCACTTGATAGACGAAAAATGACAATACGAATAGAAATCTCATCTCAACCACGCTTGAGCGTAACAAAAGTATAAAATGACAAAATTTTTAAAAATAAATTTTAGGGTTTTGAATGTCAGCCGGGTTCGAATCCGCTTGGCTGCAAGAGACAAAAATAAGGCTGTAAAGAAAGTACTTGCTAATTTTTAAAATTTTCATTATGTGCTTGTATGCCATTGTTTTAGATATATCTTCACAAAATTTCAAAAAATTACAGTAAGAACTACTGTAGTTATGAATCTAAAAAGCCAGCCTGGTTCGAATCCCCTTGGCTGCAAGAGGCAAAACTCAGGTTGTAAAGAAAATTGTTGCCAATTTTTTTAAAATTCATTAACATGGCAAGATAAACAATAGTGTTCGCCATATTATGACATAGTTTTATAGGATTTCAGTAGCGACTACTGTAGTTATGAACCAAAAAAGCCAGCCGAGTTCGAATTCGCTTCGCTGCAAGAGACAAAAAAGCGTGTGTAAAGAAAGTTCTTGCTGATTTTTTTAAAATAACTTACTGTTTTCTTATTCGTCGTTGTTTTATCTATTGTTTCCGCATGGTTTCAAATGAATACAGTAAGTACTACCGTAGTTATGAAGCACAAAAGCCAGTCGGGTTTGAATCCGCTTGGGTGCAAGGGACGGAATCCGTAATTTTTTGGGCCTGAAATCTAGGCCCGGCCCGGGGGCCGGGCTTGAAAAGTGGGCCTGGCCCGTTGCTCATGTCTATTCAGCACACTCCCTCCCCCCCTTCTGCTCTTCTGCTCCACGTGACCGGCTCTTTTTGCTTCGTCTTAATATTTTATTCACTAATCATTTAAAACTATTTAAAACTATTAAATATTAAGTTGTTTATCGAACATTTGAAAGTAAACTTCGGTAGTTTTTGACTTTTTATGTTCAATTTCTTCCAGTCGTCGTTCTTTTCGAATTTTGCGCATTCTCAACATATAAGCTGTGGTACTCAAGGTAATGGACAAAGTCAATATCTAAAACAAATTAATTTTTATTTGCCGTTGCTGAAAAAAGAGCGAAGTTAACTGTACTGATTTCTTCGACCCCCGCCCCCAAATCAAAAGTGCCCGCCCTGCCCTACCTACCAGCTTCCTCAACTTTCCACTCAAACCCGCTCCCAAAGTCACCCCTCCGCCCACTTACGTTATGTATAAATCCTATGCATTCGATAAACCTGCCCGGTCGATTGTCATAATCGGCATAAGTTCGAAAAACCGATGAAACGGCCAAATAAATCGTGAAAAACATGGAATGTGTCATTGAAACTGGCAGCACCAGTCGGCTGGTTATATAGTTTTCACGTTGTTGAAACGACTTGGATAAGGTGTAGTTGGTAAAAATACTAAAGAAAAGTGTTAAAAATTTGATTTTTAACCTTAATGTAAAAAATCAATTTTCAAAAACTTCAAAAACTTTCTTTACAGCCCCGTTTTTGTCAATTGCCGCCAAGCGGATTCGAACCTGGCTGACTTTTTAAATTTATAACTAATACTGTAGTTCTTACTGTAATTAAAAAAAATTTTTTATTATGTACTATTAACTATGGTAAGTGCAGTACTGTGCAAAAAATCTTTTATGTAATGCCTAAACTTTCTTTACAGCCTCTAATTTGTGGCGCCTTCACCCAAGCGGATTCGAACCGGGCTGACTTTGACAGTTCGTAACAACTGTACTTCTTACTGTATTACTAAACAAATTTACAGTAACATAACTGAAACTATACAAAACTTTATTGTGCAAACAAAACTTTTAGAAAACTGCAATAACTTTCTTTACAGCCTCCAACATAATGAGCGCCTTCACCCAAGCGGATTCGAACCGAGCTGACTTTGACAGTTCGTAACAACTGTAGTTCTTACAGTATTTTTTCGAAACTACGTCTTAATTTAGTGTAGGCTATGGTTAACTTTGTCATCTTATTGAAACTTAAAGGGATTCGCAAGAACTTTCTTTACAGTTTTTTTTGTTTTTTGTACTCATGTGGATTTGAATCTGGCTGAATTTGACGATTTGTGACTACTGTAGTCAGGGCGGGCGCGAGAGGGGAGATGGGGGGAGGGGGGAGGGAGTTCTTACAGCATTTTTTTTATATCCTCCCAACCTCCGCTAACAACCATATACATTTACTGTAAAACATACGTAGTCTTCTGTTCTCGTCGATTGACCACCCACAGTAGTACATCTCCCAACGTGGTTAGTAGGTCAGTTGGCAGGTTTCGAAGCGGAAAATTTGATAGTTGGCTGCTAACATCACAATCCACTGAAATGGCAACAACTTATTTTACAGAGCTCGAAATGACAAAAACTTTCTTTACACAGCTTGAAATGGCAAAAACTTTATTTAGAAAAAATAATATGGCAATAATTTTCTTTACAAACGTACCAGAGTAACACAAACAGCCACGCCAAATACCTTGCCACAACGTTCGTATGTATGGGAGAATCTTGTCGCAAAAGTTCTCTCCACCAAGGCTGAGACATGTAAAAGACTTGTGGCCAATATTGTCCATACAAACGGCCATCTTAAAATGGCACATTCCCAAGCTGCCATCGCATTACTACAGTACTCAACCTCAAAACTTTGAATATATAACAAATAGCATGTTGTTGATAAGCTGGATGCTACGTGGACTATCGTTATTAACATACCATTCCATAGTAATAACTGAAAGTAAGACGATTGCCATAACTGAAACTATAATCTACTCTACCCTACCCTACCCTCCCTTTTCTACCCTACCCTACCCTACCCTACACTACCCTACCCTACCCTACCCTACCCTACCCTACCCTACCCTACCCTACCCTACCCTACCCTACCCTACCCTACCCTATCCTTCCCTACCCTACTCTACCTTGCTCTACTCTACCCTACCCTACCATACCCTACTCTATACTACAGTACCCTATTCTACCATAGAGTACCTTAAGGTAATTTTTCTTCGGGCCCGGGCTCAATTTTCAAGCTAGCTTAACTTTCAGGCTCGGCCCGTTTTTAATTTTGGTCAGGCCTGGCCCGTTGCTCATGTCTACTTTGCGCCCGGCCCTGATGCTATCCTATATTAGCCGTTTATATAATACTCACCTTAAAATTGAAATGAAAACTGCTAAGTAGGTTTGTCGCTTCACTTGCCCAAAAGTAAACAAAGACAATGAGTTGTGTTAGACATAAAAGCAGGTTGCTCAATTGGCTTAAAAAAATGTTTTGGCTGGTGCGAAAGTACTCGGACCATTCGCAAACCTCTATATATGTGGTCATTAAGCTGAAAATTAATATTTTTAAATTTAAAAATGTTTTAAATTTTTAAAAAATGCACAAGTAAAGATCTTGAAGGTAGGGTAGAGTAGGGTAAAGCAGAGTAGGGTGGGTAAAGCGGGTAGGGCAACTTAAAACAAATTAAAGTAAGGTAAAGGAAGTTAAGACAGGATAGGGCATCGTAGGGTGCAGTGGGGGTACAACTGACATGTGAGTAAAGAACAGTGAAGCAGAATAGGGCACGGTACCGTAGGTCAAACAGAGTAAAGCGGGTGTGACTGAGCAGGATAAGGCAAAGCAAGGCGGGAAAAAGATGACAATGTCGCAAATCTATAAGTAATTACTGTAGCTGTAAAAGCTTTACTACGAATATGTCTTCAAAAACCAAAGCCAAGTATGCGGTCTACTATTATACGTACGATAACATGTCCATGCCTACCTTAAAATGACACAACAACCAATTTCGAGATGTCTTGTTAAGACGCTCATGTACTATATAGTATGAACAGTATGTTGCTATACAATTACCCAAAAATTTTCAAAAAAAGGTGTTGCCACAAACAGCAGGAACTAGCCCAACTCGCAATTTGAAGATGGCACAGCAAGTGAACGAAAAAAGTTTATAGACGGCCAGCAACAAATAATTAGGATATTATGTAATCAAATTGTGGTAGTCATAGTCATAGTCATAGCCATAGCCATAGCTATAGTCTGCAGCCGTAGCCGAGCCATAGCCATAGCCATAGCCATAGCCATAGTCATAGCGATAGCCTTAGCCTTAGCCATAGCCTTAGCTATAGCCATAGCCAGGGCCGGGCGCGAGGGGGGGGAGACGGGGGGGGTACCCCCCCCAGAAAAAAATTTTTTTAAAAAAAGTTGAACGTGGTCCCCTCTGTGGATTTTTGGAAAAAAATTTTTCGCAAAAAATCGGCACAGATAGCCATAGCCATAGCCTTAGCCATAGCCATAGCCATAGCTATAGCCATAACCATAGCCATAGCCATAGCCATAGCCATAGCCATAGCCATAGCCATAGCCATAGCCATAGCCATAGCCATAGCTTTAGCCATAGCCATAGCCTGCAGCTGTAGCCGAGCCATAGCCATAACCGTAGCCTGCTCATTGTAAACATGTCATTATAGTAGTTCAAAACAAGTCCAAAACGTCATGAATGTGTTGGTGTGTGTTGCGCAACGGTTTCTCTAACTTGTGGCCTTAATACAATGTAATTACATTACCATCAAACCCGGCAATTACTGAACTTTGTTTGTCACTGCCATTTACTCACGTATGTGATTACTTCACGGTTTTTATTTGTAAAGATATGTCATTTCAAGTGTAATGTTTAGGTAGTTGCCATGTTATTATTCCGCGGTTTGACCTTCGAATGTTATGTTATAGTTATGTTATAGGTAGGTTACTGCGCGCCGAGTTTTCGTATCTACTATGATATTGGCCATTAATGCATTGTAAAGTAGTACTACTAGTTTATAAGATATTACTACACTACACAATTGATAGTACGAAACTAATACGATTGCTGGAAATAGTGATATACTAATACTAAAATAATAAACGTATTACTATACTGGTACTGCCGTACTGAAGCTAGTACTTCACTAGTTCTTTTGTACTGAAAATAGCCTAAAACTGATACTTTTGCCCTAAAAATGGTACTCTACTAATACTACCTTGCTATAATTTGTACGAAACTAATAATATTGTACTAAAAATAGCAATACGCTGCTACAACGGCGCTAAAATACGTACTATATTAATAGTAAAGTATTATAACTTGAAGCATACTGGTACTAAGATTCTAAAGCTAGTACTATACTGGTACTACGGCGCTAATACTCGTACTATATTGGTAGTATTACAACTTGAAGCATACCGGTACTAAGATTCTAAAGCTAGTACTATAGTGGTATAACTGTAATAAAAATAGCACTCGGCTATTAATTACTATGCTCACTCTAAGATTTTAAAATTAGTACTACACTATCGTACTTAATTGTCTCCTAAATACTCCACCCCTAATGACTCAGTACAAGCCTTTTCTAATGTCCATCACAACAACATGTCAACTCGTCTAAACAGTGCCGTCAACATGAGCAATACTAGCCATTTGATAGTATGCAGTTTGTCGGAGTACATACGAGCCAGTCCACTCATTTTTATCAGCGAACTCAGCAATTTGCTAGTATTTTTATTACAGCTAGCTATATTGGTTTACTTTTGGAGAATACCTACTTCGAGGTTTTATAACAGCTTCCATTTTAACTTCAAGGTAAGTCGAATGGGGGTGAGGGTGGAGAAGGCCCCCCCCCCGCAGACCAAAAGTCCTGCCCGGCCCTGACTTTAGTTTTTACTGTAAGTTTTTAAAAAAATTATGACGATCAGGGTCGGGCGGGGACTTTTAGTCTGGGGACGGGGGTCTAATAGACATGAGAAACGGGCCGGGCCTGAATGTTAGGCCCCGACCGATCGAAATTTTGCTCAGGGCCGGCCCGGCCCGGGCCTAAATTTTTTTTACGTGGAAAAGGGCCAGGCCTGGCTAATTTTTTCAGGCCCGGCCCGATCGGAATTTTGCTCAAGGCCGGCCCGTTTCTCATGTCTAGGGTCAAAAAAAGATTTTATGCGAAAAATTTTTTCCAAAAATCCGCAGGGGGGGGACCACGTTCAACTATTTTCAAAAAAAATTTTTTTTTGAGAGGGGGGGGGGAGGTTTAATTTTAGCTTGGTATTTCATACAACAAGCGCACCAACAAGAATTTTTTAAATTTGTTAATTTTGTTAATTTTGAAAAGTTACAGTAATTCTACCGTACCCCTATTTTTCAACTTTGTGTATAAATTATTTTTTTTTCAAAAATCGGAGATATACGCGTTGTAGAGCATAAAAAGTTGTACATATTTTGTAAGTTTCATTACTTAATCTCTTTTTACTAACCGTGCAACGATTTTTTGAAAATCCAAAAAAACCGCCTTGTTCAAGCGGAATCGAACTTTTCTTGTTTTTCAATCTTTTTTTCAAATTTTAAAAAATCGTGGCATGTTGACTAGATAAGATAAAGTAATAAAACCTACAGGATTTGTACAACATTTTATGCTCTACAAAATTTACATCTTCAATTTAAAAAAAATTAGACACATAGTTGAAAAATAGGGATACGGTAGAATTACTGTAACTTTTCGACATAAACAATTTAAAAATTATTGTTGGTGCGTTTGTTGTACAAAAGACTAGTCTAAAATTGCAAAAAATTTTTTGTTTCAAAAATCTTTTAAAAATAAGTTATTGTCGGTTGCGCGTCAAGCGGATTCGAACCCGAACTTCTTTTTTGATTTTCGATATCTACTGTAGTTCTTACTGTAATTTTTTAAAATTTTGTGACAATATAGCTAAAACAATGGCAAATTATTACAAAATTAAAAATTTTTTGAAAAATTTGCAATTACTTTCTTTACAACTTTATTTTGTCTTGCACTCAAACAAGTTCAAAACCGGGGCAGACTTTTTGGATCCATAATTACAGTAGGTATTACTATAATTTTTTGAAAATTTGTGACGGTATAGCTAGAACAGTTTCAAATAAAAAAAAATGAAAAACTTTTTGAAAAACCTGCAAGGATTTTCTTTACAGCTTCATTTTATTCGTTGCACCCAAGTCGATTCGAACACGCCTTACTTTTTCTCTTTACAAGAGAAAAGTAAGACTATCTTACTGTAATTTAATAAAACTGTGTCATGATATAGCATGGGTTGAACCTTGTTATTTTAGTTTTACGAAGTTGGCAAGAACTTTCTTTACAGTTTGTTTTTTGCTCCTTGCATTCCAAGCGGATAAGCCAGGGCCCATTGGTTGCTTCATAACTATAGCAGTTCTTACAGTAATCTTTTGTAATTTTGTGACAATATACCAAAACTTTGCCTACTGTCAATTAAAAACATAACTTAAAAAAATGTTTTAGTTAATTCTTTGGAACAGTATGTTGATATACTGTATTCATGTTGTGGCCGGCCTCACTGCCGTAATATACTTGCTGTTTATACAAAATTTTAAAACCGAGTACTGTAGCAACGTCCATCAAGCATGGCAATGTGCCGTGCTTAGGTGGCCCTATTCGTATGCGACTTTGGCTACAGTGATGTTACACTTGGTGGCACTTGTGGAGCGAACCTTCGCTACGCGATTGTCTCGAACATACGAAGGGTGTGGTAAATTTTACGGAATTTTGGCATGTGTTTTCTTGGTAAGTTTATCTTATGGTACTTTGAAAGCTTTTTGCATTTTGAGGCTTGGAAAGAAAGTTGTTGCGTTTTAAGTTTTGTAAAGAAAGTTTTTGCTGTTTTTCGTTTTGTACACAAAGCTTTTGCCATTTTTTATATTGTAAAGAAAGTCATTGCGGTTTTAAGTTTTGTAAAGAAAGTTCTTGCCGTTTTTTGTTTTGTAAAGAAAGTCATTGCGGTTTTACGTTTTGTAAAGAAAGTTCTTGCCGTTTTAAGTTTTGTAAAGAAAGTTCTTGCCGTTTTATGTTTTGTAAAAAAAGTTCTTGCCGTTTTTCTTTTTGTACACAAAGCTTTTGCCATTTTTTATATTGTAAAGAAAGTCATTGCGACTTTCTGCCTTGTAAAGAAAGTTTTTGTGGTTTCAAGTCTTGTAAAGAAAATTATTGTCATTTTTTCTCAAAATAAGTCACTTTTTCAGTGGTTAATAATGCTGACAATAAACTACTTTACCTTTGCCGTCAACCATTACCATGAGTTATATCCCTATTGTATAGCCACTGTGCCAAGTAATCAAGAGCGAATTACTAAACTTTACCAAGCCTATTCGACAACCATCGGTGATATTATACTATGGAATGTCAATAAAAAAGCTCAGAAAAACACGTAAGAATCAGCTTTTTTTCCTTTTTTTCACATAAAAAACAAACATCGGGGTGTAAAGAAAGTTCTTGCGTATTTTTAAATGTGACGTAATAGGGAATATGCTGTGAAAAAATTGGAAACAATTACAGTAAGAACAGCAGTAGTTACAAATGAAAAAGTCCGCCGGGTATCGAATCCGCTTGAACGCAATGGACAAAAATAGAGCTGTAAAGAAAGTCTTTGCAAACTTTTAAAAAAATTTAAATTGTTTAATGATTTATTATAATGTTGGCTATATTGACACAAAATTTCCAAAAAACACGGTAAAAAGTACAGAAGCTATGAATCGAAAAGGTGACAAGGAAATACCCAACCTGCAATTCTTAGAACTAGCTCAAATTTTTTATACGGATTCTTTGTAGTACCATTAGCACGTATAAAAAATCTTAGCTTGCGGTTTTATGTTTTAAAATTAATATATTTAAATTTTCCGGCAATTTGGCAAAGTTGGCATTGTGTTGCAAGCACTTTTTTTGATGTTCCAGATAAGATAAGCTTACAAATTTGAAATTGCAGGTTCATCTGAAGCTTTTTTATCATTATATTAAAGAAAAATAGTTGAAAGTCAAAAATTGACAAATTTAAAAGCTTGCAACACTATGCCAATTTGGCAGGAAATTCAAAACGCGATTATTTGATCTTGATTTTCTCAAGACTAGCAACAAACCGCAACTTAGAATTTTGCACAACATCTTACATTTACATGATCTTTCAATAAAAAAATTTTGAACAACATCTGAGTCCGCCGGGTTCGAATCGGTTTGGGAGACAAGTGACAAGAATGAGGTTGTAAAAAAATACGAAACATTTTTAAAAAAACTTTTGCCCTTTTTATGGTTTACTATTATATTAGCTACATCGCCCAAATTTTTAAAAAAATTACAGTAAGGACTACGGTAGTTATAAGACAAAAAAGTCAGCTGGGTTCGAATCCGCTTGGGTTTAATAGACAAAAAATAGGAGTGTAAAGAAAGTTTTAACCGTTTTTCAAGCTTTAATAAAACATTTTTAGCGTGTATGTAAACTATTCTTTATCAAAATCATATCAGCGACGTGAAAACTACATAACCAGTCGACTGGTCGTACCACTTTCTATGACTCATTCAATTATTTTTACAATTTACATAACAATGTCATGGCTTTATCGTTCATTTGCCGACTATTTAGGACATCCTGACGATTACATTGGGGTTACAGGGTTCATACACAATGTAAGTTTTGAGGACAATGTCAAAATTGATTGACTTACCCTTGGTTTCTACCTAATTTTTGGAAAAATATATGTGAAAGGCCATACTATTCATGATAATATTGTTAAAAACAAAGTGTTTTGTTAAAATCTAAACTCTACTTTCAGATAATGATAATAGCGTACATTGCTTGCCTTATAACGTACGTAGCAAGCATCAAACGGCTCCAGAAAGATCGTAAACTAGACGAAATTATCGAGAAAAAGTCGCAAAATACCGAAATTTACTTTGAAATGTTTGCAAAACAACTTAATAGTTAATATAAACTTAATATAAACTTCAACTACATAATACAGTTATTGGATTTAACTTTTTTACATAAAACAATAATGTAGAGCATATATAAATTTGAATAAACACTGGCTTTTTATATTAGGTGTTTGCGAAAGTTTTCCGCTGATTTTTCTAAAATTTATTTAAAAATTCTGGACAGTGCTGAAACTTTCTGTTGGCAACCTATATAAAGAGATGTCCAAGCACTAAAAACTATTTAATGTTCAAGCTTTCTGTTGTTTACGATGGTTCTTAAATCAAGGTGAAACATGGTCATGTACGGGCAATGTTGCTTCTCAAATTTCGTAAGCACGGCAACACAACAAGAACGACGAAGAAAATATGCAGTGTTGTAGGGCCTTCAGTCGTCTCTTACGACACCACAAACGTTTGGTTCCACAGGTTCAAAAACGGTGACTTTGACATGTCCGAAAAACCCGATCTGGTAGACCATCAGTGTTGAAGAAACCCCACCTTCTGAAGCTGACCAAAGAAGACCCTAGACGAACTTGTGTTCATTCGACTGTAGAGCTCCAGTGTGACCCTTCTACCTCATAAATTAGAGTTTTTTTGGGAGATTATTTTTTAATATTAATTTTGGTAAAAACCAAAATCGGCAGAAAACTTTTGCAAACGCCTAATGTTACACTAGTTTTTCTGATTTTTTAGTTCCAAAACTTACATGTTCATACTGTAATTTCCCGATGTTTTGTGGCAATGTAGCTAAAACAATGGCAAATAACATCAAGTTGAAAATTCATGAAAAATTAGCTGTTTTTACTTGTTTTAAGGCCTGATTGTTGTCTATTGCAACCAAACAAACCTGGCTGACTTTTTTGATTTATATCTACTGTATTTCTTACTGTAATTTGTTGAAATTGTGAAAATTGGTATATTGACACAAACTTTAGAAAACTTAATTAAAATTTCTTAAATTATATTGGTTTAGGTATTCAGGTGCTGCTCATTTACTATTGATTAAAAATCCCTGTTAAACGTACTTAATGTCATTATAAATTTACTGGAAATAACATGAAAACGTGTAAAAACAACTCTTTAGACATTTCAACATTACTTTTTACATCTCTTACGTTGAAGTAAAGTTAAACATACAAAGTAGAAAAATTAAGCCTGATAAGCTGAAAAATATTTAAAAAATGTTTAAAAACTCAATTTTAAAATGTTTTTAGGCCTTATTATATATTAAACATTAATTACTAAGTCAATAACACTGTTTATGAATCTCAAAACACAATGCCAAAATTGCCGCCAAAATTGAAATTCAAATTTTTAAGGTAATTTTAAACTTGAATGGTCTGAACAAAATTTTAAGTAAGCCTTTATTAAGGTTAACTAACTTGTTCTCTAAACATTTTAAAGTAAATTTCAGTAGTTTTGGCCTTCTTCAATAGTATTTCTTCTAATCGCTTCTCCTTCTGAACCCGTTGCACGCTCAAACTGTAGGCTAGCACGCAAATAGTCAAGGAGGCGATGAGAATCTGAAAAAAAGCTTTTAAAATCTTATTTTTACATTTTTTAAAAATTTTTTATTGAATTAAGCCTTTTTTATATTTTTTTTATCTTTGCACCGTGCAAAATTAAATAATTTTCGATTGCACCGTGCAAGATTAATTAATTTTCGATTGCACCGTGCAAAAATCAAAAATTTTTGAAAACACTTACATTATGTATAAACCCGGAATACTCCATGAACTGGATAGGATTATTGCCATAATCCGCAAACGTTCGAAATATAGCCGAACTTATTAGATAGACTGTGAAGAAGAGAGAGTGCGTTAGAGAAACAGGCAGCACCAAACGACTGGTTATCAAGTTTTCGCGTTGTTGAAAAGATTTTGACAATGTGTAATTGGAAAAAATCCTGAAATTTAAAATTTTAAAAAATCGGTATAAACTATGTTTACAACAGGATTTCGCCTTTTTCATCCAACCGGATTTGAACCCGGCTGCCTTTAAAGCTTTGTAACTACAGTAGTTTTTACTGTAATTTCATAACATTTCGTCATAATAGAGCTTACAGAGAAAGTACCCAACCTGCAACTCTCAGAATCAGCTCAAAATTTTTATACGAATTCTTTGTAGTACCATTAGTACTTATGAAAAATTTTAGCTTGCGCTTTTAAGTTTTAAATTTTAAATATTTAAATTTCCCGCCAATTTGGCAAATTTGGCATTGTGTTTCAAGCACTTTTTTCGGCTTTCCAGCCAAGCTAAACTTACAAATTTAAAAATTTAGATTCATTTAAAGGTTTTTTACTAGCATATTAAAGAAAAATGATTAAAAGTCAAAAAATGGCAAAGTTATAAGCTTGAAACACAATGCCAATTTGGCGGAAAATTCAAAACGCGATTTTTCGATCTCGATTTTCTCAAGACTGGCCGCAAACCGCAACTTAGAATCTTGCATAACATCTTACATTTACGTGACCTTTCAATAAAAAAAGTTTGAACGAAATCTGAGCGTTGCAGGTCGGATACCTTCCTTGTTAAACTATTATAAATCTTGAAAAGTAACAAAATTTTTTAAAAACCTGCAAAAACTTTGTTTACAGCTTTGTTTTTTTCCTTTAACCCATGCGGATTCAAACCTGGCTGAAATTTTTGCTTTACAACTACTGTAGTTCTTACTGTAATTTTTTGAACTTTTGTAACAATCAAGCCAAGATTACTGAATAACAATACCATAAAAACAAATTTTAAAAAATCAGCAAAATTTTTGTCTTCTGCACTCAAGCTGTTTCCAAGCCGGCCGACATTGCAACTTCATAACTACTGTATTTCTTACTGTAATTTCATGACATTACGTCATAACAGAACTTAAACTGCCATAAATCTTAAAAGGTAACACAATTTTTTAAAAACCTGCAAAAAACTTTGTTTACAGTTCTATTTTTGTCCATTTAGCCCATGCAAATCCGAAACTTGGCTGACATCTTTGATTTATAAATACTGTAGTTCTTACTGTATTTTTTTGAAATTTTGTGGCAATCAAGCCAAAACTAGTAAAACGCTACAAAATTTAAAAAAAAAAGTTTTAAAAATTAGCAATAACTTTTTTTTACAGCTTCATTTTTGCCCCTTGCATCCAAGGGGATTCGAACCTGCCTGACTATAAAGCTTCATAACTACTGTAGTTTCTACTGTAATTTTATAAAACTCTGTTGTAAAATAGCTAAAACAATGCTAAAGCTTTGACATAAACACACGTTTCAAAAAAACTGCAAACACTTTCTTTACAGCTTAATATTTGTCTTATGCATCTCACCGGATTCGAACTTTTTTCATTTTTCCAAATAAATCACTCACGAATTTCGTTTTTCTTTTCTATTGACAATCCACAAGGCAATGTCTCCAATTGTCGTAACAATATCAACTGGCAGTAAAATGTAAAACAATTTAGTTGTGGCAGTTTGATTGGTAGGGGTAGTCGCTATACAATAGGGATGACCGGTAGTGTAATCGGGATAAGCATAGGCTTGATAATTTATGAACAACATTAATATCCACTAAAATGAAAGTTTAAATTAAAATACCAGTAACTTTCTTTACAAAACATAAAACTGCAAGAACTTTCTTTACAGAACTTAAAATGGCGAGAACTTTCTTTACAAAACATCAAATAGCAAGAACTTTCTTTACAAAGCTAAAACTTGTAAACTTACCATAAATATGCATGTTACTATACCCATACGCTTTCCAGAAGCCTCATAATTTCTTGAAAACCGTGTAGCAAACGTTCGCTCCACCAATGTAGCCACATGTAGCATACTTGTAGCCAAAATGGTCCAATCAAACGGCCATCTTAATAAGGCGCATTTCCAAGCGACATGTATATTACTACAGTAAGCAGTGTTGTATTTTTGAATATACAATAAATAACATGTAGTAGACAGGCCAGATAGTAAGTGAATTGAGGTTATTATCATAGCATTCCAGAGAATTAGCTGAAATTATTTTTGTTATGAAATCGAGTAGGGTATTTAGCTAAGACTAGAACTAAGCCGAAGGGTAAAAGGTTAGACAGCCGAAGGGTAAGGCCGGGTTAAACACGCCTAAGGCTAGGTTAGGAAAGGCTAGAGCTTTGGACTGGGGCTCCGGGCTAAGGCTCTGCTCTAAGTCTCTGGGCTAGGATTCTGGGCTAGGGCTACTTACCTTAAAGTTGAAGTGAAAACTACTGTACAAAGGCGATCTTCCAATGCAGCAAAATAGTATTAGAACAGTCAATTGCGTCAAAAACACTACCAAGTTGAACAATTCACTGGTATATATAACGTGACTGTTGCGGAAAAACTCGGACCATTCACACAACTCGTCACCTGTCATGTCGTCGCTCATGAAACTGAAATTTTAAAAAATTTTTAAAAAGCTTCAAAAATTAAAAAAAAATTTTTTTTTAATTTTAAAAAAATTTCAAAAATTTATAAAAATTTTAAGAATTGTTACAATAATTAAAAAAAGTCGTAAAACTACATATCAAATTAATAAAAGTACTGCTTATCTCCCACACATGTATAAATGTTCAACTACCCAAAGTACTATTACTGAAACTAAAAGTAAAACCCTGTTCACGTTTCTAATCTTATTACCACCTTTATTGAGTAAAACTTTCAACAAAAAAGTATAAATGTATGAACAGAACATAAGCTTAATATTGTATAAAACAAAACATAATCTTGCTAACAGTTGTAATACATTGCGCAGACTATACATACTTCTAGTTTTTAAAACACGGAAGTTGAAGTATTTAAAAACGTTTTAAAAAGATCGTCTACTCTAGCCCAAAGCCCTAGCTTAAAGCCCTAGCCCAGAGCCCTAGCCCAAAGCTCTACCCCAGAGCCTTAGCACAGAGCCCTAGCTCAGAGCTTTAGCCCAAAGCCCTAGCTTAGAGCCCTAACTCAGAGCTTTAATCTTAGCCAGTGACTTAATGAGTCAGATGGACCAAAACAAAAATTTTTTGCGGACCGGACCCAAAAGCCTGCGAACCCGGACCGAAGAAAAAAAGCTCCGGACTGGCCCGGGCAAAACACTGACCCTAGCTCTAGATCCCGTCTTGGCATTACCCCTAGACTTAATTCTAGTCTTTTTTCTACCCTTCCTTACTCTTCCCTTACTCTTAGTAAACCATAATCTTTACAACATAAGCATTAAAACGTAGTTTAAGCTTTAGCCGAATAGTTAGCTAGGGCCTAAATTGAAGCTTAAGCCTAAGTTAAACCATTTGTCTAAAGCTGAACTTAGACAAATTTATACTCTACACGAATATCCTACTCTAGCCTAATCTAAATTACCCTAAACACGTTCTATTAAGTGCCGACATAAGGAACCCGCCATACTTTCTTGTACATTCCTGTAAAAAATAGCGGGTTCTTTATGTCGGCACCTCATATGTTACAAAAACTCTCTTTTGTAACTCTCAAAAGAGAGAATCCTCTTCCTTTCCCTTCACAGCTGTCCCCACTCCTAGCAAATTGTTAAAAACTTTTTTACCTCAACCCTAACGCCTCCAAGGCACAAAACAGTAATATCACCAAAACCTATATTACCCAAATAAAGTGCGACAAAGAAGTGGAATTTATAAAAAGCAAGTTAAGCGAATTATAAATATTTAATAGCCAAAATATTTTAGCAAAAAAAACGTTAGAAAACGAACTATATTACATTTACTGTGTGATTTAATTACAAGATTCATGTAGTTTAACATTATTATCTAATTATAAGTGCGTTTACGCACTTACTATTATCATGGGTATATGGTAGAGTATCCACCCTACCCAAAATAAATTTGAACCTTGTACTTACCGTTTTAAATGAAAGAAGTCTTTTCATATGACACCAGTTGAAACATTCAACAACCAATAATTTCAAACATAAGTTGTTCACCAAAATATCGAAATTATATGGTTTATAACAAGCTAAAGCATACAGGTTTTTGTTACCACAATTATCGTTAATTTTGAAGTCACAAGGATTGAACGTGTTGGTTAAACATTAAATTTTTAAAACTCAACCAACCAAGACATCAGAATTACCCCCTAATCGACCGTGCCGTACCCTACCATACCCTACCCTATCCTACCCTATCCTACTCTATCCTACCCTACCCTACCTTACCCTACCCTACCCTACCCTACCCTACCCTACCCTACCCTACCCTACCCTACCCTACCCTACCCTACCCTACCCTACCCTACCCTACCCTACCCTACCCTACCCTACCCTACCCTACCCTACCCTACCCTACCCCTACCCTACCCTACCCTACCCTACCCTACCCTGCCCTACCCTACCCTACCCTACCCTACCCTACCCTACCCTACCCTACCCCCACCCTACCCTACCCTACCCTACCCTACCCTATCCTACCCTACCCTACCTTACCCTACTTTACCCTACTTATCCTACCTTGAAACAAACCCAGTGAAATAAAGCATGCTAATCTTGAGTATATTAAAGAACCGCGAAAGGTCCCTCGAAAGTCATTGAGACCTTTAAGCTTAACCGTACTAAAGCCTAACCTAAATTACTAAGTCTAAGCCTAAACAAGCTTAAACTTAAGCCAACGTTTAATCTTAACATCCCAAGTCTACTAAGCGTAAGCCTGAACTTGAAGTTAAACTTAAGCCAAAGTTTAAGCCTAAGCTTACTGTGCCTACACATACTAAACGTATTCCTACTAAGTCTAAGCCTAAATCTGAACCTAATATTTATCATAAGCCAAAGCCCCCAACCAAAAAAGTTTGAGCCAAAAGTTTAAGCCTAAGCCTAAACTAAATTCTAAATAAAACCAAAAACTTCGCAATTCTCCACTTAAAAACCGACTCTACAGTATTCTTCCAACCTTGTCCACAAGGTATACGCATAAGAAAGGTTCGGTACGTGTGTCATCTGACAATTATGTGCAAGTTCCAAGACACAAAACAAGAAAAAAAGTGTGTTTAATTGTCATTTTCGTCGAAGACAAAAGTTCTTGACGCCGTTCAGAATAGTAATTAGTAATTGAGGTAATGGGCGTATAAGTAAGTGACACAAATCTTTTTTTTCAAAATTTTTAGTTTTTTAATAAAAAACGGACTTTTTCACAAAAACCTTTATAAATTAGTTGTATAAACACATAGCCGAAGCCTACCAAAGCTGAACTTGAGATTAAACATAAGCCAAGGTTAAACCTACATATCCTAAGCCAATTAATCCCAAGCCAAACCCTAAGTTTAAGCCAATATATAAAACTAAACTTGCATACCCTGAGCCTACTAAAGCTAAGCCTTAAATTTAGCTTAAGCCTAAGTTTTTCAAATAATCGACCAAATTTCAAAACTTATCAATTTATTGTCAAGATGACATTTAACACTAACTTATTACAAACATTAAGAGACCATTAAGAAACAAAACAATAAATAAAAGAACTGACAAAATATACAATTTAAAAAAAAACAAAAATAATCTTGTGCACAACACACAAAATAAGTTTAAGTTCACAATCTTTAAGCTATGTTAACATAAATCGAAAAAATCGCTAAACGTTTTTATGGTACTGAATAGCATGAAACACAAAAGGATTAGAGGTGTAGAAGTAAAGGGTTATTTCTCTCTTAACAGTGAAGAAAGAAAAATGTTAAACCCCCCCCCCTTCCGTAACAAAATCCCTGTGCTCCACTAAATCAATATCCATACTCACAGCTACAAGCAATCCCCACCCCAAATATCACTACCCACTACATCAATATCAAAACGGTCGAATAGTCTGTGGAATGGCTTGAGTTCGGATGCTTTGTGGCACAGTCTGAACTGCAAATTGGCGTCGTGGGTTCTGACTGAAGGCACTCATCGGGATCACGGCCAACTGTTCGCTGATCATTCGTCGCGGCGACAAGGTGGTGCAGACGACTTTTGGCATTGCACTGACCTCTATTTGGTTCTCCTTGGTTTCTGGCTGCATCTTCTTTACAAAGTCCTCGACTTTTGGTATGAAGACGGTGTTGTAGTACTTGATCAAGTCCACATGATGATACTCTTGAGGTTCTGGAGTTTGTGATGATGAAGATGGCCATGGGCCGTTGGAGTTGGAGCATGGGGCTAGTGAGGTTGGCCATGGGCCGTTCGAGTTCGTAGAGCCATGGAGGGAGTTTTGGCTACCGTGACCTGAATCTGGAGCTTGATCTCGGCCTTGATTCTGGTTTTCACGATGAGTATTCTGGCCTTGATTCTGATTCTGCCCTTCACGATGAATATTCTGGCCTTGATTCTGATTCTCTCGCTGAAGATTCGAATTCTGAGCAGAAGCGGTTGATTGAATCGAGTCTCGACTAGCTTCATCCATTACCGTGCTCTTCGGGTATCCCGAATCCACTCGCACGTTACGGTACACACGGCTACTGGATTGGGGTTGGTTACGATAGTGTTGGATAATGACCTGGAAGCTGGTCTCCATGTTCACAACCCGGGCCACGATGTAGATGCAACACATTAGATTCTGGTCGAGATGTCTGCCGGACATCAGGTTAGTGTTGTGACGAATGACATGTTCGAATAGGGTCCAGACCTTGTTTCGGGCCGCTTCGTCGAGGCGGATTCGATCGGCTAAGTCAGTTAGGCGGACTGCGGCCAAGTAATAGAACTAAAATAAAATTCGCAATTACTTTCTCTACAAAGTTTAAAATAGCAATAACTTTCTTTACAGAGCTTAGAATGGCAATTACTTTCTTTACAACGCAAAAAATTGCAAGAACTTACTTTGCAGCCCAAAAAATAGCAATAACTTTCTTTACAAACCATAAAATGGCAATAACTTTCTTTACAAAGCAAAGAATGGCAATAACTTTCTTTACAAAACAAAAAATGGCAATAACTTTCTTTACAACTCAAAAAATGGCAAGAACTTACTTTACAACTCAAAAAATAGCAATAACTTTCTTTACAGAACAAAAAATCGCAATAACTTTCCTTCCAATTCCAAAAAAAACCACAAAAACTTTCTTTCCACCCCTACCTTTCTAAAGAACAAGCCAATGCCAGATGGTGGTCCAACCTCATCAGTGCCTTTTTTCGTTGGAATCGCCAAATCATCGCTAAATTCCATTTTCCTTTTCACTGCTTGAGGCAACTTCATTGGACTAGCGACGTAGCGGGTGTGGACTGGTTGTGAGCCAGTCAGGTCTTGTAGAAGTTGGTCGCACGGTGGGATTTCGCGCTTCTGAATCGCTTGCCAAATCGGTGAATCCGGCTGCCATGCCAACTCGTCTAGGACCTTTTCCTCGCAGCGGTTTAGATGTTTTACCATTTCGCGGGTTAGCTCCGGGTCTGCTCGGATTACTACCTAAAATTAGAAAAAAAATTTTTTTTAATGTTCAAAAGTTAAGAAACAGTACCAAAATGTTATATTTAATCAAAAATACAGTCGTATTTTCATTTCTATACATCTTGCGCTCAATTTCGTCTACAGTGCAACACTTGACCCGAAATCCAAATTTTGAGTCAAGTCTTCCCCTCATAATAAAACCTTTAAAATTGTAAAAAAAATTTTTTGAATACACTTTAAAAAACTCTCCTACTTAAAAATATCATTTTTAATACCTATAGTACCTATTTTTCTTAATTTTCCCAAAAAAGCATGTCCACCTATACCTACTTCAACATATAACTGCAAAATATAGCTTCGAACCAAAAACTGCTTTAACAAGAGTTACGTATATGCCTCTTATATAGCCTTACATAAACAAATTTTGATCATTGTAAACAAAAAAATCATTTTTATCACCTACTACCTACTACAATATCATCAACCTACCTCAATAATCTTGTAAAAGTTGATTGGAGCCATTCCGATTGTCTTCACTGACCATGGAAAGCCTCTCTGACTGTCGTATGAGTTTGCTACCAGCTCGAACGCTGCCGTATATAGACCATAGATAAAGTCTTGTTTACGAAGAATGGCAGCCAGTTCTTCTGAATCCGCTCGGGGGTTTCTTGCTCGATCATACATGATTGTTGCTTGGAGAAAGCGGTAGAAGAGCTGCTCGACTTGTACCAGGCGTTGTTGAAGTTGGTTTGAGAAGGAGGAGTCGAACTCTTGGCCAAATGTGGCCGCTTCGTCATCGCATCGTCTTGATATTAGGTTTTCGAGGTGTTCAACTGAAAAACAGTTAAATTATGAATACCCTACCACATAAAATAACCTCCTTTTACTAATTAAACGTTATTTTCAATATATTTTTGATCCCGAAGCTTCAAAGAAAGTCTTGTCGTTTTTTACGTTCAAAAGCAATACAAATTGAAGACAAGACTTTCTTGAGCTCTTATATGGCATTTATTTGTAATTGACGGTAAATTTCATGTCATATTAGATAGTAATTATCATTTTAAGTAACAAAATACGCCTTTAAAATTTTTAAAAAAAGTCTTATCGTTTTTTACCTTCAAAATCAATACAAATTGATGACAATACTTTTTTGACGTACTTATATGCCATTTATTTTTATAGAGCAATAAACTTTATGTTATATTAGATAGTCAATATCATTTTAAGTAACAAAATACGTCTTTCAAAATTGAAAAAGTCTTGTCGTTTTTTACATTCAAGATCAATACAAATTGGCGACAAGACTTTTTTCACCCCAGTGAACGTTAAAAAATCACCAAACTTATTAAAAAAGCATAAAACTAATCACTCCCTTACCAGTATCATTGATATAAGCCTTCAAATTCTCTGAAGAATGATTCAGTAGCCTGTCAAACTCTCCATCACTATTCTTGTAATCCTGAGCTGTCAGTTCGGCTAACTTTTGAGCTTTATAAGAAGCGGCCGATACCGGGGTAACCGGAACGAACTGTTCAGATGATATGATATAAGACCGTGCTGACAATGGGGTATTCAAAGGTTTGGCTTGAAGTTGAACCTTTTGAAGACAACTTTGGGTTGACATTCTTAATAAGAGGTCCGCGTCCACCGCCCATTGAGAGTTTAAGTTGCAGCGGCGAAGGATGGTTATGGCACTGTCTAAAAATAAATTTTGTTGCCTAAAGGCATAAAATTTCATTCCTTAGCTCAAAAGCAAAAAAATTGAATTTTGTTACCTAAAATTTAAAAAAAATTTCATTTTTGTTATCTAAATTAGCACAAATATTCAATTTTGTTACCTAAAACACATAAAATTTCCTTCTCTAAAAACCAACAAATTTTATTTTTATTACCTAAAACAGCCTAAATCTCCAATTTTGTTACCTAAAAATAAAAAAAGAACAAAAATTCTAAAAGTAAGGATAACTTACCATCCAAACTTTCATTAAAAACCATATCAACATTGTCCACAACGTGTGATATGAATACCCGTTCATCAACTTCCATTCGCTTTAGCATTTGAGTTTCGTACAATTCGTTTAATTTCGTCCTGAAATTTTAAAACTTGAAAATTTAATTTTTTTTAAAATTTACGTCTCATAACCTCAGCTTTACCAATCTTACATTATTATTTGACTAAAGACCCTCAAATCCCAGTTTTATATTATCTTAACTTCTATAAACACCTAAAACGATATAATGATTCATAACAACAAAAATAATAACCCTCACACCAATACCACTACAAAAAAACCCTTTTCGAGTTACCCCTCCCTAATTCCAATAAACTCACTTGTTATGCTCGATAGCATTCAAAAGTTCAACCGGCTGTCGCTTGTCCAATGTAGGTAACAACAAAGTTCCTTTCGTCGCCAATTCCGTAAAAACAGGTAATAGCCAATGTACTCTCAGATGTTTGGCGTCCAATTCGACTCCATCAAACTGACGACAAATGAATTCCAAAGGCGAGTCTTCTGAATCCATCAGTTTAACAAACTCCGGGTTGAGTACTGGACTTTCCACGTTACGTAGCTCGCTGAAGCAAATCTCTACGAGCGAGATTAGAATGTGATACGAGCTGAGAAGATCGTCCGTGCCAACCGGTAAACATTCTAAAAATTTGAGACATTTAGATTAGGTTTGGCATTCAAAATTAATATTTTAGGCTAGTTTCGGGGCAAAAAATCCACCAACATTAAACTTTTATCGCTAAAACCCGCAATAACTTTTTTTACAGTAAACTTTTGTCCGGTTTATTTATCAACAATCTTTACTAACATCTACTTTATGCTTATCAATTGTAAAATTCTCGTTACTTTGCCCACTTTGCCTTAAAAACATCAAAGATATACACCATGCCTTTCTACTTCTTATAATGTAATAAAACCATAATAACCATCCTTAAAAATCCAAATTTTAAAAATTTTTGGTCGAAAATCCTTAATAATGATCTACTTGTTTATTATCTTTAATAATATTCTCAAAACTTCCCGATTTTACCTTCAAAAACATCAAAAATATACACCATGCCCATCGCCTCCCAAACCTACTTTTCAAAGCGATCAACGCTGTCCAAATAAACTCAAAAAGCTCGGCCGTTCCAATATTCTCCACCGTTTGTGAGCTCGTCCTAGCTGAGTGGATTCTGAAGACGGCACGGAAGATCTTCAAGTACTTTTTGTATATCACAGTAGAAACAGACAAGGACGCTTCAACTCTCGTCGCATGGTCAACCAGACGTCTTGAGGCACTGATCATATTCAACCATTTACCGAGCTTCACAAAGAACTCTAGTACACTAAAATTTCAATTCATTCACTTGAAGTCTTTTTAAACTGATTTTTGTTACCTAAAATCTTTAAAGGTAACGTAGAAACTTATTTATTACGTTTTTTAGCTAATTTTAGCATTAAAAACATTCAAGATACCATGGGTAATATAAAAACTTCAAAAAACCCCAGCTTTTAATGTGTTTTTACCTAAATGTTCAATAAAAAATCAAAAGCATACCTAACATTACATGTCCTCAGCAATTTCAACAACGAATAAGTGTAAACCGGATCCTGCCCATATGGTGTAGCTTGAAAACTGTTGGTGTAAAACGAACAAACCATCCACACCTTCTCGTTCCCTTCCAGCAATACCTGTTGCTTTATCTGATCATATTGCTTCCAAGCCTTTTCCAATAACAAACCATCAATATCGGGATCGAATTCCCTGAACAACTCCACAAATTCGTTAGTAACTTCCATCGATGGCTCAGCTAAATCCTCCATCTCATAGGTTTCCTCCTCCAACTCTTCAACTTCCTCATGATCCGACATTGTTAGACTAGTCTAAAGTAAATTAATATAACTTGATGAATTTTTAAAATAACAATCTGTAACGCATTTAAATAAGTTTCTTATAGTACATATTAACTTTTTAAAACAAAAAAATAAAACAACATACACCAGATATGATAAATAACATAATATTTTGAATATTTACCAAAGTTTCCCTCTCTAAAACCTTTTCAAACCCTGCCTAAAAGCTTTAGCATAATATTAAGTACCTAAACCACCACATAACAATCAACACAGCCTTGTATCCTTCAAGAAACATCAACTTCCCCCCAAGAACAACATCGAACTTCCCTTAAAAAAGTCGTAAATATGTAAAACAAAGCCGAAACTATCAGTAAATGCCACTGATATGCCACAAAATATTACGCCGAGCTACAATCAAGAGCCAAACTATTAGCTCGAGCAAAAGAATTGGGTTCCACAAGCTTTTCTCTCCTTTCGCCCGCCAATTTTCCGTTTCCCTCCCAAAAATCGGATGGCGCTCGTTTTGGTGCGTCCCACCACGATTGTTCCCAGTTGCAACGATACAGATGGTTGAGATTGTAAAAGTTGAAGAATTTTGCAATAAAATTACAAGTTTATTAATACATGTTTGAAGCACTATTTTTTTACTTATTTTGGAAATAAGATAGGAAAATAGAGTTAAACCAAGGCTGACCTTGTTTTAGCCGCCTTTGCAGAAAGCTGCTACTGTACTTCCTATTACATATTAAGCATAAAAAGGAGAGTAAAAGTAGAGAAAAGTAATAGCAAATCATACCTACTAAAATTTGAATTTTCCAAAAGTTTTTAATTTTTTTGCTTTGTTAAAAAGTTCTAAAAAAATATTTTCCAAAGATTTTTCAATTGTTCATAGTACAAAAAATTTTAATTGAAACATTTTATTGCGTATTTTACCATTTCCTACCATACAATGTCATTCACTTCAAATTTACCACTTATTTTACCCATCAATAGCTTATCCAATAAATCCTGTGGCATTTCGTTGCGATTTCCGATAATTTGTGTTGAAACTAAAATTAATTTCCAAATTGCGAAAAACAACAAATTTTGACTGATTTATACGTTTTAGGAACGGTTTGTGATATGTTTTGGTTTAAAACCTGCTTTTTTACTAAGAAATAATATTTTTGGTTGTTATGCGTGTGTAACGTCAGGTTTTTAATTTTTTTAACTGGGATTTTTTAATTTAATAGATAAGGTAATATTTATCTTGAAGGAAAATATATCTTCTATTGGGAAAAATAACCCTTTGGTCTGTTATACTGTTGGAAAATATATTTTTTTTTCAATTTCTTTTAGATTCACATTGATATAAGTGTGTGTCAATTGCTTCCTATACTCAAAAACCACGTGTTGTATCAATAAAATTTTTAGGTATGTTAACAAGCACAGTCTTCTCATGGTTTCTGGAATGTCAAACTGACTTGTCACTTAATATTGGGAAGGAATTCGGGCTTGCGAAGCGGGATTCTGCGGGATTTTCGGGTGATTTCCCTTTTCATTGAAGGCGATTCAACGGGAGATTAATTTCACTTCTTTATGTAATATCTGTGGTTATGTGGTTGACAGGGTAATTTTCGGTTTCTTTTCTTGTTTTTCTGATTTTAGATTGGACATTGGGCCAAGTGTTAACGAGGTTTGGGACTATCAAAGTGAAATGGGAGTTATAGGTCTTGGATAATATAACTTAGGGTGTGGGAGATGTTAAGCACCTTTTTTTTATAAGAATACAGTCTTATAACACGCAGACAATATTTTTTTTATCAATACGAACAAAAATTTAGAATTTGCGTAATTTTTCGGTAGACAAACGACTTGATATTGCGCGTGGTACCTAAAATAAGTGCTGCTTTATTGAAAAACCTTTCTTTAATTGAAGTTATTCAGGAAATATTGGCAAGTGGAGTTCAGTCGTGACTTTTAATTTTATAAAATGCACTTTATTATAAGTTTAAAGCTGTATTTTTAGTTCTCTTTTGCGTTTTATATTGTTTTAGGCATCAAATTCGTGAGGAGATTTCTGATGAGCTTTTTGAATTAAATAGCTTGGTTATAGTTTCTTTATGTAAATTATAGAATTCGTTTACATTTTTAAAAATTTTGCTGGTTCAGTTTGGTTAGAAGGCCACCATATGACCTTGAATAGATAATCTTACCAAAACCTGCCAAATTCAATAATTTTAATTTATTTTTAAGCGTTGTTTTTGAATCTTTAGTGGGCTTTACTATCAAATTTTGATATTGACCTTTTACTGTAGTATACTGTATTCTAATAAAAAGTGGAACACGGTATACTGTGCTTGACTACCGTATACTGTCCTCGACTACAATCGTAACATCAAAGTTACGGTGGAGGAAAGTAGAATAAGTCTCCGATCAACTAGACCCTTTTTTAATATAACGCGCAGACAGTCGGGCTGTTTTTTTTATGCGACGCGACAAAGAAATTGGTCTCGTCGTGATTATAGCCCTTTAAGCTGTTTGCAGCTGTTTTTTTTTCGAAACGCGACAAAATTACGCGCAAATTTTTTGAATTTTTGGAATTTTTGTGAAATTTGAAGAGGTTGGATTGAAATTTGAAAATTTTATTTTTTGGGGTGATTTGAAATGACAGTTTTTTTTATTATTTTCTGGTTTTATTTTTTAATTTTTAAAAATTTTAGCTTTTTGTTACCTAAATTTTAATATTTTCCGCTTCACCGTATTTTTTTTTAATTTTAGAGGTTTTGTTACCTGAAGTCTTATATTTTTCGTATTAACCCTATTTTTGTTTTTAAAGTTTCAGCTATTTGTTACCTAAATTTTAATATTTTTCATTTCAACCCTAATTTTAAAAAATTTTGGTTAATAATGAAATTGGGGTTAAAATAAGCAGACTTTGATCCAAGAAAAAGATAAGTTTTAATAAAAATGTGATAATGGTTTCATAGTAATGTATTAAACTCAGCTAAACAAACAATCGTCACGTTTTTTCTGTGTTTACCAAAATAGACAGACGGCTTTTCTCGAAAAGTGTAGTTAATTGTAGAGGTTTCAACGTGATAACATGAATATAAAATGTTTTTTTTTCTCATACTGATATTGCTAACGTGAATATTCGACGTTTTTTGAAAATTTGACCGTGCCAACGTGAAAATGACCTTTTTCAAAATTTTAAAATAAAAATTACAGTTTTAGAGCAATCAAATAGAGCATGATGGAAGTAGGACCAAGTGGACTACCGCTAGGCACATATGAGCTTAAAATCGGCCAAAGCTTCGGAAAATCGAGGAAAAACAGTGATTATCACACGTTGAGATGTAGGTTTTTAAATTTTTCAATCTTGATGACAGGCAATGTCACATCTTCTTAAGAAGGCTATGTTAGACAACATTAATTATATTTCACACCTTATTTTAATCAATTTTGCAAGAGAGAAAGACTTGACTCGGAAGCTCATCTTTTGGGTCAACTGTTTCTCTTACTATACATTTTACGTATATGAGTAAGAAAATACGATGTTAATATAAATTTGACGATTTCAGATGATTTTAAGCCGAAATCCATTGGAGGCGAGACAGAAACTTTTGTCGCGATCAAGGATAACGATGATGTACAGGTGAGTCATGGTTAATATAGCTTTTTCTTTAAATTTTAAGCAAATAATAGCTATTTTTGAAATAGAAATGGTTTATATTTTATAGATATATATTTTCACTTTACTTTCATTCAGTTTTCGTAATGAAATTGGACGTATATTGCAGTTTATGGCTAATAAAATTAATCGAGTTAGGGTTGGCAAGCCTTTTTTTCGAATTTTTGATTGAAAAAAGAGCTAATTTTTGAAATTTCAGATAGCAATTGCAAGCGAAGGTCGAGATGACATAACCATGTATAAAGGAAGCAAGAAACCCATCAAGGACGGCAAGGAATGCTTGTTGATATTCAATGAAACGACCGGCGAAATGCGCCTGGAGAAGATTGCTTCTAATATCAACGTGAAACAGACTAGGTATGTTTATACTATTTTTTAAAGTTTCTAAGATAGTACTGGCTAGTTTAGACACATTAAGTGTGGTTTTTACTTCAATTTTTTTAAAAATCATGTTTTCGTCGCGGGATCAAATTTTTTTAAATTTTCCGAAATTTTTAAAAGTAATGTTGAAACTGACGTTTGAATGTTAATAAAATGTCTTTTTTAGAAAAGCAGACGACGATGCGGACAAAGTACTACGGGAAGAGGTCACTCGACTACGCAAAACTAAGCCAGGAAAGCCCAAAAAGTCGAAGCCAATCGAAGAAGAAGACGAACCAGAGTCCTCAAAACCATCTCCACCCGAACTAACGCCAATCCCTCAGTCTAGCACTCCACTGTCGCCACCCAAGTCACACAAGTCAAGAGAAAAACGGGCTTCAGAATGCAAAAAGCACGATGATGCTCATATGAGTTCATCAAGCGAATCCTCTGATTCCTCTTCAGATTCATCGGATTCTTCAGACGAATCAGATGGAGAAGAATCGACGAAACGTGCCAAAGAAGTTGCGAAACGCCAGCGGCCGGAATCCAGCAACTTTTCTAGCGACGATGAAGGTAAGGTTTGCCAGTCGGATTTTGGTGGTCATGGTGAAGATAAATTGAATTTTTGGTGGTTTAATGGAAAGATTCGCATGGTTTTTGGATAATATATGGTAGAATAGATATTTTACTCTGTAGGAACTATAAAACTAATGTTGTATTCATTGTAGCCGCCCTAGAAAAACATCTAAACGCCAGCGGACCAGCATCAACAATGTCGAGTCAACCCGCAAGTTCATCGAAATCAACCCCAAAAGACTCGACGAACCCAATAAAATCACAACAACAAGTGGATGAGCTGTTTAGTGATATGGACATGCCCAATTTACAACCAGTCCAGCCCGCCCCAGTCCAGAAAACTCAGCCCGTGCCGAAGAAAATGGAAAAACATAGCCAAATGCTACTACAAAACGACCTGGATCTGAGTGAAAGCTCGGATGAGGACTAGATGTGAGGGTTCAGCATGTATAAGATGGTGTAGAATGTAAGAGTAATGTTATAGCTATGTTCTTCAAGTAAAAGGCTAGTTTAATTTAAGAAAATTGGTCTAAAGTCTGGTAGAATCGTTTAAAGTTATTTTTTGTGGTCTCTTTTTGGTAATTTTAGCCTAGTCTAGTCAGTATACAGTGCTTTGTCATGCCAAATTTGGTCTTCTGATATTATCAAACACATTGTGTCAAATGAAAAATGTTAAAATTAAGTTTGTCATATACCTAAATGTCACTTTTATCACTAAAAATTAATTTTAAAAGCTCAAAAAAAGCTAAAATACGATTTTTATCAGCAAAAAGGTAATAAAAGTGCCATTTTGAGACAAACTAGACATAAAAAGTGACATAACTTTTCGAGATTTTCAAATCAAGCAGCTACAACAAACATACGTTTACACCAATATCAATCTTATCCTCCTCTTACATATTATCCACGCCTAAAATTATATACCGGTCGATTGTTTTCTTCCATTTCCGGGTCGATTCTTGTCGTTAAAATACGATTTTCTTGTTCAAATAAACGATAAAAGCATAACGTTTGGTTTTTTGTGGTAGGGTAGGGGAACTAAAGCAGGATAGGGTAGAGTAAGGTATGATGAATAGGGTTAGGGTGTAGCAGAAAGGCAGATTATAGGATGTGAAAAAGTAGGGCAGATTAGAGCAAGTTAAGGTAAATTTTTATAATTCCCCACAAGGTAAGGTGGATTAAAGTAAGATCAGGTAGGGTAGAGTAAGGTAGAGATCAGGCCTAAAAAGTGTGCCCCGCCCGACTACGCAAGGCCCGACCTGCTGGCTAGGCACTGTTTCATTTTGGCTAAAGGCAGGCCTAATCATAGAACCGGGCCTACACAGTCTTTTTCTTAACCCACAGCAAAGAAAGCACGTTTAGGGTGGGTGAAGCAACGGTAAGAGCAGAGTAGTGTAGAGAAATGAGGACAGGGTTAAAGTAGGCCTAAATATCATGCCATTTTGAAACGTAAAATACGAGCAAAATATCAAAAAGAATTTGTAAGAAATTTGCTTGGAAACCAAAAAACCTTTGAAGCGGCGCTCAAAAAATTCGTAAAACATTAGCATAACAACAAAAAACATTTGGAATTGTACTGTTTTGGGATTTTTTGTTTTGTGCCATTTTTAGACGTATTAAAAAGGCAGAAAATATATTTATTTTTAAAATTTATTACTTAAATTTATATTTTTAACGATTTTTATTCGATTTTCGAAAATTTTCCTTTTTGTTACCTAAAATATTTAAAATTTAGTTTTTAGATAACTGAATGCCATTTTAAGTGTATAAAATGGCAGAAAATAGATTCATTTTTAAAATTTATTACTTAAATTTATATTTTCAATGGTTTTAGGCAAAATTTTAATTTTTGTTACCTAAATATTTAAATTTCACGTTTTTTTGCCATTTTTAATTCGACAAACATACAATTTTTGAAATATTTTTTAACATCGAGTTCTTGCCTTTATTACCTAATATTTCATACCTAAATTAATAATTTGCATTTTGTTACCTAAAATATTTTACTATATATTTTACTTTTAGCTTTTGGACAAAGCAGTGCCATTTTTAATCGTACAACCCTAAAACTTTCATAATATATTTTTAATCTTAATTCCTTGCCTCTATTACCTAAACTTTCACACTTCAACTAATATTTTCCAATTTATGACCTAAACTTTTCCATTTTGTTACCTAAAATTCAAAATATCCATCCCAGGAATGGTGTCACTAATACTGGACGAGAATCCTCCAGCAATATGTGCTACACGAATTCTGAAGCCATCGTTTCTATTTCTGTTAAGTTTAACAGTCCTATTGACTGGACTAGCCATGTTTACACCCGGCTGGCACTACTTTCCCAAGCACACTGACAGAATGGGCATTATTCATCAGGGCTGTACCTATGTGACCTGTCAGGTTTATTGGGATGTAAGAACTTTGTTTACAAGCATTTTTGTACTTTTTAAAATTTTTTTTTTAAAATTCAAAAATTAAAAAAATTTAAAAAAAAATTTTTAAAATGCAATTTTAAAATGGACATTATTCAAAAAATGTCATTTTTCATCAGCCTCAGTCTAAAAATGGCATTTTCACCTAATTTCAAAAATTTTAGTCCAGACCAGAATGGGAATCTACAGTAACCACCATGTTGTGGATAGCCTTTGCCACTGGGATGGTATTACTAATATGGACAGTTACTGCTTACTTCTGTTTGTTAACACCTGGCTTCTTCATTGGAACTACAGTTTTATGTCTTATGGCCACGATTTGCCTAGCAGTCGCCGTTGGAGTGTTTGGGACCAAAAATGGCGACGAAATTGGTGCTTTTAGGACATTTTTTTCAAAACTTGATCCAATTTCAAAATTTTTTAAAATAAATAAGGGCAGGGTAGGGTAGAAATAGGGGTAGTTATACCTTTCAAGGTAGGGCCGTTAATTTTAGTATCCCTTGTTGTTATTACAACCTTATGTTACAATTAGGTTGTTCAAATAATTCTGCGCCCCTTTCAAATCAAATTTTGCAATTTAAGGGCACAGAATTATTTGCACAACCCAATGCGACCCTATTTTTATGCAAAAACTTTCATTTTTTTAGCAGCCATGAGCAACCGTGTTAGCACTACAGACTGGACCAATACCGTAGGCTACAGCTTTTGGCTAGCTGTCACTGCTACGGCCTCTTTCTTCGCCACCACAGTTTTATCATTGACCGCTGCTGTTGTTTATCATATGCTTCGGCTTTATAAATAGCAAAATGAAATAACTATTCACGACGTTGCTTTGTAAAGGAAGTTTTTGCCGTTTATTGTTCTGTAAAGAAAGTTATTGCAAGTTTTTGATTTGTAAAGAAAGTTTTTGCCATTCTATGTATTGTAAAGAAAGTTCTTGCCATTTTTAAAGCTTCCAACTTTCAAAAATTTAATTTAAAATAATATAAATTTATTTTTAATAATAATTTCAAATAGTTCGATAAATTACAGTAACATAAACTTAAAAAAATAAGACACTTGGGTGTTTGTTCCAATATAAAAATTGACTTCAAAAGTTCTCGGACAGAGCGCACAGTAAATGAATTTCTAATAAAACTGCACTGTGCAGTCAAATAAACCTGCACCGTGCAATCAAAATAAGACAGCACTGTGCAACCAAGCCAAGCTGCACCATGCAGTCACAAAACCTCTGCACTGTGCGACCAAAATCCTTGAACTTTTAAAGACATTAAAAAATAAAATACGATTTGACAAGTTTATAACCAGCTTTAAGACCACTATTATAGTCCACTGTCACTACTTTTGTCTACAAAGTTCTTGAAAAAACTTTAAATTTCAACTTTCATTTTCACTGCACCGTGCAGTCAGAAAAACTGCACTGTGCAACCAAAATAAAGGTAAACTTCACGAACTTTCGGATCAACATAATGATCTAGCAGCAAATATTAGTCTAAAAATGTCAAAGCCGTATGATAAAAAAAAAGTCTTAAAAAAAATTTCAAAATTTTTTTTTAAATTTTGAAATTCGAAATGACAAGTTTTTATGTAATTTTTCAAGAATTTTGTTATTGAAGACTATATAAACTCGAATGATATATTTTTGAAATAAATATCTTAAATAGAAATGTAATAGCTAAATTGATTGAACATTAAATGGTTAGATGGAGAAGATTTTAGGTATAAACAATGTTTTTGCCGTTTTTCTCCGTATTTTAGCCAAAAATATTCAATTTTACAGAGACTTTTTGACCAAAACTCATTGATTATTACCTAAAACTCTTCAATTTTCACCATTTAATCTAGGTTATGACAAAAAGAATGGCTTTTTCAATTCAAACTGTACTGTAATTCATAGTACCGTGCAGGAATTCACAGTACCGTACAGCAAATTATAGTACCGTAAAGTACTTCATAGTAACTTCCTATAATTCACAGTACCGTACAGTACTTCACAGTACCGTGCTGCAATACGCAGTACCTTACTATAAGTACCATACATTCAAATGATAAAAAAGCGCCATTCTTTTCCGCCCAACCCAGTAACTTCCGTACCCTCTTTAAGAGTGGAATACAGGTATTAGGTGCTTAAGCAGACCTCGAAATTAACAAAAACAAGACGACTATTTAGAATTTAATGAACAAAAACAAGACCAAATACACTAGGAAATGATACAGTACCACAAACACGTTATCAAACATCGTACTACGAATACAAAAAGGAAAAATGGTCCACTTGAGCCGGCTCTTAATGAGCTCCGATTGGCTTCGACGGTCCCTTTTTGTTGTCTTTGGGCCCGTCCTTCCGTGGGGCACGGCGGCGTGGGGCCACGCTGGTGCCTCCGAGACCGCTTAGGCCCGACAGAATGGACTCGTCGATGCCTTGTGCCTTGAGTTGTTCGGAGAGTTGTCGTTGAATGTCGGCCATGGCTTCGGGCGAAATGCCTTCGCCTTCGATGACTAGGCCGCCGGCTTGGGCGCGGACTTTTTCTTAAAATCAAAGGTAAGGCTAATCAATTTAAAAGCCGTAAAAACAATGTAAATCAACTTTACTACATCCTTACCCCCCCCCAAAAAACCCTACTACAAGATTCTCAACTACCTTCAAGCACTTACCTTGTTGAGCCACCGGGCTAACTTGTCCCAATCCCGAGTCTTCGGAGCTGACCAGCGATGATTGGCTGGTGGAGATTTTGCTGGCTACACCGTTAGATGGCTTCTGGACACCGTTCACCTTTGGTGCGGTACCATTCTGCTTCTGTTCCACTTTTGGTTGCGGTTTTGGTGCACCATTAGCTTGAGGTTTGGCTTGTTGTGGGGCTGGAGCAGCGGCTGGTACCACCACGTTACCGGTTTGGTACACTAGAATTTAAAATGGTAAATTTAATGTTTAAATTAATTTTAATACCTAAAATTCATTTTTGATTCCTAAAATTCTTTTTGATACCTAAAGGTATAAAACACTTTTCATACCTAAAACCCATTTTAAAAAACAATTCTTACCTGAACCAAACTTTCCAATGCTCCTCAACGATGGATTTTCATCAAAAGTAAAAGGCGAGTTCAAAATCGTCTCCAAACCAGCATTACCGGCCGTGAATTTGGCGATATCACCGTTCTGTGCGCTCTTCTGAATCTTCTCCAACAACGAACGTTGTTTCTGAGTCTGCCTCTCAACTTCAGATTTGACGGCTTCCAATTCAGCCGATAGCTGACGATCACGTTGTTGAACGGCAGCCAAAATGGCGTTGATGGCGGCCGTTTTTTGGTTTTCGGCCCTTGAAATCAATTGCCTTAGGGATTGCACGGTGCCATCAAGATCCTTGGCCAACTTTTCAACTTCAGAAGCTCTGGCCGAGACATCCAGAGAATTGAAGGCTTGGACAGTTTCATTCACCTTGGCCTGATCGACCTTTGGCTTTGGTGGTTCGGAGGTGGTAGGTTTGGCTGAAGCTGGGGTGGGTTTAGCTTGAGCTGGCTTCGCGGCAGCTGTAGCGTTCGATTGGCCATTCTTCTTGTTCTTCTTCTTCTTGGCAACAGCGCCGTTGGTTTGCCATTCTCCCAAGGCTGCTTCCTTGCCTAAAAACAGAGAATTTATTATGTTTATCACTCTGAACAGTAATTATATCGTTGTTAATAATAATGCCGAGAATAAATCTTCTTTCTTTGATCATAACCTTCCTAAAATTCGAAAAATGCAACTCAAAACCTTACCTTCAGTGAAAGCGTTGATGGTTTTGTTCACGTCCATGTCAAAGTTGTGCAGCGCCAGCATGATGTCGTTCTTGCTGACATCACGTACGATTTCGCGGACCTTGGCGACTTTAGCGTCGATGGCAGCTTTCTCAATTCCGGCCTTTGACATGGTTTAATCGGTTCCTCTACTAAGCAAAAACGAAAGCAATAAATACAAGAAAAGCGGCGAAGTTTCTAACGGCAACCCGTTTCGGAACAACTGAAAATCAAACATTATATTGTTATATTCATCATAATGACATTTTCATATGGCGAATACGCGAAAAGGTACCACGTAACATAATAATAGTATATTTAGCACTAAAAACGCCAAATTTCAAAGCTAAAACTTCAAAAAACTATTTTTTCTGTAACGAATTCGCAACACAAGTCGATTTGAATAAAAAATCTTGATTCATAACAGACAAAACCAAGGAGAACAATACGATAAACAAGTAGATAAACAATATTTACTAAATACAAGCATCTGGAAACCACGAAAATGCTTGTAATTCTGTTTTTCAGCCAAATTTTTGTTCAAATCCGGAAATCCCATAATCCCTAACTACCGTTTTTGACGCTTAAAACTACTGAGACTGCAGTCGGAAACACTAGTAGAGAACGACAAGTACAAGTTTTAAAAAACTCTTCAAGAATTACCCAAATTCAGTGACATGCCTAAACTCAATGCATAAACACTACATAAGGTTAAAGGTCAATAGCATAACAATAAAATTAATATACGTGAAAGCAGTTAAAGTGCGAGTCGAGTTCTTTGACGTCAATCTAAACCTTTTCCTACGTTGAAGTCAATCAAACGATGTCTTCCTTTATATTTCTGAGACTGATAAGGATTATCAAATGTATTCACAACTTTTTTCAAAATTTCTAGAACTCAAAACCTAAAAAGAACTTTCATACTATTCACATATTTTTGCAAACAAAAAAATATGTTGAAAAGCAATTCAGGTATAATGTACTTCCAAAAACTTTGTAAAAATGTTGAAAATTCGTTTGGTAAGCTTTTCAATATAAAAAAATATAAAGGAAGACGCAGTTTGATTGCCTTTAACAGCAAAAAGTTTAGATTAACGAAAAAGAACTCAAATCGCACTTCAACTACATACGCATAGGCTAATATTACACCTTCAAAACTTCCTTACTATCTCATAAATAAAAAAAAAGATAACTTCTTTACTGTCTGAACAAAAGAATACTTCTTGCAGTACCATTTTAAGCCCAAAACCGAAAACAAAAAAACAAACTTTCGTAAATAAGTGATCCCCGACTAACTAACACTAGACAGCACATTTGAAACTTATGTATAGCAAAACCCCTTTATAAAGAATTAATTAAAAATCCCCGAAAAATTCGTTATACAGCAGTTCCACCGTGTTTAACAACAATCAAACACAACACTTATTGTCAGTACTTTAAAAACAAAAAAACGATACCTTTTTCACTACTTTAATAATAAAAAACAATGCCTTTTTCGCTACAGCAATAAAAAACAATAAGTCTTTCACTACTCCAACAATGAAACACACATTAAAGTACCATTTAAACCGCAAAAACCGACGACAATCGAATAAACGTTGCGTAAGCAACACTCCAAACCCAAGTTTTAAATCCCATTTCTTTTAACCAAAAGGCTTTTGTAGAGAAACGAAGGGAAACGAAGGGCGCCGACTGAACGGGACCCCTCAGCGAGAAGAAGAGCTGCCAGTGCAACGTTGTGACGTGGCCCGCCGCCACCGCTGCTGCTCCCATTCCACCACAGCCTTGACATTAACCTTATTTCGAGAAAAACCGTCGCAAAAAAAACCGAACTGACAATCACGAATGGTCATCTCGGCGACGAAATGGATACGATAATCAGCAACAATTGGAAAAAAAAGTGATTTTTGGATCGAAGAGTTATAACTTATTAGTTTTTAGGGTTGATAAGTTGTTTTAATTGCAAGTTTTTTTCTTTTTTTTACTTTCTATAAGATTTTTTAATTTCTAGGTTTATTTTGAATTTATTTGTATTTTCACCTACTACAAGGATATTTGGCAGCAAAGCCTGACTTATTATAGTTAAAAATAATCTTTAGATTGGTAAGCAAACAAGTTAAGTCATTAACATGTTCTTTCGTATTAACTGTGTCCAAACACATTTTTGTTAACATTATCTTGTTCATAAATCAACGTAAAACACAAAGAAGATACAACCAATCCTACCTGTCGAATTTTTGTGGGATCGGCTCTGGAGGGGGGTGAATCCACCCCCCCCTAGCGACGCCCCTGCAACCAATATCATCAACACTACTTATAACCAAGATTCCGTGTCTTAAAAAAAATTTTACAACTAAATCATACCTAAAAAATAAAAAAACAAAACCTTCGATACTAAAAACCGTAAATCACCCCCTTATAAATCAAAGATTATAATCAGAAACAAATTTTCCGCAAAAATTCCTAAATTTTTTGCTATTACAACATCAAGAAGATGAAGGAAATCCCCCATACAATCTTCCACTCGAAAGCAGGCTGACATAAAAACGACAGCCTTCTACAATAACCAACAAAAACAACTTCCTGAAGAAACAAGAAATTCCGCAGACCGGAAATAATTTACAAGCGAAACGATATTATTCATGATCGCGACGGAATATCGAAATTGAACCAAATAAACTAACGAATACACGGTATATTAATTTAAAATTACACATTCACTACTTACTTTCGTTTACACAAAATTTTGAACAAATGAAGACATTAGTCCGCGTTTTATATTGTTTTACAGATATAGACTCTACAACAAGATGCTACTTGAGAATAAGTTATTAAAACCACAAAATAACCGTAAAACTTAAAAAAGTAAGCCATAATCTATAACTATAAAACACAATTAAACCACAAAAGTGTGCAGTATCAAGAATATCACCCAGAAAAGTCCATTTCAAGTCTATCAACTCCATTTTCTCAAAATATAACTAAAGATACCGCAAGAACCTTCCATTTACAAGTCGTAATCGTAAAATAAATACTTATACATCAAATCACAACAAGCCATAACCTTTTACATCAATATTAACCTTATTTTAACAATCTATACCACGTTTCCTTCAACAAAACTTCAGTTTTTAACTATCAAAACCCCTTCAAACGTCCTAAATTTCAAAGGTAACCAAACTAACATCTCGAAATGTTCAATTCCGTCTTCTTTTGCCTAAAAACCAACAAATAATGTAAAAAACAAACTTACAACCGACTGATTGGAAAAGAGGATCAACCACAGCTTGTTTAATCGCTTGTCGAACTGCGCCCATCTCTCCACATTTTCCGCTTCGAGTCCCAACATGCTTTTGGCATTCTGTTTTAGAATCGCCGGAAAGTTGTTTTGTTTATCAAAATGTTCGAAATTTTCCGGAAATTTTTAAAATAAAGTCAAAACCACCTGAATGATAATAAAAATTTATTTTCGCTGTTAAATATGTTATAAAATTTGTATACAGTGATATAAAGCTTGATAAGTTCAGCAAATAACAATAATAGGTTATACCGGTATGGTGTCGAATGAGATCACTTGTTTTTCTTGGTTTCTTTGGTCGATTCCATACAATTGTTGACTAGATTGGCGGCGACGACGACTTTCTCCTGAATCGGCAGGTTTGCTACGTTCTTCCACTGAAAACAATGAGATTTAAAGGTTTAACTTTATGTTGAAGAACAGGATCTTTGGCCATTTTGCTATTACAAAATGCCCCTTTTAAGATATCATTCTTCAGAATGTCTTCCCTTAGTTAGACCATCAAAATCCTTACCTCTTCCAGGCAATCTTCCATCGTTTTGCCCTTTAATTCTCCTGGATTCTCCTTTTGTAGCGTGTCGAATACCTGTTCGAACTGATTCTCCTCGTTATTCTGTTTCTTTGCTCTTTTCTTCATCTTCTTCTTTCTGTTTTGTTCCGTTTTCTTGCTAACTTGAGGATCTTGAGCTTTTTCTCCGTTAACATCAGCTTCGTTTTCTTGACCTTCCACTTCTTCACCTTCCTCTTCATCCGACTTAATTCCGCTTGGTCTATAATCATGTTCTGAAGCCAGTGCTTGAATATTTGAAAACGTATCGTAGGCTAACAGTGGAACTTTCATACTTTCTTCTGATGCAATCCGGCTCGAATTGATGACGTTTTTGTAGCCAGGCAGTTTGGTGAGGGATGATGAGGTTGAACAGGGCCTAATCGACTCCTCGCATGAGTATTCGCTGTGGTGAGGTTCTGAGCTGTCGGTGGCTTCGTCGGTGTTCAAGTTGCCTGTAATGTCATTTGGTTGTGAACCCTGGTCAAATTTAAACTTTATATCAAATTCTGACTTCTGGTGAATCTGCAAGTTTTGGTCGAAAATCAAATTCTGCTCGATTTCGTCCATTGGTATGATAACATGTTGGTCTGGCTTCTCGTTATTCTTGATATTATTTGAGTTTCGTTTGAATTCGGCTTGAGCTGGCTTTGTTGAAGGTGATTCATTACCTGATGGTTCGGTTTTTGATATGGAAAATAATGTTTCTGACTTTTCTGTTCTACAACATGAATCTTTTGAAGCTTCTTTGGTACAAAAAGATGTTTTTGGCTCTTCTGTGCCGAATGCTTTACCCGACTTCACCGTGCTACAAGACGTATCCTCAGTCTTCACCGTACCACAAACTTCATTTTTCTTCATCGTGCCACAACGTGAACTCTCTGCCTTCCATGTGCCATTATATTCATCTTCAGACGCTTTATCCTCATGTACTCCACTACTTTTGATCGAATTTGCATGGCCCTCCTGACCCTGCGTCTCCACCTTTTTGCCCTTCTTATTCTCGTGTAACTTGTCGCATTTACAGTAGGGAGAACATTCTTCCTGATAGTTCAAACCCCGGTTCTGAACACGTTCGGCTTCGATCTGTTTCAGCTTTTCGCTGCACTTCTTATTGGCTGCTTCCACCTTTCGCTTTACTTCTGGATCCTTCAACTGTTCTTTCAACGACTTCTTGCGTGGCTTCTGCTTCGGATTCTCGACTTTGGGTTGGGGCGGATTCGCGGCTTCAGCATTCAGTCTCTGTTGTTCAATCATACGGATCTTTTCGTTGATGAGTTGGGGGTTTACGGCCGCTCGTCGTCGCTTCACTTCCATCGCTACATGGTAGATCTTTTGGAGTCGTTGTTGGGCATGGGCTTGCATTGGTTCGAATTCCTCTTCCAGCTGAAGCGATGAGATTTTCACTTCTGTTCGGCCGAAGAGGCGCATCATTTCTGTAACTGGAAGTGTTGGTTTATTAAACTTGAGATGGAACGTTAAGTTTTTTAAATTTTATAAAGCGCTTTTTCATTTTTTAAGAAAAAACTTATTTTTATAAATTTAGGTAACAATATTAAAAAGTTTTTCATTTTTTTCAAAACTCAAATCTAAAATTTGATTTTCAATAATTTACATGTGTTCAAAAATGCTCATTTATTTGATCCAAAAAGCAGTACAAACCTTAGAAAATGAAAAACATGTTAACCATGTTTACGAAATGACAGTTGAAACAAAATGAGATAAATGATGTTCACACGTGTCATATTAACGATGATAAAGAATTGAAACAAAACTAGACAAACTTGTTAGGACAATAACTTATTCTTAATGAATATACATTAGTCACGGCGTCTTACCATGAACGTTCTCGAAGCGTGGGTACAGAGCGGAGTTCTTAAACTTGAGGTGTTGTTTGAGATGGCCATCTGGCACACTTTCGCCCCATTCTGTTAGTTCTAGCAATTCGAAGACACGATCATAAGACGATTTTTCAGAAAATTCCTCGGCTTCTGCTAGGGATTCCTAAAATTAAAAAAAAACTTTTTGTTAAAAACTTAATGAGCTGATGGCCTACCGTACCTCCTCGGGGACACGGTTGGGTAGGATGACGCTAGGAAAGAAAAGACAAGTACTATTCTCCAAATATTCTTAATAAAAATCAAAACTCACCTCATTTGGATCCACCAAGACGAAGCCAATCCCGCGTTCAGCACAGAACGATTCGATATTCTTATGTTTATCTGGCTTGTAATGTCCTCGAACGGCCAAAATCTAGAAAGATAAAACTTTTTCTATGATTACAAGGGTTTTACACTTACAACGTTACTGAATACACACAGAAACTTCTTTTTAACTTTCAAAAATTTTAAAAATTGAAAAAGCTCTCTCTGTTCAAAAAAAAGTTGCACTGCCATTTCTTTTTTGACCCAAAAGATGAAAAATTACCCTAAACCCCACTTTTTAAAGCATTTACCTTATCCACGCATAAATTCCTACTATAAACCATATTTTCATTAAAAAGAATCATTTTACCCTATTAATCATATCCATGTGCTTGAAAACCTCTTCCAGTTCATGAAAATTCTTAACATCGGTCGGCTTATCCACATTAACAACACAAATCACACATAGTGGTGTGAATTGAGTATAGTAGCCCCAATCCACAAAGTCGTGTGTCTCTGCAAAAGTCAGGAACTCGCACACCTTGTTGTAGTACTTGGTCTCGATCCGCACCATTCGACATCGCCAGTTCAGGGTGCGGTCTCCTTCATTCATTTGACACGCACGATTCTCAGAAACATCATTGTCCAAATTTTTAGTTCGTTTTATCAATTCATCGGTTATCACGAAGCCATCGTCGTTCACGATGCCGACTATGTTCATCTGCAACAGTATCAGTCATTTTTGAACCGTAAAATGGCGAAATTAAAATAACATTATATGAAACCCGTCGAAAAAGACACTCACGGACCTTATAAACCACAAATTAAACAAAAAAGTTCAAAAATCATGCATCAAGTTTAGAAAAAAACGATATTCAAAACATCCCCAGTATCAAGTGTAAGGTAATTGAAATATCAAAGTCAAAACCTTTATATTAACCTCCAGAAAAGTCAAAATGCTGTATAACTGTCGTAAAAACAATATAACAAACATAAACATATATTAAAGAACTTCTAAACATCAAAACAAATATTTAGTCCATAAATGATACCAAGTGCAATATCATTGATAATATTAAGCAAACAAACAAATTAAAACCCACAAATTACTACACAGTAACACAAACAAAAACAAATAGGTATTATAAACAGCAAAAACTAATCAAAAATGTCGAAATTGAGGCAATAGTTATCGATTTATTAGCTGAACAATGTCTGATATGCAAACTGGATGTAAAATAAGATGGAAGTGGACAAAATTGAATAAACGTAGCTGCATTATCTCCGCTGAGACAAGATTAACATTGTGCGTATAAACATTAGAATGCTGAAATAGCAGATTAATTAAAAGTTTAAGGTTTTTAGATGTTATCCATAGAAGCTTACAATTTTAGTAAAAATAACAAAAATTTTTAAAAGAATATCCTAAAATCTTTAAAATTTAGAAAACACTAACCTTAATGCGGCAACCACTCCAGCTGGCATCATTTTTCCAGTGTTATAGAAGCGAAGACCCATTAAAACGCTCAAGAACCCGCTGACACCTAAAAATCAAGTATAATATCAACAAAACTTACCAGCCAGCACCACAAATTGATGATTAACGGCTCCGAAGATAGCCGCAGCTCCGAAGCCCACGCCAGCAATAAAAGAAGGCCAGCTTCCGGCTTTCAAGAAGCCAATCAAACCGCCGAGAGCGACCACAGCTCCATAACCAACTCCAAAATGATCAGTCATGTTTATAAGATGAAAAAATACAAGAAAACGATAGTTAACGCAACAATATTTTGTTTATATACTCGACAACAGCGTGCGAGCTGTTATCATCAAGTCGAAGGGCGAGATTCGATGAAATTTACGCGAGAAAAATAAAAACAAAATATGTTGCGAAATGCCACGGTTTCTATTGGAAAATACGACGAAATGTCCGCAAAATTATAGAGTCGTAATAAAATTAGAAAAAGGCTTATAAAATGACACGTCTTATCCAAACCAAAACAAAAATAACATCATGGTAAGTTTTATTAAACAAAAAAATAAATTAGTCGTTGTCAGAGCTGCTTTCGGATTCTGATGAGGTTTTCTTCGCGCTTTCCGGCTCTGAATCCGAATCCGACGGAGACTTTGATTTCTCGGCCTTTGCTAGCTTGGATTCTTCTTCCGATTTTTCTTCGTCAGAATCATCTTCTTCTGACGATGAATCCTCTTCGAACACGCTTTTCACTGGTTTCTGTTCTTCAGCTTCTGTTTGTTCTTCCGTTTGCTCTTCAGCTTCCTCTTCTTCCTCCTCTTCTGGTTCTTCTTCCTCTTCCAATGGTTCTAGAGGTATTTTCTCGCCAGTTTTGTATTCATCGTATAGACGACGAGCTCGAGTTTCCTGAAATTTAGTTTATATATTACACCGTACTTGAAAGTCTACCCTCTACTACTCTACTTTACCCTACCCAAAATCAAAAAAGATCGCCACAAAAATTAAATAAAAACCTACCATAACCTTGTTCTCGGCCGGTGTGAGATCTCTGTAGTTGTACAACATAAACGAGCCTTCTCTGCTGATTCCGCCAACATTCTTTGCCCTTCTGGCCAATTTGATTTTGGTGTCCATTTCATTATAATAAACATATCCATCTCTTTCCACGAAGAAGTATAGGTCTAATGATGAGCCTTTCGAGGCTTTAGTTGTGATTGTCCAATTGTATTCTCTTGCCAAGTCACATTTGTACCTAAAATTTTAAAAATTGTAGAGGTTTTTGTTGTGTTTGTCTAATATAATTATTTTAAATTCATAAAATCCTCTGCAAAACACAAAACAAAACCTTGAAAAACTTACTCATCTTCATTTTCTTCAGCATTGGGCTGGGACAATTTTTCAACAGTTTCCATTGTAGGTACGAAATAAGCGACGAACTGTTGATTATTCTCATCAGCAATACCCCTAAAATGACAGTTTTAAATCCAAAATTACATTATTAAAACAACATATTCAAAAATTGACCCAAAATGTCAAAAAATCCCAGCTAAACCAGTAGTACCCCTACAACAACATACTTAATGATGGATTTCTCCAAAACGGTTTCGTTATCCTTGACATTCGGCAACGGGTCACCATCAAAAACAACTTGTGCGTAACTGTGTCTCCATTCATCTTCATCTGGCAAGATATACATCTCTTCCACGGCATACACGTCCTTCTTTGAGTAGTGCTTTTTGACCGGTCGACTTGTCTAAATATATGACGTTTTATATTAAAAAGATAAAGATTTTTTATATAAATATTTTAAAAACGACAATCAACATATTAAATACAAAATGTTAAAAAACGGAAGATTTTTTATATTAACCTTAACTTTAAGCTCAATAAACGATAAAATAATGTTTTACCTTATCAAATATCTTCTCAATAGCCTTGATCTGACTCTCAGCATCACTGTACATGTTCTCGTTCTTGCCAAACTTCTTCTTCATATTATAGCCTATTTTATTTTCACTCTTTTCTTGCACAACACCAAATCTGTTGAACTCGGTAGAAATATACTCGGTCTTTCGCATCCATGGCACGACTCTGTTGTGTTGTTGAGACCTACAAGCATATACTTTATTAATTTGTCACAAAAAATTTTCAAAAATCTGTTTTTTAGGCTTTTTAAAAAAATTGACGCATACCTACTACAACATCACCAAATTTAATATAATAAAAAAGCCTTAAAGCATTGTAGTAAAACAAACACCCATGTCGTTTACAACCTAAATACTAAACTAAGAAAGTCAAACTCATACCTTTTGGAGCTGGCCGAGCTTCCAAATTCATCCTCCAACAAAGCGGCATCATCTGGATGTAGCTCAGCATTCTTTGGCCTCTTGAACACACTTATGTCAACTAAAGACGGACATAACCTCAGTATATCTTCTGGCACAACTTCATAAGTATAATCCTCCTCTAACTTTGATATATGACACTTTGCATGCCTGAAAGAATCGGAAATGTGAAGGATACTAATTAGGTACCTCGAAAATTTATAATTTTTCTAAGATAAACAAGAAATTATTAAGAACATACCTTTCCAATTCATTATACTGCATTTTAAGGAATTTTGGAGGGTTCGAAACGTCTGCCAGAGGAACATCGTTCGTGTAGACTCTCCTCGATATTATCCCAGGTTTTGGCTTACTAAAATGATAAATAACATAATTTAAAATTAGAATGAGCAAAAACAACATATAAATAAAAAAACTTACTTTTCAGTCATTATAACGTTAAGAATAATGAATTGAAGAAGGTTTATACATCCAAAAGTATAAACATTTCTTTGCGCACAAAAAATATTTTTAGTGCGCTTTAGAAATATTACAAAACGCCAAACGTTTGGTTTCGTGGTGGGACCAACGTAATGCTACAATGAGAAGCTTTAAACATCAAGTGTAATTTCGAAAATAAAAAAACCTCTGGAAGTCGAATATTTATTAGATGGTGAATTCTTTGCTCCCCGAAAATTCAGTTTTATTAATTTTATAACAAGTTATATTGTAATAACTAAAATTTGTTGTACCAATTAATGTTAAATTATGTAAAGCAATATTTATTAGAGTAAAAACTTAACAACCATAAACAAAACAACAAAGTATGTACCGCAAACCCTTTCTAATATAATTTTTGGTTATACAAAAGAGTACGACAGCTTTATATCCTATTCCAAAAGATTTGCAGTGAAGATTCTTCAGTACCACATAGTTTTGCCAACCTAAAAGTTATGACAAAACTATTTCATAGTAAGACAAGTTGTAGATCAGTTAAAAATCCTTGTTTCCTTGCATTTTCACTTTGTTTTTTCGTTTTTTGGTCGGTATACCGGTCTCTATGATAATATCTTCGTTTTCTCGAGGCTCTTCTTTGATGTCTAATGGTCGTTTTCGGTAGCTTTGGAAGGTTTCGGCCATTTCTTTGGCCGAAATCTCTTCGTCACTGATTTCCCCGTCTTCGTAGCGTTTTTTGTTGTTGTGAAGTTGCATCAGGTCCTGTAATGATTGTCATAATGGCATAAAGCAAGGTAAAAAAACAGTGGCACAACCAGGCGATAGTCACGGCTGTGGAAAACCACCACCTCATACTCCATACCCCCTAACCGATGCTCCTGGCCATAATATTCAAAAACTGACATACAGTAATCAGTATGAAATCAAAAACATATTTTTTAACTTCAAAAAGTCTTCCTTAAGCTTGTAAAACATACTTCAACTTCCGGATTCTGTCCGCCAAATGAAAACCTGCCAAAACGGAACTTCTCTATTCTTGTGAATCGGTCATCTACTGTCATTCCGTGAAGACCTCTGAAAAAATGTTCATTAATATAGTTTTTTTAACTCCTGGAAAGAAAGTTGCATTTAAAAAAAGGGTTTTGTAAAGAAAATTCTCGCGGTTTTTTGAGAGATAAGTTTTGGAAAGGAATTTATTGCCGCTTTTCGAAAAATGATATTTGGAACCAATGTTTTGTCATTTTTCTCAAAATCCAAACAAAAATCAATCAAAGACTTACTCTACTGGATCATCGTCGTACCTGAGCAATGTTGGGAATACCTTTGTCTTGTTTGGTTTGTTAATTCGATTCCTTCTTTTCTTGGCCATCTCTACCTGATTATACGTCTTCTTCATAAAATTCATCTGTAAAACACTAGCTGATATCTTATAAGCCTTGACTGGCTTCGAATCACTGAAAGCTGCTTCGTCGTCCATTATGCCTAAAATAACATTATATATTAAAGTCTGAACACTGAGTTAATTAAACATTATCTTAACTTGCTTTGACACAAACTCAATCCTTTTTACTTTAAAAAAGGATTTACTCTGAATTACTTATATTGTTTTAGATATAAATTCCGAAAAAATGTAGAAAATGCCTTTCAAACAACAACAAACATGTTAAAAATAACAATCAAGGTCCCACAAACCATTATAAACAAATGTTTCCACAACACAATCTTAGAAATTTATCAAAATCAACAAAAAACCCTTTGGCTCCTTGAGGTCATGGACAATATAAGCTACAGATAACCGAATGTTGACTATTTCTGCACCGGGACATCAACTTCACATCGATTTCATACTTCTAATTCTCAATAGCATTCGGATTAGTGTAGCGGTAATGAGCAATTCGGCATAGTTGAGCAAGTCCAGTTAATCCGACGAAGAAGTTGACACTGGACAAATAATAGTTTATGGGTTTGATAACCAAGCAATATCTGGTCCAGATCAAGCCTGTGGCAGTGAGAGCTACGTTCTGAAATCTTGGAATTAAAAATCTTCGATGATACTAGTGTTTCTCAGGTATAGACGTTAAGACAAAGATTTACAGACACTCAATAGGCTTGATTTCTAAAACAACATACAAACTAGTCTTAAACAACGAAAAGCAACGATAATAAGCTATAAAACTATAAGTAAAACAAAAAACTTTCTTTTGCAATAATTTCCCACAAAAATACATGAAAACAATAAATTTTAATCTTTTGATCAACAGCATTATCTAAATCAATATAACAGAAACTTTAATGTCAGTCAAACGTAAAAACTACTCTCCAAAGTACATACCAAAAGTAATTTACATTGTTTATCAACTCCTCATCAACATACCTAAAATTCAATACAAAATATTAACACTTACCTGTGAAACACTCAATTTTTCGGCTGGCCGAGCCAAATCAGCCAATCCAGCTCCAACCAAACACCATTTAATCGTCGGAGCCCAGAAGAACACTGTTTTAGGTCCAGCTGGATGATTCCACGCTGGTTTGGCAAAACTGGGCAGGATTGGGTAGACAACCTAAAACAAAGATAACTCTAATCCAGCAAAATCAGACCATACCTTGTCTCCAACCCGACAAATCGCTTTGTATACAACAGACATTGATAAATAGATTGTTTTTGAAGTTGATAAGACCCAAAGGAGTGGAAGAGGATAGAAAAGGAGAAGCTGAAACAATAATTTGTCGAAATTTCCAAAAATAATTTTGTTTTCAGCTGCTCCCAATATTGTGCATGCTGCAAGAAGTTTTTATACGCACGCGCGCCAAGTAATTGTATCAAAAAAAAGAAAATAGGTTCGAATCGCCACATTTTTATATTTGGATATTGAAATGGATGTCGAGGACTCGTCAGATGCCAATATTCCGGCTCATTTAAAAGACGAGGCTCACTGTGAATTGAAGGAGATGGTCACAGAAAAGGTAATTTTAATGTTTTATTTGAATGGATTTTAAGTATAAAAGATTAAAGAGTGGCGCATCTTTTAAGACTAAATTCACAATCGTTTCGAACAAAATAAAAATTTTATGCTGTGTTATATTATAATATTCTTTTAGGATTCAAAAAGTCAAAGGATTGTACCAGCTCAGATGGCAAACAAAGCTCGACGTGAACGGATGGAGAAGCCGTGGCAAAGCCGAAGGAAGAGTTTGAAACAGAAGAAAGCTGTTCTTGAGGCTGTTCACGGTCAAGACGAGCTGGATATAGAGGATGGTGGACCATCATCAGTTGAACAAAATGTAATTTTTTTTAATTTTATTTGAATGGATTTTAGGTATAAAAAGATTAAAGCTATTTTGGAATAAAGAGTGGCGCATCTTTTAAGCCTAAATTCACAGTTGTTTCGAACAAAATAAAAATTTTATGCTGTGTTATATTATAATATTCTTGTAGGACTCAAGAAGAAAAGGGATCGTTGCAGCTCAGAAGGCGAACAAAGCCCGACGTGAGCGTATGGAAAAGCTGTGGCAAAGCCGATGGAAGGGTTTAAAACATAAGAAAGCTGTTCCTGAGGCTGTTCACGGTCAAGACGAGCTGGATGCCGTTCAAAACCAAGACCCGCTGTATGTTGAGAAAGATACACCTTCATCCGTTGTAAAAATCGTATGTTTTTAGTTAATTTTTATCTCTGTTTAGATAAAATGCTCAATGGAATATAGAAAATAAAAATGTGCATTTTTATGCCCAAATTTACAAAAAAAACCATAACCTAATTTTGCAAGCTTTAAGATATTGTTGTAGGAAATTCCACAGGACGAACCGGAATCCTCAAATTCTGCTCGTTCTTTGGTAGCCTCAACCTCCGCTCTCCCTTTAATCGCCTGAACCACTGGCCTGCCCTTAATACCTGAACAACTACATGCTGAAAATAAAGACCTGAAGAGGAAGAACGCTGAATTGAAACGGCAACTGTCTCTTCGTTCTCCGGAGAAGCGGAAGCCACATTCTGAGCTTGGAGAAAAGCAAAAGCGTACCAGAATCGCGAGAATCACCAGAAATCTGGGGTTAGATACTGAAAGTGAAATATTAAATTTTTTCAAACCATAAATAATATCTTTTTGTTCTTTACTATACATTTTTTTCATAAAGCAAATGACGAAAAATAATATTATACACTTTACACCGCGTCAAGGCCGTCGTCGTATCTTTTGTTGTTATGCAAATTCCGTTGGATGAGCGGAGCGCCGATTTTTTGTTTTCATTGGCACCAAGGTACCCTCGGCTCTTTGTTCGGCTCCGTTTCGACTCTTGTTTTGATAATTTATGGGCTTTGTTTTCTTTGCGAGTACGAGGTATTCAGGGTTTAGTTATTTGAAAGGTTATGACGACTGCCAGTCGTCTGGGTTTCCAAGCTTTAAAGTTTTTGATGTAAAAAATTTTGAAATTTAAGTTGTAAAAGTTTAAATTGACGTTGTAAAGCTTAGTTTATTACGAGTTTTTTTCTGGCTAGGTAAGATAAACAACGGTGCGGTTGATTAGCTTTGAGTTTGAACCGAGGTGTGAGAAAAGGGCAAATCAAAAAAGTCACTTGGGTTAGAAGCCGCTTGGCAGCAAGTGATATACATAGTTAGTTGTAAAGAAAGTTTTTGCAAGACTTAAAAAACCTGGAACTTTGTGTGACATTGGCAAATGTTTTGTCTGTATATTGCTAAAGTTTCTCATAAAATTAAAGTAAGAACTACAGTAGTTATAAATCAAAAAAGTCAGTTGGGTCCGAATCCGCAAGCAGTAAAAGACAAAAACGAGATTGTAAAGAAAGTTTTTGCTAATTTTCAAACATTTAGAACATTTTGTGAAATTTTATTGTTTTGGCTGTACATTGCTGCAGTCTCACAAAATTATACTTACATGGGAAGGTACTTAAATCAGAAATCGACTTTGGGACGAGACCTATATATTATGAAAGCTCTGTGCTCACTGAGTACGAATCTGAAAGCCGTTTTTCCGTATGGCTCTTCGTTTTCGTGAAAATCGACGTTAAAGTTTGACCCAAATCGCATTAAAAAGCGCTCCGCAAAGGCTCTCGCAAAAAACGAAAGAGAAGTAGCGGCGTGGCGCGGAGGTAGAGCGCTTGTCTTCTAGTTTTGACCATGCAGGTTCGACTCCAGGCAGTCCAGTTTCATTTTGCAACAAGTTTCAAAGCAACAAAATTTTGAAATACTTTATTTTAACTGCAAAAATGTAATGCTTTTTGTTAATTTATTTTTTTAATTATTTTTATTTAAGCTTTAAAATTAATTCTTTAAACCAGAATATCCCCCACCTATACCATTTCAACCCTTACACCGATGTCAGCCAGAACATACTTCTAAAATTCATTTTCAAAAAGCAAGAGCTGAAAATTTATTTTTCTGCTCTTGCGATTTCTTTCAATTTGCATAAAATTTTCAACTAATGGTTCCATTTTAATTCGCACACCCATCATTGTATTTTACACCCCCTAACACACCCCCATCCACTGTAGATCGCACTCTCATCCAATGTAGTTCACACCTGCCATTCACCGCCCTGGCCAGTCAGTAGACCAGCACTCTCTCGCGCGACCCTCAACCTTCAACTCCGGACATTGCCGATATGGCAATTTTTGATTAATCAAAATAAAAATTGCAAAACGATTTAATGTTTCGTTATGATTTGCATACATTTGCATAATTGAAACTTGTTGCAAAATGAAACTAGACTGCCCGGAATCGAACCTGCATGGTCAAAACTAGAAGGCAAGCGCTCTACCTCTGCGCCACGCCGCTACCTGCTTTTCTTTCGTTTTTTGCGAGAGCCTTTGCGGAGCGCTTTTTAATGCGATTTGGGTCAAACTTTAAAGTCGATTTTCTCGAAAACGAAGAGCCATACGGAAAAACGGCTTTCAGATCCGTACTCAGTGAGCACAGGGCTTTCATAATATATAGGTCTCGTCCCAAAGTCGATTTCTGATTTAAGTACCTTCCCATGTTAGAACTACAGTAATTATGGGGCGTCAAAGTTAGTGAGTTTTAACTGGTTTATATGTAGTGGGAAAAAATCACTTTGAGATTAAGGTCCTTTTGTGTTTTTTTTCAAAATAAAGCTTTTTTTTTCAATTTTTAAACGAAAAATGATATAGCTCCAATTTATACGTTCATAAATGACAATTCAAAAATTTTTCATCCATTTTGACCACATTTATGGCTAGATAAACAAAGTTTAAAAGCCAAAACGTGGCCAAAGGTAGCCAAAATTAACATAAACATTCGAGACTCTTGGCCAAACATTTGTTCTGAACAAATATTCAACAAATTTGGCGTCTTTAAGTGAAGGCCGATCTAAAAGAGGCAGTGAGGGGATCTAAAAGAGGCCAAGGCGGGAGGGGCGGGGAGATCACATTACTCAAAACATTTACTAATTACTTTAAGGCGGCTGGAAATATGTTTAAGGGTTTGGGGTGGGTAAAGGGACGTTTGGATTTACTATTGTTAAGCATAAAAACCGCAGGGGGGGGTCTAAGCTAAAAAAAAACATTTGTAAAGAAAGTTCTTGCGGTTCTTCGAAAAATGACTTTTGGAAAGAAAGTTCTTGCGGTTCTTCGAAAAATGAGTTTTGTAAAGAAAGTTATTGCGGTTTTTTTGGAAAAATAAGTTTTGGAAACAAAGTTCTTGCGGTTTTTTCGAAAAATGAGTTTTGGAAACAAAGTTCTTGTGGATATATGAAAAAATTAGTTTTGGAAACAAAGTTATTGCGGTTTTTTAGAAAATGAGTTTTGGAAACAAAGTTATTGCGGTTTTTTGAAAAATAAGTTTTGGAAACAAAGTTCTTGCCGTTTTTTCGAAAAATCAGTTTTGGAAACAAAGTCCTTGCAATTTTTTGGAAAAATGAGCTTTGGAAAGAAAGTTATTGCGGTTTTTTGGAAAATGAGTTTTGGAAACAAAGTTCTTGTGGATATATGAAAAAATTAGTTTTGGAAACAAAGTTCTTGCGGTTTTTTAGAAAAATAAGTATTGTAAAGAAAGTTATTGCGGTTTTATGAAAAATAAGGTTTGGAATGAAAGTTCTTGCCATTTTCCAAGTTTTGGAAACAAAGTTCTTGCCATTTTTAAAAAATTAAGTTTGGAAACAAAGTTCTTGCGGTTTTTTGAAAAATAAGGTTTGGAATGAAAGTTCTTGCCGTTTTCCAAGTTATGTAAACAAAGTTCTTGCAATTTCCCAAAAAAACATTAAATTTCACTTTTTAAATTCAAAATTTGAAATTATTTGCTAAAAACGCAGCCCTTTCCAATTATTCTAATGCCGTGATCCAATTTCTGGACATATGTCACTATAAAGCCACCGAACTCTCCATCAATCTTATTCAAAATATTCAAAACCAGTTAAAACGGATTGGGAGAGAGAGTGAAGAGAGTAGTTGAGAGAAGATGTCAGAGAAAAAGAATGTCTAATGAGCTACTAACAATAAGGTTTGGGATCAAGAATAATATTTGGGATGGATGGGGTTCTTGAAAAAGTAAAGCGACTTTAGGGCTGGGTAGGGTTGGCTTTAGAATAAGGTGGGGTAAGGCATAAGTTAAGAAAAGGTAGAGTAGTGAAAAGGTTAGAGTATGGTACGGTGGACTTTAGGACAGGGTAGGGTAGGGCTGGTTATAAAAAATGGTAGGGAAATGCTATCTTCAAGCCAATGGAGAGTAACTAAAACGTTGGGGTAGGGTAGGGTAGGGTAGGGTAGGGTAGGGTAGGGTAGGGTAGGGTAGGGTAGGGTAGGGTAGGGTAGGGTAGGGTAGGGTAGGGTAGGTTAGGGTAGGGTAGAGCGATTAATTTTTCACTAACCTTGCTGATTTTTTTTATCAAAAGGAGGACTTTTTTGTTTATTCTCAACGGTTGTTAATTAAAGTTCTAAATCTGTCAGATTTAACAAATTATGGGATGTTTTCGAACAAGATGACAAGACTTTAAGACACATTTTTCACCTGCAGATGGCTTTAAAATCGTGAAAAAATAATATTTTTTGTTGTAAAAATGGTTTTTGCCGTTTTTTTGATCTTGTAAAGAAAGTTTTTGCTATTTATTGACTTTGTAAACAAAGTTATTGCGTTTTAGCTATCTAAACTCAAATTTAAATTTTTTAATTTTTTGTAAACAAAGTTCTTTCAGATGTAAATGGAGCATCTTTACAGTGGCTCGCAGACGTTGCCACGACAATTCAGAGCCAGTAAGATCTACTCGTCTCCAGTAAATCTACCATTACTTGATAGAATCGTATCGCCAGAGAAAATACGGCCGAGTTCACTGGATCCACCATTATATTCAGATGTTTTTGATAATAGTGAAAACAAGGAAAAGGTCAGTCAGTATTATTTATAACTAACAAAAAAGGGGGGAGGGGAAATAAGCTTAAGTCAACCGACCTGAATCCTTTTAAAATTGCATGCTAGGCTTGCTAAAGTCAAGCCTACTCAGCGTAAGCCTTTAAAGCAGCTAGGTCATGGCTTAGCGCTTTAATTGTATTAAGCCTAATTCTTTTAAGCCTAATTCTACTAAGCCTAAGCCTACTAAGCCTAAGTTTACTAAGCCTAAGCCTACTAAGCCTAAGACTACTAAACCTAAGTCTACTAAGCCTAAGCTTACTAAGCCTAAGCCTAAGCCTATTAAGCCTAAGCCTACTAAGCCTAAGCCTACTAAGCTCAAGACTACTAAACCTAAGATTGCTAAGCCTAAATGACAGTTTAATATGTTCTTCATTTTCAGCTCCGATTAGCCTTGAACTCGCTTGGACTGGTCTGCCTGATCTCAATTTTCTTCTCTTTTGTAAGCCTAAACCGATTAGATGTTTGGGAGAAGCGGTCATTAAACTTAACTGTGAAATCCCGAAATGAAGTTGTATTTATTGTGTGGGAGATGAGTATGTCAATAACATTGGCAATGGTACTGTGCTCATTGGCCACGTTTTTCGTCGCTTCGATTCAATTGTTTTTTGCGCTTAAAATTGCCAAAAACAATATCAAGTCTCCGGAAATGTAGGTTTTTATGCAGAAAGTTTGTTCACAAAGCTTGGAATGGCAAGAACTTTCTTTACAAATCAATAAATGGCAAGAACTTTCTTTACAGAGTGAAAAATAGCAAGAACTTTCTTTCCAAAGCTAAAATGGCAATAACTTTCTTTACAAACTAGAAACGGCAAGAACTTTCTTTACAAACCAAAAAAAAACAATAACTTTCTTTACAAATCACAAAACGCAAGAACTTTCTTTACAGGTCATAAAATGGAAAGGACTTCCTTTATAAAGCATAAAATGGCAATAACTTTCTTTGCAAGACACAGACAAAGCCTTTTGAAAATTCAATATTACAGTAACCCAAAATAAATTTTCCATTTCAAATTAATCTAAATCTTATTTTCAGAGCCCTAAAATATCTCCACGATGCCAGATCAATCCGCCTGCCCACTCTGTTTATGTTCTTCATCTGCACCTTGACCTTCTTGATCTCCTTGTTGGTCTCCCTACTTTTCCTGCCCTCAGGCTATGGAGTAATACCGAGAAGTATAGCTGGCTTAATTGGCGTGTTCTTGATGGTATTTTGCTCATTGGCAGGTCTACATTCAGTTCATTGTTTATTGCGAATTGAAACTGATAAGAAGACCGTTCCCAATTTGAATCAGAACTATGCCAGCCGGTTCAGCACGCTGGTTTGAGAAGGTTGATGTATATAGTGAATAAATAGTAATGATATATGAGTTTAGAAGGTTCTTAGTTTGCAAAAGTTTCTAAAAATTAGTAAAAAAATCCAAGTCAGTAAGATTTATTGTCGTATCTACAAAGTACCCTGAGATTTGGCGAAAACATCTGGAGAGGTCATTGACGATGAAGATTCGGATGGACCAAAGATTCGGGACCGGCTCAAATCTACTTCTTCTTCCAGTTGTCTAAAAATGAACATAAATTGTAAAAATTTTTAAAAAATTTGGCTTTGTAAACAAAGTTTTTGCGGAAAATTGTATTTTTGAGGATTTGCAGCGTATTGTAGTAGGTACACTCTAGACTTTCAATCATATTTCAAAAACAACTTTATAAATAATTCAAAATAATTCAAAATTATGTTCAAAAAAGACTTTTCAATTACCTAAACAAATTTCAAAATTTTTTAAAAACTCGTTTTTGCGTTTGGAAACAAAGTTCTTACCGAACCGGCGCATAGCGGACGTTCCCCTTGATCCGGTCGATACTCTCGACCGAGTCTAGCTTGACAAACGTGCTTGGCAAGTAATTGTGAATATGATCCTCTTCTTCATCTTCATCACTCATTTCCACTTCAACACCATGACCAATCAATCTGACACTCAACCAAAACGACACAACTCCAATCGAGTAGAACAGCGCGATAAATGCCTAAAACATGAAGATTTTAGGCTTATTTTAAAGCTGAATATTTGTAAAAACATAGAAAATATCATAGTTTATCAACTTCAATCAAGTATGGCTAAAAATTTTGAGAAATAAGTTTTTTCGATCAAAATTTATATTATCCAAGGCACAAGCCCTTTATCTCTTTATTATACAAACTTTTTTATTACCAAAATGTAGTAAAAACAATAAAAAAATTAATTTCACATCTAATCACATCAATTTAACCCTAAAAATTTACGAAGAGCATTACTTTCTTTGTAAAAAGCTATATTATCCATGACCCATATACCCCAATAGCTATAACAACTCATATAAAATCAAAAAACATACCAATGCCAACGAATCTTTGCTGTACATGACCGACGAATCTAGTAAATCATATTAGAAATTAATTTTTCAATTTTATTCTTAATTATGTAGAAACAATTTTGCGTATAACTTGTCTTCAAACAAAGTAAATTTGCCGGGCGCGATCTGCAAATATAATATTTCTCGGATTTTTGGATAAAATATTTGGTGAAGGCTGCGTCTTGATGTAAACTGAGTTTACGGACTAGTTATTGACCATGGTAAGTTTATTTTTGTTTTAACTTTTAGTTTCTTGATTAATTTATGTTAAGTTCTAGATTTTTTCACGTTTCTTCATGGTGTTTGTTGTTTTGATCGTTATTTCTTCGATTTTATGTTCTTAAAAACAAGAAGTGGTAGTTTTAAATAGCTCTTTGTTTAACTTTGCTTGGATGTGTTAGTTTAGTATGTTTTTTTAATTGATTTATGTGATATTAAACTTGATTATTTTAGAATCAACAAAATTACGGGATGCCTCAACAAAATCCGAATTATATGCAGCAACGACAGATGGTAAGTCTTTGTCTTTACTTTGTTTGCATTTTTAGGTAAATTAAGCTTTTATTTACATTAAAAAACAATGAAAACCTTAAATTAATGTTGGTTCATGGATAATATCAAAGAAAATGAGAAAAAGAGTTAAATAATTAAATTTTTAGTACCCACAACAGCAAGGACAGATGCATATGCAACAGCAAGGCTTCTACATGGATAATCAACAACAAATGATGGGACAACATGGTCAGTTCCAAGGACAACAAGCTGGTCAGATGGGGATGCGAGGAATGCCACAGCAGCAGTCTGGTAACTTTCCTGGCCACATGGGACAACAAATGATGGGCCAGGGACAGAATATGGGTCAAGGTGGTTCTCAGAGTGGTATCGGGCATGGTGGAGGCCCACAAAGTGGTATGGGAGGTCCACAAGGCGGTATTGGTCATGGTGGAGGTCCTCAGAGTGGCATAGGCGGACCACAACCTGGTATTGGAGGGCATGGTGGTATGTCTGGACAAAACATGGGTCATGGAGGTATTGGTCAAGGTGGTATGGGCTCACAAATGGGAGGTATGGGCCGAGATGGTATGAGAATGGGACCAGACAGCCAGATGGGTCCAGGATCATCAATTCATAGCCAAAATATGGGACCAGGATCATCAATTCATAGCCAAAATATGGGACCAGGATCAGTCCAGGGACAAGGAATTGGACCAGGCTCTACTCATGGTCAAGGTATGGGTCCAGCTTCACATCAAGGTCAAGGCATGGGGCCAAGTTCAATTCAAAGCCAAGGAATGGGACCAGGCTCTATTCACGGTCAAAATATGGGTCCAGGATCTGTTCAAGGCCAAGGAATGGGACAATCTTCTATACAAAGCCAAAACATGGGCCCAAGTTCGGTTCAAAACCCGAATATGGCTAGCCAGAATATAGGTCAAGGACCAATTTCTGGTCAAGCCGGCTCCATTGGACCACACAGTCAAATGGCCTCACAATCCATGAATCCAATGTCCAATCAACATCAAGGTCCAATGTCAAATCATCAACAAGGTCCCATGTCTAACCACCAATCACAGCCAATGTCAAACCTACCCCCAAGCTCATTTGTCTCTCAACACCAGCCTAACACACCCCAGAATCAACCACCATCCCACATGAGCATGCCTCAGCCCTCGCCCCAAACATATCCACAACAACATTCCGTCGGCTCCTTCCAGAATCCGGCTTCAATCCCACCCAATATCCAGCCACAAACTCCACAGAATCCGCAACAACTTCAGACGCCGATGCGAGGTGATGGCCGCTTCACATCGCCGGCTTCTGTCACACAACGAAGCCCATTTGCTCAGCCGAATCAACTCCAAACTCAAATGTATCATTCACAACAGAGCGTGCAACAGAAACCGCTACAGTTGGAGAAGCGATTGAATCAAGCTGAAGCGCCGGCTCCACCCTTCCCCACCAATATATTCGAAGCCAACAAGGTTTTGGTGGGCAAGGAGTTGAGGAGGGCTTTATATGAGGTAAGGGAGGGGATTTTGCCGTGAATCGGCGCGTCAAACGTTTTGGCGTTGCAGCCGGATGGACTCGGTTCCGGTCACTTTTTTGTATGAAACTAAAAAATGTTGTAGCATTGGTGCTGGGTTGTAAAATACGATTTGTGAAATAAGGGCGTTAAAATGGCAGTAATTTTCTTTACAAAACAAAAAATTGCAAGAACTTTCTTTACAAACTAATAAATGGCAAGAACTTTCTATACAGCACTTGAAATGGCAAGAACTTTCTTTACAAAACATAAAATGGCAATAACTTTCTTTACAGAAAAAAATGGCAATAACTTTCTTTACAGAATATAAAATGGCAATAACTTTCTTTACAAAGCTGAAAATGGCAAGAACTTTCGTTACAGAACAAAAAATGACTTTTTTAAACAGATGTCGAGTCAAAACTTACAGCTTTCTTAACTTCAGGTCACCTCGAAAGCAGAAGCCCTACTTTCGGCCAAATTCTGCACTGATCCGATGGGAAATCAGAGTATTTTATCAAATGTCAGCTTATCAGAAGCGAATCCTCGTTCCAACGCAAGCACAAAAGAATCTCCAAGCAAACCGATTGCTAAAATACCGGTAACAGAAGAGGACTTCCGAGTGGCCAAGGAAATGTATCTGGCCGCCGTTTCTGTATTCTTCAGTATTTGCGACGATATTGAGAGGAATTTCGTGAGTTTTCGAAAGGTTTTGCTGAAAAATCATGATGAAGAGACTACAAGTTCAGATTTTTCTAAAATTGTGACCTAAATCGCCCGAAAAACGGCGTTTCTAAAATTTTTTAGCCAAAAAAAGCTTAAAGTAATGTCATTCTTTCTTTCAGCTGATCCTAATTGAAGCCGAAAAAGAAATGGCCCGCTACGAATTACTAGCCAAAAGCTCAGGACAAACAGACTCACTCCTGAAAGGCCTGAAAGCCCCTTTGGACGTGCTGGAAGAGGATCGACGCGCGGTCGATAAAGCCATCGAAGAAATGTGCGAAATCATTGAGACCGTGCGCAAAGTCGAAACTTGAATTCAACATTTTTTTTTAACTATTCTAACGCATATTTACATGCTAAGTCATAAATTATTGTTATGTACAACGTTTTGCTTTACAAATTTGAAGTTAAAATTTATATTATCCATGATATCAATGGAAAAATTTGAGGTTTTGTCGAGTTTCAGGTATACTACAGATAGAGAAGGGTATGAAGTTTAAAAATAAGGTTAACCGGAGGTTAAAAACTACAATCTTTGACGGGTTTTATTCATTTCCATCAAACATCACAACTACAATTTGGTCCCACAACGAAAACAAACCGCTTGGCCTTAGGTTCCTTCACGTGAATTATTTTTTTCTGTTCGACGCCAAAGGGTTTTTTGACAAAATGCGCGTGGTTTATATTCGATAACAGTTTTACCTGGGTTAAAAAATTGTATTTATGTTTAAAATATTGTAGTAGATATGTTACTCGAAGTTATATCGATTTTAATCTACAATTTTAGCTATAATTTGTTTCGAATTTTATCACAAACGTTTCTCCGTTTCTAAACGAATTTTTATCAACTAATTTTGCAATTTTTAAATTGATTTTTAAATTGCACTTTCCGTTGATGTTTGATGTCATGAGTAATATAATGGACTCGAGACTTTTCGTTTCTAAACTTGAATGTGTTACAGGCTAATGTAAAACAATATCGTGAAACTTTTTGCTCACCTTTAGTTGACTAAAACGGTGGTAATTGATTGGTTTTGTCAATTTTCCTTTTACAGAATTCATTTTCTTTTTAGGTGGAGGTGTGTTCGTTGAGATTGGATGTATAGCATCGTATAAACAGGGAAATTTAATATGTGGACGCTTAAAGTGTTGCATAGAAAGTGCTTTTTCGTTTCTATGTGTAATGCATCATAAGTTGGCTCTGAATACATGTGAAAAGCTTTGTTTTTGGATTTGGAGGTAGAGATGTCTAGTGTAATATATTATGATGCTTATATTTGAAAGGAACGCTTGTTTTTGAGCATTGTGTTATTATGGTGTTGAAGGTTAGTATATTCTTCATTCTTCAATGTGTACTTAATATGGTAAAAACTTTTTATTGTTTAGTAACATGCTGTGGAAAGTGTATGATACTTGATGTTCAGTGTATTATGGAAAATGGTCGATTTTTAGCTGTATATTAGTTTTTGATTGTTTCATTGCTTAAAAATGTAAAGTAGAGATGTTTGGCATTCATTTAATACCGGATTTAGTTTGTTACAAGATTTAGTTTATTTGTTATGTATTCTGGAACATCGGGCCTTCAGATATCAAGTGTAATATTGTGAAAAGTGGATATTATGCTGTTTTGCTGACTTCTGAGTTTCAAGTTTTTGACGGCTTAAAGTAGATTGATTTTTCTTGCTTTTGCCAAATTTTCTAAAATTTACAGTGTTTAGGTAAAAAGTTATATTATACATAAGATCATATGCATCTCAGGTCATGTATAATATAAACAGCCGTTGTTATTGTGGAGAAATGTTATTTCTTGTTTTCTAAACTTACTCAAACGTAAAACCAAGACATTTTCCTTTTTTTTGGTTCTATCTAACAAAACGACATCTCAAATTAATTGCAATGCCATTAGGTAATAAAGAAGGACATGTCCTACTATAATATAAGCCAAAAAAAGATATTGCTGGTTAATTTGGGGAGTGCGCGGTTGATGAAAGTCTCGTGGAATGTTTCGGAAAAGCGGATTTGTGCGTGCCCACCATGGCCGAATAGGGGGTTGGTGTGGCCAAAAAAGGGCCATGAGCGGCGGCCGAAGGCTTTCGAATCGATAGTCTTGGAGGTTGTTTTTTTCGGAAATCCGCTAACTTTCCGAACCCTATTGTCTTTAAATGTGTTGATATTGTGCTCAACATGTCATATAATGTTAGGACATATTATGAAAGGTATTTTGTTAACAGTACGTGCTAATAAAAGTGGGGTTTTGGCTTCGGAAAGGAAGGATTAAGTGTGCCTTTTGGGGAACATTAACAATTCTCATGATGTCATTACGGCAAACACGTGATGTTTTTTAAAACACTTGAAGGAAAAGTTTTAAAAAAGGTAAAGTAGTGTAAAATACGGTTATCGGAGTGTCCGTTATGTCAAAAATGGCATTCCATATAGTGGAAAATTAAATTTAAGTTAGGTGATGTGAAGGGTAATATAATTTTTGAAATTTCTCTTAAAATCCTGGGTTAAGTACGATACCTGTCACACAGAATGAGTTCAATATAGTATGTAGAATACTAAGGTTGTTTTTGGATGTTATACGTCTTCAATAAGAAGTGATGTTTTCAAAAAGTACGGCTTGGGGTTTTGATGTCAAGTGTAATATAATTTTTTGAAATTTCTTAAACACAGTAAAGCCTAAGCGTTTCTTATTAGACAAGTTAAGTATAGTATTCTAAACAGTACAGGTAACGATATAAACTGTGTTATAAGATCAAAAATTTTCTCCAGTTAAAAAAGCGAGGTCGGGTCGCTGATTTCAAGTATAATATATTTTTTTTGAGATTTGGCTATCACAAATTATAGTTCTGTAAATCTAAATTGAAAATATATAAAGTTTTTAATACAGCCAAGTTTATAAAATGAATTTGCTGTTTTGTTTTTGTTCAGTATTTTGAAAAAAAAGCAAATTTGTGCAGTAATATGGACTTTTGTAGTATAATCTGATTAGATACGTAAACAAAATGCAAAAAACACGTATTTTCCTTTTGGAATACATTGTTTACTTTGACATATGTATTTTGACATTGTGTGTTTGCGTTTGGCATTTTGCGTTTGACATGTTTTGGTCGTTATTGTCATAGAGAGGAGTTTTAAAACTTATGGATTTTTTTAGTTTTAAAACATAAAATTATGTCGTAAACTCTTCCAAACGCGTTTATATAATCCGTGATAACCTTACTGTTACAGAAAATAAAAATTATTACCTAAATTACTATTTTTATTACAGTGAAAAATGTCATACGCTTACTTGTTCAAGTACATTATTATTGGTGATACTGGTGTCGGAAAGAGTTGTTTGTTGTTGCAGTTTACTGACAAAAGATTTCAACCTGTCCATGATCTAACTATTGGTAAGGATTTTAACTTTTTTTTGGTTTTAGTGTAAAATACGGGTGGAAAAGGTTATAAGATTAAAAATAAGCGTTTTCTTTATTTTAAGAATAAGATACTGTTTTTTACACTTAATAAGGTAAACATAAACATAGAATTTAACTTTAACTTTGATTTTAAATTTTTGAACTTTATTTTTTTTAATTTCAAAAGATTGAACTATAATATGTTGTAGGCGTGGAATTCGGTGCTCGTATGATCAATATTGATGGCAAACAGATCAAGCTTCAAATCTGGGACACGGCTGGCCAAGAATCGTTCCGTTCCATTACTCGATCTTATTATAGAGGAGCTGCTGGTGCTCTGTTGGTTTATGACATAACTCGGTAAGGTCTTGATGTTTTGTCTTGGTTTTTTGAATTTAGGTATCTAAAAGATGATTGATAGATTAATATATTGGCTTTTTATTATCGAATGTACTAGTTTTTCAAATTTAAAAGTCGTTTTTAACATATTAACCTTGCTCCTTTTAGCCGCGACACATTTAACCATCTAACCTCGTGGTTAGAGGACGCTCGTCAACACTCAAACTCCAACATGGTGATCATGTTGATTGGTAACAAATCCGACTTGGAAGCTCGACGTGAAGTCAAAAAGGAAGAGGGTGAGGCGTTTGCTCGCGAACACGGCATGGTATTCATGGAAGCGTCGGCCAAAACCGCCGCCAACGTCGAAGAGGCTTTCATCGAGACGGCCAAGGAGATTTATCGCAAGATTCAAGAAGGCGTTTTTGATATTAACAATGAGGTAAGGGGTTGGAGGGTTTTATGATTTGTTGTTGGGTAGGCCTTTTGGTAGGAAAGGGCAGTTTATTCCAGAAGCATAAGATTTTAAAATTAAGGTTCTTACAGTTTAAAATGACATTATAGTTAATTTTGGAGGAAAACAGTTTCTTTTGAAGGACAAAAATGACAAACTTGTCAATAAACTTATATTATTCATGACAAAAGGTGGATTTTTAAACAAAATTTTGAAAAATCTTGAAAAATTTTATATTATCCATGAAAAGAAGACTAATTTAAACTTAGAAAAGTGTCACATTTGAAAGGTTTTAGCTGTAGTTTGAATAAAATTGAAATTTTCAGGCCAACGGAATCAAGCTGGGCCCACAACACTCGCCAAGCTCACCCAACTCACCAAGCGCCGGCTCATCATTGGGCGGCAACAGTGGATGTTGCTAAGTCAAGGTGGATTTTGATTACATTTTGAAGATTTTAGGGATATTTGGATTTGGTTTGACTAGTTATGGTTATTTATATTATTATAAGATGTTCAAAAAATAATGAGCCATAGCAGCACAGTGGTTAATTTAAAATATGAAATAGTTAAAGAAGAAGTTATGGAAAACTAAAAATACTTTAGAATCACAATCTTTTTTTCTTGTTAAAACTTTGTTATAACCTAGGGCTCATTAATTTTTGAACAATAAAATATTATTATAGAACGGTGTTTTTTGCCGAGTTAATGCTTTTTAGGTAGGGAGAGGGTGTTTTTTTTAAACTTTGAAGGTAACGGGTTTTAAGTGATGATTTTTTAAAAAGTTTTATTTTTTTACTTGCCATATCACCTTACTTCATATTTCAGCAACCAACCCCCGAACCTGAAGCCATTGAACGAACATCTCGCCCCTTCCCTTCTAATCTAATTGTATTTACAGCTTCGAATAAAGCCTTTGTGTACATTACCGTAACATACAATTAGTCCACTTTGTGTTTTCTCTTACCAAATGTACCTTCTGTGCTTCTACAACAACATCTACTTTATATCGCCTGATATCAGATGTACATGTAACTCTTCTTTTTTATGAGCTAATGAATCTATTGGTTCATGTTCTGTAAGCTGGTGTTTATATTGGCATATATCTTGTAGGCTGATACAGGTATTACTCTATGTTATAGTAGGTAGTGTGTATTGGCTTATTTTGTATATGTTAATACCTATATTGACCTGTTTCATGAACTAATGGCTCTATTAGCATATTTTGTATAAGCTAATGTCTATATTAGTCATCTTCTTTTTTTTGAACACCCCTAGGGCGTATTTTTTGGTTTTCATGTATTCATTTCATAAACTTATATTTATAATTCGTAAATAAACTTATTCAACAAGTTATTGGTTGATTTTCGGTAATATTTAGTGCGTATTTAAAGTGTTTTAGTAAGACTATAATCACCATCAAAACAAATCAATTCATCAAGAAATATGAAACTCATTGTTCAGACGCTGATGGTGAATATAATTCTCTGTGTTATATCTCCATGGCTTTTTGATGTAATGAAATTAGGCTTTGTAACTCGTATCAGCATTATTATACCTTGACTTGTACAAAATTTCAACTTAATAACTTGAATTTTACCAAAGATAAAAATAAAACAGGGCATAACCATCAAAAGTATGGATAACATAATATTTCGGCTTATATCTTCTTTGATTAAAAAAAAGCGTAAAACGGTTTTAAAAGTGAAAAATACATTACTTTATGTCATCGTACATAAAAAGCTAGCCCACGATTCTACATAACACATGAGTTATAACAAAAAGCATCTTTTTCCACTGGCAATCATGGTTAACATGGTTTTGATAGCTTATATCTCAAAAATTTTATATTGAATTTATTTTATATTTTTATGGTAAAATCCTTTCAGTAACTAGCTATCCTCGTAGCCATATCAAGCAGTTTAAATCTATGGGACGAAAGCTATGGTTAAAAATGTCATGTCATACCTGGCCTTAGAGCCGATTACAGGCAAAATTGCACTTTTTACTTAAAATAATAGCTTTTGGCTGTTATTTGAAAAAGTCATATTTAAGATGACTAAACTTTTGTTTGTTAAATATTTTTTTTTATATTTTGGTCGAAAAGAAACGTGTTTTTTAGGCCGAGACGAGTGCCGATCTGTCCCCGCCCCTTATATTCATGACGCAATTCTTTCGAAAGTTGTCATTTCTACTAGTCCTGGGGATGGAAAAGGCGAAGAAAAGGGTTTTCACATCCTGATTTTAGTTTTTTGGAAAAATTTTAATATTTTTAAAACTTTTATATTTTACTTTTTTTGGAATTTTAAAGTATAAACTTCTCAACCCTAAGGCATTTTCTTTAAATTAAGAAAGCGTTAGGGAACTCTAAGGTTTTCTTTGATCAAAACTGACAGCAAAAGGTTTTTACTAGGTTGTTCAAATAATTCTGTGCCTCTTAAAATCTTAGGTTGTTCAATTAATTTTGTGCTCCCTTAAAATATTAAATTTTTCAAATAATTTTGTTTCTTCTTTTAAAAAAAATTTTTGGGGGCATATAAATATTTGAACAGCCTAATAAGTATCCTACTAATATTTGTAGTAGGATGCCTAAAACTTTACTGTAAAGTAAGCCCCCCCCTGTTAAAGTCAGGCTCTCCTTATCAAAAAAAAGACGATGAGACGACCTTTAAGGATATGAAAACATTGTTGAGTCTGCTAAAAGTTGGTTAAAATGATTGTTTAAACTTAATTTTTATCGTAAAGAAAAACTATTTTTGGGAAAAGGGCAATGGTCGCTAAACGTGATTGATCAGCTAATGTTTCTGCCTTTATTGCCATTCTTTGTTGTACTGTGTAAAAATTTTAAGCTTCCAACTTCTGTATAGTATATTACATGATGTTTAGAATCTATTTTGAAAATTACTTTGGCAGTTAGACGTCTGGTACTTTTGCTACAAGAAGAATAAATATCTTAATCACGTTGCCATGGTTAATATAAGTTGTTGAATCATGTCTTTGTAGTGATAAAACGTAGTAACTTGATTTTTTGATGGCAATACGAACATCATCTGTATAACGTACCTTCTAAATTTCATATAAATTCAATAACTATATCATGAGATATGATCAAAAACGTCCTGACATCTCTATATTAGGATAAGTAATTTTCGCTCAAGTAACATTTCGTATTTTACAAACTCTTTATGATATTTTCAAAAACATCACCAGGTCAAGATCTTGCCATTCTGCCCTCAGACAGGTCTGTTTGCAAAAAAAAAGTTCAACAGGCGTGTCCTGTTTACACGACCTTTCACATGTTCTCCATGTGAATCGTCTATATAAATTGTCCTCCAAATGTTTCATTAGCAACTTTTTTGCTTCTAAAACCTTTATATCTTTAATGTATTCACTCTTTAAAATTGTATATTGATTTTGGAGCCATTTGTAGTAGAAGTGCGGGTATTATGAGGAAAGACGTGAAATTGGTTAGCTAGGTAGGATAATATAATTTAAAAGGGTCGTGCAGGTGTTAGGTTTAACTTTGTGTTTTGTAATTTCAGAATGTTTTAGAAACAGGTCTAATCTAATTCTCATAAACGTGTACTTGGCTAATTTAAACGATGAATACGCCTATGGCAAATTATTTTATATTATTATAGACAGATCCAATGTATGCTTTACAAAAACTAGGATAAAACAAGTCACAGTAGAGATGTTGACATAAAGTTAAAAGTTGATGCTCACATGACTTCAGTAATAAAATAAAATATAAAAGATTGACAGTAAAGGCTGTTTTCATTGTCAAATCCGCTTGACATTACACTATGTATACCAAGTGCAATATCATTCATATTCTTAGTGAAAAAGCTGTTTACTTAATTGTTTTATATAGTAAAACGGCGAATATATTACAAAAAACCTATTTTTCATCAAATTTTGTTGGATCCAATTCCAAATTTTCGAATTTTTTCAAAACGAAGTTTGATGCTAAGTCTCGCCACGAAACTTTTGCTATTTCTTCGCCTTTCGCTCCGAAAAAACGCAAAAAACGTCTGCAGGCACGGAACGTTGTGGCTACGAACCAATCTCTATGTCTTGTGTATGTCTAGAGTTCGGGCATTGCGTAGAAGCCGACGTTCCGTGCCGTTTTCGAAATTCCGCGCGAACCAGGAACACTTTTTGAGGATTTCGGCCGCAATTCGGGGGTTTTAGTCTTATTTCGTTGTAAATTACCTATATAACTCGGCTATTTTGATCCGAAAATATTGCTATTTATCACACTGATGTTATAGTTTTGATATTAAAGCAAATTATAACTTTTAAGGCTAGTTTTTGACTAATTTTTTAACTTTGGTTGGATTTGGAGTTGAAGTTTGGTTGTTTATTTGGTAATTTAATGGTTTGTCTTTGCCATGCATAGATTACCAAGGCTTTGGAGAGTATTTTGATATCAAACTTGTTGTTTTAAAGTGGCAAGAATTGATAATTATGGAGCTTTTCTGATATTAACCATGAACGGGTTGTTGTTGTTGGTGAAGTGCAAGCTTAAAATTGATGGACTTGCTGGCTATTTTATTGACCTTTAATTAGAAAGTATTATATTAAGTTATATGAAGAGTATTTTGATATTTAACTGGCCTTTGCATTTGTTTTAGTTTACCCGTTTTACCCGATATTATCCATGACAGCGCCTAATTCCTTCGCGAACGAATTTCTTGCGAAATCCTTGACTCTCTGGCCTTATTCTTGGCATTCCGTTAACTCTTCCCTCAAGGCTATATTTATCATTTTGAGAGGAAGCAAAACAATTTTTTTTGCCAAGCCTAAAAGCCTATTCGGACCCGGAAAACACCTTGATCAGCCCGTTTTGAAGAGGCTTTTTCAGCGTTCCGGGCGCTTGTCACATTCGCTTTTCCCTTTCAGTCTATGGCCCACAAACTGGGTGTTCTTTCCTCAATATGTATTGGCCTTTCGATGTTCTCTTCCCAATGTTATTGGCCCTTTTTCTCTGTTTTTGACTTCTTTCACGGAGGATTTTTGCCTCGAATACGTGAATTTTTGTAAATTTGATGGCGTTCCGATTGTTTGTAGGTTTATTGAGATGACAAACAGTGAGGACAGGGTTTCTTTGTTATAATATTGTTTGGTTTTTGTGGTTTCGGGCAGAGGTTTATAAGGATTTTGCTTGGAAAAGACCTTGGCCGTCTTGAAGACTAGTGTAATATAACTTTTAGTTGTTTTATATGTTTATATTGGTTTTAATGGTAATTTTGTAACGCAAAATGTATTATTAGATTCTTCTTTATTTATTTTGTTTATATTTTTTGTTTTCTCTATCTTTTACTTTATTAAATATTTTCATTTAAACGGTTTGTGCCTAGTATAATATAATTTTAATGCGATTTTATGATATTTAGATTAGCTTTTGTAGTATTTAAGGTTTAAACAGTAAGGTTAACGTCTTGTGGTTGTATTAAAGCAAAAATTTATTATTATTCACATTGAATTCTTATAATTCTTGCGGTTGGTCTATTACGTGTCTAATATAATGTTAAGCATTGTGTAATCTAATCTTATGTATATTTCAGTTGACTTGTTGAAACGTGAAAATGGCCGAAGTCGGAGCATCTTACCAACCAGCCTTGACCAAGGAGCGCGAAGAGGAGCTGAAAAGCATCGCTGCCCAGATCTTAACTCCAGGCAAGGGAATCTTGGCCGCCGATGAATCGACTGGTAAGTTTTTTGTAATTTTTTTGTTGCTTTTGGTTTTTAGGGCGTAAATATTGGTATAGTGGATAATTTTAGCTGGTTTGGTGAATTGTTTTGCTTAAATTCAGCGACACGTTATATTATCCATGGCTTTAGGCCATATTTCGATAAGTTTGAGACAAAATGAAGTTCAATTTTTAAATTTTAAGGTTCCATTGGAAAGCGTTTGGCGTCTATCAACTTGGAGAACACTGAGGACAACCGTCGTAAGTACCGTCAGCTCCTGTTCACCACTCCCAACCTCAACAACAACATCAGCGGAGTGATTATGTACGAAGAGACCTTCAACCAAGTAAGCTATATTCTTTGCTAATATATTTAGCTTACAATACGGGCCTAGTCACCGCTCCATACTTACGTTTAAACTATGATTCTGTGTCATTTGTACGGTATTTACTATATTGTAGTAGGCACCTATTACTACTTTAAGCTTAAGGTCCGTATTAAGGTATAGGTAGTGTCATTTACTGCCTTAGGGGTAGAAATAGCAAGAAAAAGTTTGTTTACAGTGCGAAAAGAAATAGATAAAGAAGCCGGTGTGTTTGAAGGCTTTTTTTGCTTTTTTTCTGATAAAGGACGTCAAAACGTTTGGTTATTGATGTTTTTGTTTGCTTTAAAGTCAAGCAAGCGTTCAATGTACGTATATAAACGTTTATAGGTAGCTTGTAGTCTTTAATTGATGATAATAAGTTTTTTGAGTTGTTTTGACATTTTGTCGGGGTTTGGGATGATTTTTTGGCAGTAGGTGTCTATGATAATATAATTTTTTATATTTTTATGTAATTTTTGGCATTTTTGGTTTTTTAATGGAATTTTTGGACCGAATGAGTATTTGGTATACTAATTTATTTGTTTTTAGAAAGCTTCCAATGGAGAACGCTTCGTCGACATCCTCAAGAAGAACAACATTGTTCCAGGAATCAAACTCGACTTGGGTATTGTCCCCATCGCCGGAACCGTCGGAGAAGGCGTCACTCAAGGTCTGGACAACCTCCAGAAGCGCGCCGAAGAGTTCAAGAAGGGTGGAGCTCAGTTCGCTAAATGGCGCAACGTGATTCACATTGGCAAGAACATCCCATCGAACGTGGCACTCCAAGAGAACGCCTCCGTCCTGGCCCGTTATGCTTCGATTTGCCAACAAGCCGGGCTTGTCCCCATCGTCGAACCGGAAGTGTTGTGCGACGGTGAACACGATCTGGCCAGATGCCAGAAAGTTACTGAGATCACGTTGGCCTACCAATACAAGGCCTTGGCCGACCACCACATCTTCTTGGAAGGAACCTTGTTGAAGCCCAACATGGTCACTCCAGGCCAAGGTCACGCAAACAAGGCCACAGCTGAAGAGATTGGATTGGCTACAGTCACTGCCTTGAGAAGAGGTGTTCCATCGGCCGTTCCCGGTAAGTTTTTTTGATTTTTTGCTTGATTTTTAGGTTAGATAGCATTGAAAAAGGCAGGAGGGGCTTGAAAAAGCTTGTATTTGGACCTTTTTGAGCTCAGAAGCCGTGGCACTTGACTTTTTATGAAGCAATGAAGCTTCATTTTGTGTTTTGAAGCTTTTTGTTAGCAAGTATAATTTAATTTTTGACGTTTTGAACTAAAAGCCAAAAGAAATTTGGCTAAAATTTTTATTTTTAGTTTTTTGAGGGCATGTGTAATATACTTTTTGATGTTATGGTCAAAGTGTATTAAAATATTTATTAAAAATTAATGAAAAAGGTAGAAAAGGACCTTAATAACGATATTTTATAGGTATTGTGTTCCTGTCTGGTGGTCAATCCGAAATCGAAGCCACGAAGAACCTCAACGCCATCAACTCAGTTAGCCTGACCAAACCCTGGACTCTCACCTTCTCGTACGGCCGTGCCCTCCAAGCTTCAGTGTTGAAGGCATGGGAAGGCAAAGATGAGAACATTGAAGCCGCTCAAAAGGTCCTCCTCCACCGTGCCAAGGCCAACGGTGAAGCTCAACTGGGCAAGTACGCTGGAGAAGAAGGAGCCGCAGCAGCTGCCGAATCCCTTTTCGTCAAGAATCACGCTTACTAAACCAACTTGATGTCTATACCTACTATAATATGGCTTGTATATTGTTTTGGCTTTAAATATGATGGTAATTATAGCTTCATCTTAAATTAAATGGAATTTAAGGCTATTGTAATAATTATCAGTTATATTTCAAGTCATTTATCTTTTATACAAGACTATATTGTAGTAGGTAACATTAAGTAATAATCTCTCAATTATGTTTTTATAACCAAACTTTTAGGTATTGTAAATGTAACTGTGAATTATTATATTGATATAACTAGAAATAAACACGTATTGTGATATTATCCACGGATTCAAAGGTTTGCAGTTCTTTTCAGTCAGCTTTGTCTTATCGTTGAGTTGTTGGTCGTTTGCTTGATTAGATGGTAGTTTAGCTTGAAAAAGGTTGTAGTACCATTGAAATATCTGAACAAGTGTTTTTTGAATTTGGGGTTGTTTTCGGAATGGCAGTTGTAAAGACAATTGGGATTGAATGAAGTTTTTGGGATGTAGGTATAGGAAATGGATGATTAGTTGATGTATAACATTGATTTTAAACTAAAATAAGGTAGTACAGGTTAAGAAAAGTATTGTCTGAGCTGTAGAAGACTTTAGAGATCAATTTTGTTTAGTTTTGAATGAGTTTTTATGAAAAATACGTTAACTATAGCCAGTTTTCGCCGATTTTAGGTAGGATAATATAATTTTCTTGAAGTTTATGCGTTTTCAGTTTTAAATTAAATTAAAATGATATTTTCAATAATAAAGAGACATTTTCTAGCTGTTTTAGATACCGTAGAGCGAACAGTTTATTGATATTGCTCTTTATTTTCTTCAAATTGTTTTGAAAACTCTTGTTTTTGGCTATTTTTAGGTAGGAAAACGCCATTTTTTGAAGTATTTAGCCGTAACTTGAACTGAAATTTATTTTTTTTATTATTTATAATGTTTATGAGTATATATGTTGCCATTTTAAATGTTTTAGATATGAAAATGTGTTAAAATCTTGGGTTTTAGATGCGACAATGCCGAACAAACTGAATGCGCGCGCAGTTGTGGCGGGCGGCGGAATCATGGGCCTGTCCGTCGCCTATCATCTGGTCCGGCGTGGAGCGGCCGTCATGCTCTTCGAAAAGGACTGGTGGGTTGTTGAATTGATGTTGTAGTAGGCTTGGGCTTAGTGGGATTATGCTTGGTATGCTGAGGACTAGGTTTAGGATTAGGCTTAGTAGGCTTAGGCTTAGTAGGTTTAGGCTTAGCAGGCTTAGGCTTAGTAGACAGGCTTAATAGGCTTAGGCTTGGTAAGCTTGGCTTAAGCCTAATAGGCTCAGGTTTAGTCAGCTTAGGCTTAGTAGGCTTAGACTTAGTAGGTTTAGGCTTAGCAGGCTTAGGCTTAGTAGACAGGCTTAATAGGCTTAGGCTTGGTAAGCTTGGGCTTAGCAGGCTTAGGCTTAGTAGGCTTAGGCTTAGTAGGCTTAGGCTCAGTAGGCTTAGGCTTAGTAGGCTTAGGCTTAGTAGGCTTAGGCTTAGTAGGCTTAGGCTTAGTAGGCTTAGGCTTAGTAGGCTTACGCTTAGTAGGCTTACGCTTAGTAGGCTTAGGCTTAGTAGGCTTAGGCTTTGTAGGCTTAGGCTTTGTAGGCTTAGACTTAGTAGGCTTAGACTTGGTAGGCTTGGTTTAAGCCTAATAGGCTAAGGTTTAGGCAGCTTAGGCATAGTAGGCTTCGACGTAGTAAGCTTGGGCTTAATTTGGCATTTTTCAGTATTGGAGCCCATAGCGAGACCCACCCGACGAATGTAGGCCTAGTCACCGCTCCATACTTTTGGCCTGACGCTATGGCTCAGCGAATGGCTAGGAAGTCTCTTCAATTGTACAGTCAGTTGGCCAAAGTCGCTGGATTCCGTGAGTTTTTTGGTTTGTAAAGAAAGTTCTTGTTATATTATGCTCTGGAAAGAAAGTTCTTGCCATTTTATCCTTTGTAAACAAAGTTCTTGCCATTTTTTGGTCTGTATAGAAAGTTCTTGCTATTTTTGGCTAAAAACTTGAATTGAAAAAAACTATTTTAACTTTAAAAATTCTAGGTTACGCACGCTGCGGCCGCGTTTACCTGGCGGGAAGCGACGAGGCCGAGGTTCATATCCGTCGAATCCATTCCCGCTCGCTAGTCCACGGCGACACGAACGAAATCATCGATTGCCCTTCGGAAATGCTAGCCAAATGGCCCCTAATCAACACCGAAGACCTTCGGCTAGCCCTGCATTCGGTCGAGGACGTCAGCCTGGACAACATGGGACTGTGTAGTGCATTGGCGGACGCTGCTCGCGAGCACGGTGCTCAGATATACGAAAACTGTGATGTGAAGAAGGTGATGGTGGGCGATGGACAGAAGGTTTACGCCGTCGACACGGACGAAGGCCTGGTCGAGACGGGGGTCTTTGTGAATTGCGCTGGAATCGTAGGTTTTGTCATCAGCTGGGGGGGTTATTTGAAAATGGCTGTATAAGTTTAGTATTATGGTTGGATTTCTGTTATGGTCAATTTGGGTCGGTTTTTTGGTTAGAAAGGGGGAATGCAGTATAGGGTAGGGTGTGGTAGGGTAGAGTGAAGTGATTTTGACTATGACAGAGCCAGAAGGGCAAGGTGGAGCAAAATAATTTGCATTAGGTAGGGCAGGATAGGGTATGGGGTAGGTTAGGGTACTGTAGAGTAAGGCAGTGTAGGGTAGGATAGGGTTGGGTAAGGTAGGGTAGGGTAGCGTAGGGTAAAGTAGTTTTGGTTGAGGAGGAACAAAAAGGCAGGGTAGGGCAAACAGGTTTTGACGAGGTAGGATAGGGTACTGTAGGGCAGGTTTGAATACTGTAGGGTAGAGTAGCATACGATAGAAAGGGTAGGGTAGGGGAGAATATGAATCATAGGGTAGGGTCGGGTAGGATATTGTAGGAGGAGGCGGTTTTGGATAGGGAAGGGGGGGGGGGGTAATGTGGCTTTGGTTAAGAAGGGACGGGAAGGCCGGTTAGAGTGTGATAAAGTGTTTTTAGGTAGGGTCAAGGTAAGGTAAACAATTTTTTTGAATTTGGAGGAGAAAGTTTAAATTTTTAAAAAAATGGGCGGGGTAAAGAAAAAACTTTTTGGGAGGGATATTGGTCAATATTGAAATTTAAAAGAAAATAAGTAAAAAGCTTTTAAAATTAATAATTTTTTTGTGGGGTGTGGTAAAAATTTTTTTTTGGATAGAGCAAGGGGCGGAGTATTTTTTTTGAGATGGGAGGGGAAAAGATGTAAGTAAAAAGTAAAAAATGATTTTTTCAAAAATATTTTATTTAAAATTTTTTTTTTGATTTTGTCGCTATTCTTTTTTCCGTCTCCACCGGGCATTTGTCTAAATATCCCTTAATATTATTATTTTTTTGTAAAATACGCCCATAAAATCCATCTTTTATTAATTTTTAATAAAGTACAACCTTTAGCATTCCAATATGATAAGCGTGACCTCAGTGCCGGAACGTTGTGTCCGCGTCCCGGCCTGGCCGTGCACCTACACCATGCTGACGGCCGAAAAGTTGCCCAGCTCGAATGTGAAAGAGACCACGCCAGCCTTCGTGGACATGGACCACTCCACCTTCATCTACGCCAACGAGAATCGAACCATTTGTGGCGGGTTTGTGGAGTCCGAAATTCATGCCCTTAAGGTACCGCATGGGATGCAAAGGGAATGGAGTCTGCCTAACCCGGACTGGGACAAGTTTCGTAAGTTTTTTTGATTTTTTTTGAAATTTCGAAGATTTTTGGTGATAAATTGAATTTCGGGGTGGAAAGAAACTTTTTGCGTTTTTACAAATTTTGGGCTTGTAAAGAAAGTTCTTGCCATTTTATGCCCTTTAAATAAAGTTCTTGCCATTTTTTGCTTTGTAAAAAAAGTGATTGCGGTTTTAAGCTTTGTAAAGAAAGTTCTTGCCATTTTAAGCTTTGTAAAGAAAGTTCTTGCCATTTTAAGCTTTGGAAAGAAAGTTCTTGCTATTTTAAGCTTTGGAAAGAAAGTTATTGCTATTTTTTGTTTTGTAAAGAAAGTTCTTGCCATTTTAAGCTTTGGAAAGAAAGTTATTGCTATTTTTTGTTTTGTAAAGAAAGTTCTTGCCATTTTAAGCTTTGGAAAGAAAGTTATTGCTATTTTTTGTTTTGTAAAGAAAGTTATTTCTGTTTTTTGTTGTGTAGAGAAAGTTCTTGCCATTTTATGCTTTGTAAAGAAAGTTCTTGCCATTTTAAGCTTTGTAAAGAAAGTTTATGTCATTTTTTGTTTTTTTAAAAAGATTTTTGTTATTTCTGCGATTTCAGACCCTATCCTCAAATCACTTTTGGAACGTTGCCCAACCCTAGCCAACGTGACCTCAGGCGATCTGACAGCCGGTTGTGAAATGTACTCCCCAGATATGTACCCAGTAATTGGTGAAAGTGAACAAGTCAAAGGCTATTTTGTAGCCAACGGCCTAAACGGCCAAGGTTTGGCCATGGCCGGTGGCCTGGGTGAGATCCTAGCCCAATGGATCATGGACGGGTTCAGCTCGCTAACTCGAGACGTCTCCAAATTTGACGTAACCCGCTTCTCCAGACAACACACCAACCCACAATATCTATACGAAAGGGTGCCCGAGATCGCGAGCAACACCTTCAAACCATGCCACTACTCACATCAATGTCATACAGCTAGGAATTTGCGAATGAGTCCGATTTATCATCATTTGAGGGGCAGAGGAGCGGTTTTCGGAGAGATCATGGGATACGAACGACCGTTGTGGTTCGAAGATAATCAAGGTAAGGGGGGACATCGGTGGAGATGATGTAAAAGAGTATGGAGATTCTATTAGGGTAGTTTTAAAAAACAATGATTTTTATAAAATACGGTTTTTGTTAGTTTTTTATGGGAGGAAAAAGCAAGAAAAAAAGCAAAGTAGGGTCGATAAATTTTAATTTTGTAACTTTTACAGTTACAGGCCAGACTGAAAAATGAACGAAGGTAATGTAAAAGACCATCGGCTTTAATTTGACAGTAGTTTCGAAAAAGTACAAAGCTTCAAAGTGTATGTTTGATGACTTTTTTTTTTGGAAAAAAGTTAAATTTTTGGCGGAAGAAAAATGAAATTTTTTAATTTTTACAGTTTAAGGCCAAACTAGAAAATGAGTCTACTTGATGTAAAAGACTATGCGCTTTACTTTGACAGTAGTTTTGGAGAAGTGTGAAGTTTCAAAATTTATATTTTTAACGTTTTTTCTGAAAAAAGTGAAATATTTGGTGATTTTTTGAGAAAAATCACGAATAGATCAAACAAATTTAGATTTAAAAAATTTTACAATCACAGGTCAGACTGGAAAATGTGTGTAGATGATGTAAAAGAGTAACAGCTTTAATTGAAAAATGGTTATGAGCAATTTTAATTTTGTAAAATACGAAATATATATATATGGTTTTAAAGCGGTTTTTTATGAAAAAAAAATTTTTGTGAACAATGCAAAATCAAAATGAGTGTAAATAGTGATTGGTATTGTTAGAAAGAGCTGCGGCTTTAATTTGAGGCTAATTTTGAGTAATTAGATGTTTGTAAAATACGTTTTTTTGATAAAAACACTAGAAAATTTTGAAATTTGAAAGCTGTAGACCCACTAAAAACCGAAAATTCAGAAGAATCAGTAACAAACCAAGTCTACTGCGGTCAGGACAACAATCTAGGCCAGCCGATTTGGTTCCCACACGTGCGACGCGAGTACGAAGCGTGCCGCGAGCGCGTCGGCCTTATCGACATGACCAGCTTTTCCAAGTTCGACATTCAAGGACCGGACGTGGTACCACTACTACAAAAAGTATGTAGCGCCAACATCGACAAACCGATTGGTACGACGATCTACACGGGCATGCAAACGGAGAACGGTGGATACGTGACGGACTGCACGCTGAGCAGGGTGGATGAGAATAAGTAAGTCTGGTGGGGAGGGGGGGGGGTGGTAGGTAGGGTAACGTAAAAGCAGTTTTAAGACCTATGAAATCAAGCTTGAATAATAATGAAGTCAAAATTAGCACTTTGCAAGTTTTCGTGGTGGGACCTAAAATTTATTGATAGTGTAAAAACGAGCTTTAATTACTGTAAAAGTTACTGTTTAGACTTTAACCAACCTTAAATTTTAATATTTTATTTGATTTTACAACATATTTGCAAATTGAAAGTTTTCGTGGTGGGACCCTTTACTTCTTTACTTGATCAACCAATGTTAATATAATTTGATGTTTCAGGTTCTTTCTAGTCGCTCCATCAGTACAACAAGTCCGTTGCCCTGCCTGGATCAACAAATGGATCAAGGAAATGAAGGTGAACGCTCATATTCAAGATGTCACCGGTCTGTATACCGCGTTGGATGTGGTTGGGCCGGCTTCAAGACAGTTGATGTACGACCTGACTGGCAAGGACATGTCTACCTCAAACTTTCCTTCATTCACTTGTAAAGTAAGTTTCTTCCAACAATTTTACTACAGTAATTTTTTACAGTACTCATTTACAGTATCCCTTTACAGTACACCCTTACTGTACCTTATGATACACCTTTCAGGAGATGAACATAGGAATGGCGGCCGGAATCCGTGCCATCTCAGTAACACATTGTGGCGAACTGGGCTGGATGTTGTACATACCGAATGAGGTGGCCCAGAACGTGTACGAGAAGATCGTAGAGGCCGGCGCCGAGTACAGTATGCTTCACGCCGGCTACTACGCCCTAAGGCACCTGAGAATCGAAAAATTCTACGTATACTGGGGACAGGACATCAATGCGACAGTAACGCCAGGAGAATGCGGCCGAATGTTCAGGGTTGATTTTGGGGTGGGTTAAAATTAAATTCCCTTAGGGGGTGGTTTTTGAAAAAAAAATTAAAAATTTTTTTTTAAATTTTAAAAATTTTTCAGAAAGACTTTGTCGGCCGAGAAGCCCTCCTAAAACAGAACGATGAACCGGTGAACAAACGTTTCGTCCAATTACTGGTCGATCGGCACGATTCCGAAACCGACCCCTGGCCCCAGGGTGACGAGCCCATCTACAAGGACGGCCGATTGTGCGGCTGGACTACGTCGGCCGCCTACGGCTTCACACTGGGCTCACAAGTAAGTTTCGAGTTCAAATTTTGAAATGAATGGCATTTTAAAGATTTTGAAAATTTAAATTTGAATTTCGCGCCAAAAATATTTTTCTTGGCATTGTGCTTCAAGTCAATTTATAGCCTTATATGGCCGTAAAAAGGTGAAATAACTTTAAAATTTTCAAAAATCTCAATTTTTAGGTATGCATCGGCTATCTGAAGCACCGCGACGGCATCACCCAGGACTTTGTGAACAGCGGCGTCTTCGAAATCGACATAGCCACGAAACGATTCCCGATTCGAATCAACCTACACAGCCCCTCACTACCTATGGTTTCATCCGAACATCCCGTCCACTACAGGCCAACACAAGAATATAACCCACAGTAAAACATGTCACACCATGAAAACGTATATATATAGTTGTAACTCGGTATATAGTCGTATTTATACATAAATCTAGATGTTTATTGAATACTATTGGAAAGAGAATTAAATTTTGCGTAGGAAAAATGAATTTTGCAGTAGTTAGGATTATGTTTTCCATGGTAAATATTAAAAATATTAAGGTATATCGAATTTTATGTCATGGAGAAGATAAACTTCAATATATGTTTTTACTGTTTGATGAACCAAATCAAATTTTGATACCATTTTAAAGAGCATTAAATTCTGCATCAGCGAAACTTATTCAAGGTAACAGCTGGCAAGTTATATCAAAGTTATGTTGAGTTAAACAAACAACAATTATCAAATTTTTAGGATAGCGAAGAAGATGTAAATCAATATATTTCTTTTACCATAGTTATATAAAGGCTAATTTTGCCATCATTCTAAAGACAATTCAATTATGTATCAGAAAAATGAGATTTAAGGAAGATACGACACGTTACATTAAAGTTATGTTAAGTTATACAAAGAATTATACCACATTTCGCCCAAGCAGAAGATGTAAATCAATATTTTTATTTATAGCACAACAACAAAACTAATTTAATAGATGAAAGTGTTTAGAAAAGAAGCTTACGAATGTTATAAACAACAACTGGACTAATGCACCAAGGACAAAAGCCGATTTACACCACAAAAACGATATTTTTTTAGGACTCTTAGCTTATTTAAGACGTTTTAATGGCTATACCAAATGAAATTTATGAGAAATTGATAAAGGTTACTGCAGTTAAGATCAAATTGCAACTGTTCGTATTTTACCTTGCTCTACCATTTACTCCCTCATTTTCTCCAAAATCCCTCGAAATTCTCTCATTTGAACAACTTTTTTGCGCGCAATTGTTTTCGTGCCAGGAGAGCATTGCAAGTACAATGCTTCTGTTTTTCTTCGTTTCTTCAGGCTCGAATCGTTTCGAATCAGTTTGATGACATTTCTCTGGCATTTCATCAAGCTTTGATTCTTCCGGCCTTTTCTTTTTTCTCGGATTTTTGAACTATAAATTTTTTTTGATGTATAAGGTAATATAAAGACGGTAAGTATGTCTTTTTTAATGTTTTGCAGTTGCTATAGGGTTCAGAAGGTTAAGAAGACTTTGTTTAACGTATTTTAAGTAATTGTGGATTATATCTGTAGCGTTTTTCTGGGGAATGATGAAGAATTTGTTTTTTTTTTGTGTTTTGGTCATGGATAACATCAAGTATTTGCGCGATTTGGGCCTGTTTATGTTGGTTTATTGCAATATTGTTGTTAGTAATCGTTTCAATAGGGTTTTTGACATTTTTTAAACATGTTTTTGTAGCTGTTTTGCTTTTGGTTTTGTTGTAATTTGAAGATTCTTAAAGTTCACTAGAGTTTTTGATGGATAACATAGAAATGGCTGTTTTTTTGTGGTTTTTTGGATTTTTATGAAACTGATTTTTGTTTCAATTTCTTCATTGAGGTTTTCTACATTTTTTAAGCATAGTAATTGGGTGTTTTGTTTGTTAAAACGTAAAATTTACTTTTTTCGTTACCTACATCGAGCTCTAGGTAATGTAAAAGGTTTTCGGTTTATTATTGAGGTTCTTTTGAGGAAATACGTACTGATATTGATTGGAAAAGTTGTGTAAAATATATATCTTGATTTGGAATGTGATTTTTCTACAGGTTTGTTAGATTTTTGTTGTTTTCTACTTGACTTTTGTCTTATTTTTAGATCTTTTTTCAGTTTTTTGGCGGATTTCTTGGAGAACTTGTCGAATGCGATCGTTCTGTTGCGCTTTATAGTTTATTTTGTTTGTAATGCCATCTAATTTCTAAATTTCAGAAGGATGCCATTGGGACAAGACCGTATTGCAGTTTCGCATCGCAGCGCTTTCGCCTTCTCTTCGGGCTATCACCTGAACAACATTCCGAAGGTGCAGATGCCATGGTCGGACACGGACAACGGTTCTTCTTCCTCCAACACCTCACCAACATCCAAATGGTCTCCGGTCGGTGAATTGCCCTCAATTCCACCACCTCTCACATCCAGTTCAACGTCGTCTTCAGCGTCGCCTCCATTGAATTTCCAGCCAATTCATTCGACGCCGGACACGAAAGTTCGATTCCCATCGTTCCACAGCTCCATTGCTCCACGATTGACCGCATTTCAGTCTAGTTTCAAGCCAGTATCGTCGCAATTTGGAGTTTCTGCCAAAAAGGAAGCCAATCCAGATGCGGCGTTGACGGATAAACAACGTCAAGAACGCCAACGACAGCGAAGGTTGGAGGAGAACTACAAGACGGTCATGTGCGACTTTATGCGAGCTCACAAATACTGCATGTTTGGGGACAAGTGTCGCTACGCCCATTCGGTGGACGAACTTCGACCAAAACTTGTAAGTTTTTTCTATTTTTTGTTGGTTTTTAGGTGAAAGTTGATGATGGAGATGAAATTCCAGGCTTTGTTGATACGTAGAATGGAGTTAAGGTGCTGCTTTTACTAGCATTTAACGAAAAAATGCTTCAAAATTGATTTAAAACATCGAATTTATGATAAAAGGCTTATGTGTCTAGTGTAACATACGTTTTTGTGTAGAAATTTAAAAGTTTGATGCTTTTAATCAGTGTTATGATTCTGTTAGTTGTAAAAGATGTTTGTCTAGCTAATAGTAAAGGTTTTGGGTAGAGATTTTGATTTTACATGGGCTAAATTTGACTTCTAATATTACTGGCTACTACAATATATTTTTTATTTATGTAGGAAGATGGCCGTGCCGGGCCTATTGGTCTCTCTTTTAGGTTTATCAATGTAAGATAATGTCTTTTTTGTTTAAAAATTTTTAATTTCAGCCCCCGCCCAATCACAAGACTATTTTGTGTCGCAACTTTACCGCCTCCGGCGCCTGTCCCTACGGTCGCAAATGTCGCTACATTCACAGGTCGGCGGACGAAGTGGAAGTGAAAGACATACCGGACGATGGGCATTACGAAAACTTGTTGAACAATGCCATTTGTCAACTGGATTTGTGAGCTGTGGACATGTACATATTATGTTAATATTGGTCTTTCATATTAATATTGGGTTATGTTGGTTGTGTTTGGTCTCATCCTTCTAATTTTTGTAATTTTGGGCATGATTTGGCAAGTTTTTTGAAAATTTTGAATTTTTTTTTGAAAATTTTAAAAATTTGAAAATTTTTTTTAATTTTTAAAAATTTTGTTATATGGTCGTATTGGTGTATATAGGCTCACATTGATGTATCTAGACGAAGATATACATGCATATATAATCATTTTAAGTATATGTTTGTATATATTCATTTCTAGTCAAGTACTATATACGCTTATATGACTATGTACCTCAATGTCTATATGACCAACCACTTTAATCTTAAAATATTATTTTTATTTTCAAAATGTTTGCCAATTCATCTACTAATCACTCTATTAACTATACATATTTTGATTATTTTAACCCGGTTTCAACGTTCTTAACCTTTACATTGGTATTTCGTATTACAGTTCTATATATAACATCCTACGAGGAGTAAAACAGTCAATAAATAGTTTTATATCATCTCAAATGAATACCAAGTCGAATATTATTACACGATGAAGGTTTGTCTACCTTGGAATACCAAAAAATGGTCGATTTTAGTTTTACTATGCTATATATTAGGTTGTATAAAAAGTAATGAGCCATGGTTCTCATAGCGGTATGGAGCTCAGTAGCTCATTACTTTTTATACAAATTAATATAATATTAGGTTGTTCGAATAGTTTATATCCGGTTGTTCAAGTAATTCGGGGCATCCGAACTATAAAAATTTGTTTTGAGAGGGGGCTCAGAATTTTTTGAACAAATTCATATTTTGAGTACTTTACTCTACTCTCTAACGTCGAAAATTTGCTTTGAGGGATGGCTCAGAATTTTTTGAACACCTAATATTGTCATGACTTTTGGCGGTTTGAGCCTGATAACCTTTTTCAATCCAATTTTGCTATCCATTATATACTGTTTCACAATAAAAACCACTCCGAAATTGAATTTTTTAAATTTTTATTTTTAAATTTTGAAAAAACGACGAATCAATTGGTAAAATAATATAATTAAGAGTGATGTATATGCACAAGAGATAATAATAATTAAACACAATAATAATAATGATAAAATCTTTCGAAGTCGAAAAGAGATGAGAGAAAACCCGAGTTTTAACCAGAAAAAGTGCCAAAAACAAACGACCAAAATGGGGGTAAAGGGCGGGGTAAAAGGTGTGGGGTAGGGGGGATACGATGTAAAAGCTACAGTAATACTTTAAGAACGGAGACACAATAGACCTGACTTTACAAACTTGATGTAGACTGGGGTTCGGAGCTGGTTTTGGTATAGCGCGGCTTATATTAACAATGGTACAACTGGTTATTCTTATATTAACATTGGCACAGCTTGTACATTAAAAAGTATAGAAAGTTGTCCTATATGATGTCCCAGCTGTACTTTTTGGACTTTAAAGTCATTTTTAAGGCTGCTTAGGAATAAAAAAATAGAAAATTAGGCATCAATCCAAAGATTTGTCGAAATGGTACCATTTTTGTAAAGTGGTACCACTGGTCCGAAATGGTACCATTGGTACAGAAAATCTTCAAAAAGCTCTAAAAGTACCCTGACATCGCTAAAATAGGCCACAATACCAAATGGTACAAAGTGGTACCACTGGTACAAGGTGGTACCGTTGGTACAATTTTTTTCAAAAACCTCTAAGAATAGCTAAATAACGTTAAAATAGCGCCCACAATACCAAACCACCGAAACGAAATAATGTTGTGGAACAGTCGCAAAAGGTATATAATTAGAGTTATATACAAGGATAAATAAACGATGATATTACTGGTAACTGAGGGATGATTATATATATATAATGTGAAGATCTTTCGCTAATAAAACTAAATTAGAAATAATAAATACAATTCGAAAGCAACAACATGTTATCCATGACAGTAGATCAAAACATGTTATCCATGAGACAATCGATGAAAACATGTTATTCATGACAGCCGATGTTGAAATACACAAGTTATTTTAGTGTTAAATACCATGCGTTCGTATAAGACTGAGTTTCAAGGTACCATGATGGAACTTTGGAGTGGTACCATGACATGAAACTTGGTAGTACCATTCCATGAAGCTTAGGAGTGGTACCACGACATGAAGCTTCGAGGTGGTACCATGCCATGAAAATTAGAGTTGGTAGCATGTCATGAAGCTCAGAGATGGTACCATTCTATGAAGTTTACATGTGGTACCACGACATGAAACTTGGTGATGGTACCATGACTTGAAGTTTAGTGGTGGTATCATACCATGAAGCTTATGAGTGGATGTCACACAGCTTCGAGGTGGTAACATGCCAGAACTTGCGGTACCACTGTCTCAGTCCCGCCTCAAGCCACAGCAGCCATGGAACCACTCTGCTTGGTGGGAGTACCATTCCCATTCTCGGACTTGTTAGGCCTGACTTTATTGTTCAAGTCACCATTACATTTGGGCGAGACCGCACTCACTCCATTACTTATGCGTTGCCGCTTCGCTTCAGGCTCTTCATCGTGCCCGTTCTCACTAATACCGTGCTTCATGTTGATGTTGTTGCGCAGCTTCTCCTTCACCGTGCTCGACGCCGTCTTGAAGGCGGGCTGAGCGGCGGGCAGGGAGTTGGTGTCACTGTTCGGTTGGCTGGTTTCACCATCCGACTCGGGGCCGGATTCGGCGTCGGAATCGTTGAGGAGGGCGCTTTCCAGCGCCGTCATCTCACGTCCATCCGAGTGGCGGCTTCGTTTGCGGTGCTTCTGTCGGTTGCCATTCACTGAAACGAAAGGTTGGTTTAGGAGCGGTGGTTTAGGTTTAAAAAGGTTTGGTGTAGGAGAATTAGGTATTGGGTTGTTTATGAATATGATAAGAATTGGTATCAGGTGTTATTTGGATATGTAAAGACTGGTATCAGGTGCTATTTGGGTATGATAAAAGTTAATATGAGGTTTTATTTTTACATGATAAGGATCGGTATTAGGCAGTTACTTCGCTACAATTTTTTTCAAAGGGGGGAGAAAAAATTTTTTTTTATTTTTTCGATTTTTTTCCACCTCCGTTTACTCCTCCGCCTAGCAACGTCCCTGATATCAAGTGTTATTTGGATATGATAAGGATTGGTATTAGGTATGGATTACAATAGATGGTTTCTTGTTGATGCAGACCTTGAAAGCAGAGGAGAATGCTATGGTGTAGACTATGAATCGTGCAGCGTGTCAGTATGAATTCAAGTATAATATTTTGATTGCAAATGTTGTGAATGACGCATTGTTGTGTACTTTATCAGTTTGAAGAGACCGTGAGTCTATAAGATATCATCCGAAAACAGTGTTATATTAGGTTGTTCAAATAATTTTGCGCCACTCTTAAAGCAAATTTTTGAGGTTCTGTGACTCAGAATTACTCGGACAAGCACAGAATGAACAACCCAATAATAGTGAAGCCAATTAAAGCATTGAAACAGATAATCAGCTCCAATTTACAGCTCGTTAACACCAGACCGAGCAGACGAATTCGATATTATTAAATTTATTTATACAGACATTGGAAACAACATTAATAAATTAGTTAGAAGACAATCGTAAATTCAACTATTTAGGTGGGGGTGGTGGTTATCTAAGCTTACCCTCGGCGGTGCCATTCGTTTTGTTGGGTGACATTGATCTTGAGTCGGGTGAGATTGAGACACTGCCCAGCTCCTTCTGTGCCTCCACGTGAAAGGGGTTGGTGGGTGGGGGTAGGGTCACGTTGAGAAAGGGTTCAGGTGGGTCCTCGGTGTCGTCGCTGACCTTCCATTTGTAGGAGGGGAAGGCTTCGGCTAGGCGATGGCTCTCGTCCAACGACACTTCTTTCGCCAATAAGAGCTCTTTGGGGATGTGTTGGAGGTCGTACAGGATTCCGGCCACCATTCCAGCTACTCGTGAGTCCATCTGAAATTGAAAAAATTTAAGTTTGAAAAATTTAAAACACGCCTGTTCAAACAACCACAATTTACCACAAAACCCATGTTTGACACTATAAAACCTCAAATATTCGTACAAACCCTAAAGGTCATTCACACTTAAAACTCAAATTGAATTGACTAAATTAAAATGTGCACTACATTTCACTTTCACCTGCCCCTGCCCGAAATAGCCATAGCCTGGCATACCGTAGTGGAGAGGACAGACGGAATTCCGAAAACAAAACGGCATACACAAGCACGCCCTAATAACATTCGAATAATTTTTGTGGCGAAAAGCCCCATTTCCTAATACTGACTGTCCGAAAAGTGCAAAGCCTTCGCAAACAACATATCAACTTAGAAATGGGGAGATTCAATAAGCCTTTGAGGGCGAATTTGCTAGAACTTGAGGGGCGAATTTGCTAGAACTTGAGGGATTTGCACAGAAAGGGATATACAGTTAGGCATTTAAAGGTACATGGCCTAATTTTTTGGCCCGGCCCGTAAAAATTAGCTTTGGCCCTAAGGTTGAGCCCTGAGGCCTTAGTTTAAAACCCACGTCAACATGTACGGGCCAAGGTTTCAAAGTCGCTTCGGTCCCACCCGAGGCCACGCCGAGCCTAGTGGGCCCTTTCAGGACTAGATACAGTAGAACTCCCTGTATAACGAACTCCTCTATAACAAGCACTCTTTATAACGAACAACTTTCAAATCCCCGGCCAACACTCCACAGTTCATTTAAAACTCCTCTATAACGAAAGTCCTTTATAACGAACAAATTTCGAACCTCCAAGCGATTCGTTATACATGAGTTCTACTGTATTTTCATTATCCAAATCAATACAGTAGAACTTCTATAAAACGAATCGCGTGGGGATTACAAAATTTGTTCATTATAACGAGTTTTCGTTATAGAGGAGTTTTAAATGCACTGTGTAGTGGTAGCTGGAGATTTGAAAGTTGTTCTTTATACAGGGTTTTAATTATGGAAGAGTTCGTTATACAGGAGTTGTACTGTATCTAGTTCTTAAAGGGCCCCACTAGGCTCTGCGTGACCTCATTATAAAAAACTTCGATATACAGACTTCTAATGTAATTTAAACTGCAAGACCGGTATAACTTCTGCAAAACAAGCAGCAAAAAGCTATAAAAACTCAGAAAACAGCTTCTAGTTTACAGTTTTTCGAAATTTCTTTTGAAAGGAAAAAGTATACAAAAGTGCAGTTGTATCAGAAACGTCTGACGACATAATGCTCTTTACTGTTTATCGCAAGTACATGCTACGCATGATCGGTTATCATCAAAATAAAAACCCCGATGACTGGTATGGTTACTGTAACTTTATAGTTCATCGTTATGGGTTGGATTCACCATAATTTTACTCTCACCATACTTTCGGGGTTTTTATGTTGATCAAGGGAGATCTATAAAGGGGCCGGACCCAATTTTTCAGCCCGACTTGCGGGACGGGCCTTAGTTTGGGTCCCGCCCCTTTATAGGTCTCTCTTGATTGACATAACCTCGGGCCAAAGCTAATTTGATAGGGATCAAGTCGGCACCTATCAAATTTGCTTCCTCAAACCCTGTCCGGGGCCGGACCGGGCCTAGTGGACCCTCTCAAGTCCGTATAACGAACAAATTTTAAGTCGCCTTCTACCACTCCACAGTACATTTAAAACCCTTCTATACCGAAACTCCTTTATAACGAACAAATTTAAAATCCCTGAGCGATTCGTTATACAATACAGTAGAAGTGATGTATAACGAATCGCTCGGGGATTCTGAATTTGCCCGTTATAGAGGAGTTTCGGTATAGAAGGGATTTAAATGTACTGTGGAGTGGTAGACGGGGACTCAAAAATCGCTCATTATACGAAATTTTTGTTGTATAGGAGCTGATTATATAGAGGTTCCACTGTATAAGCCGTAGTAATTCTAAGTTTTCTTTATAATTTTTACATTTCTCAAAATTTCAATCTGTCCCACACGCTACGATAGCCACTTTCAATCCCACTTCAATTAGTCTTTTAAAGCCTTCAAAACTCAAGAAAATCTTGTTTTGCACTTAAAATTTCCACATTTAAAATGTAAAACATCTCAAAATAAGTAATCAAATCCATAAAACACCCCCAAATATACAAGAATAATATTTTTAGCGATCAGTGAATTAAAAAAACTGCTATAAGCCGACTGTCCTTAAGTATTATGGCGCGAGAAATAGGGGGAAGGGGGTGGAGTGAGGGGTAGGGAAAGGGCATAGGGCAGGGTAATCGAAGATCGCAAAGTGCAACAGCATGCCAGCCCTTCCGCGAAGGCCGCGAAAATATAAAAATAGTGGAATTCGAAATGGAAAAAGTGCATTTTATCAAATCTTTGTGTTTGTTTCCTGCTTCTTGCACTTTCGCCGGCAAGAGGAGCGAGCAATTATATTACACATAGGCACGCAATTATGGGCAGGGTAGCGGGTTGTTATCGTACTCTTCCTGAGCAGAGATTTTGATTTGAGGCTTGAGATAGCGGTCGAAAAATGTGTAAAATTAAAGGAGGGGGAGGGGGGGGGGAGGGGGAGGGTAGGGCGGGTGAGAGTAGATGAGAGTAGCAAGGGCGTCGCTAGGGGGGGGGGGGGGGATCCACCCCCCCCCCGAAGCCGATCCGAAAAAAAATTCCACATGTAGCCGCTACCTGTGGACCAAAAAAATTTAGGTAAGAGTATGGTAACGTAGGGCAAAGTAGGGTAGGGAGAGTAGCTGACCGTATATTAGGTTGTTCAAATAATTCTGTGCCCCATCTCAAAACAAATTTTTGGAATTGGGGAGCACAGAATTACTTGAACAGCCTGATATTAACCAAACTTGGCCATAAACTAACACAAGGTCAACTATTGCCATATTAATAAACAGCTTAAGAATTAATCAGAGTTGTTTTCCAAATTTAATTAACCACAATCGGGCGATATTGTTCTATTATTTGCGAAAAGTGTAAGCGGATGTACTTTCGAATTTGCACTCGTATACGATAACAATATCAGCTAAGACTGCGGTCATGGGGAATATAGGGGGATTTGTCCCAGAAATGCGTGTAAACAAGGAGGGGAGGGGGAAGGGGGGGGGGAGTAGACCCCCTAAATAAAAAACCCATATAAAATCACCCTAACCCAAGAAACAAACAAAAATTTTTGTTGACAAATCCACCCCATTCACCTCCCCCCCCCTCCAAAACAAAAAAAATCTACCCCAACCCTCCCTCTTTCAAACCAACATACATAGCTGCTGACGGTGAAGGACAATAGCCTGGACTGATGTTTCACAAAGTATGGCCTGCACACTTCGTACTGGGCCAGGCACGCCAGGATTTGGGCCGCCCTCCTCAGCATTCCGAACGAGGTTCCCATTCGTTCCGGGTTGTCACGTAGTACGCTCACGCCTTCGGTGGTCGCGATCGTCGTGATGTTGAACTCGGCGGCTTCGAGGAATGAGACCAGGTTTTGGATGACGTCCGTTTCTAGGGTTGCCACGATGCAGGCTGGTTCACTGGCTTGGCACACGGCTGTCAGGATGACAATCGCGAATTCTCTGAAAAGTAAAGGGTTAATAAGATTGATTTTTTCGTTTACAATTCAAAATGTCACCTAAAACTAAAAATATTTTTTAAAAAAGCTCATTTTAAGCCTATAAAATTAGTTTGTTACCTAAAATCAAAAAATATTTTTAAAACCTCCCTTATACCCATAAAAACCAAAATCCACCCCCAAAATCCTCATTTTTTCATGCCCAAGCCTACAAAAACCCACCAAAAAAACCAAAATCTTACCTCAGTGGAAGCTCTTCGGACATGTTTACACTGTTGGCCACGACTCGAACAAACTCTTCGATGCGTGGCCATGGACCGGTCGATAGTAACAGGTCGATGTTGGCTTCCAGCAATGACATTTTGCATATGATTTCAAATGTGTATAGCCTGAAAATGAGAGAAAAATTTTAAAAAATGTAAGTTTAGGTAACAAAAAATTTTTATAAAATAAAAATTTAGATTTTTAGGTAACAAATTATAAAATATTATTAAAAATGACATATTTAGGTAATAAAACTCATCATTTTTACTCTAAAAAAACTCCCCTCCCCTTCACCTTTCTCTCTCTCATCCATCCCCAAAACCACTTACTTTGGACTATAAACCGCTCCATTGATGGGATCCTTGGCCTGAACATTATGAGTGACGGCCCAATAGATCAGAGCATCCAACAGTCCATATGCCACACCACTGTCCACGTTGTACAAGTCCAGTTGAACACTGATATGGGACAATATTGTGAACGCGTCGTCTCTGAGTTGGTTCGCCACCTCTAGAAGCATTTTTCGATTCGAATCCACTTCGGATGGCACCGGCTTCTTTTCGTTTTCATCGTCTGGCTTCACAACCTCCTCCACCTTCACTATCTTGGCGGTTTTGAGCTGTTCGTCTCGCTTGACCTTCAACATTAACAAGCGGCCAATCAAGTCGAGCAGGTCCAGGTTGTTGTAGAGAATCTTCTCGTTGCCGGGGAAGAAGGAGAAGCCGCGGATGATGTTGGACATGGCTAGGAGGCGATCACCAATCTCCTCCAGGCATGCGTCGCGGTTTATGAGGGGTGAGGGGCGGGGTATTAGGGAGACATCGGGGTTACCGTCCCGGTTCCAGGTCTCGTTCTCTTTGGGCCGGCGGAAGAATAGGAGATCGTCCTGGAAATGGCAAATTTTAAATTTTTAAAATGAAAAATGATCGATATTGACAGACAGATTTTAAAGACGTATTCTTCAAAAATTGACCAAAAAACAAAAAATTTTTAAAAATCTTGTTCTTAACCTAAAACAATATCTTCAGGCCTTTCAGCCCCTTTCAACCCTACCCAAACATCTTTCTAGCCCATTTATATAAATTCCACATCTCTTTTATACCTAAAAACCAAAAAACAATAAATAAAAACACTTACTTCGCTTTGTGCCACGAATTCTTCTTCCTCCTCCTCTTCTTCATCTACAACAACATCATGTTTCGAGAAATGTAGCCTCTGCAACCCTTTTTTGCTTTCAATCTTGCACAACAGACTTTGATATATCCTGTGGCACAATCCTGATATAAACTTGGGTTTCTCCTTCGGTTTATCGTCGATCGATGGCTTCTCCTCCTTGATATTACCATTGACCACGCCATTCTTTTCGATTCGCTCCAACAGAAAGGGTTTTCGGACGTTTTTCTCCACGTACACCTTTCTACCCGTTCGTGATACCGCGGTAAAGTCGTTGTTTTGTTTTTTGGACTTTTTATCTGGTTTCGAATTGAGTTTGGCCATTTCGACGACCGAGTTCTTGTGTGGTTTGTCCGTTGCTTCCGAAAAATCGTCAAAAACTTGAAGTTTCACCGCATTATCGATCAGTTTAAAGTCTTTGGGATATAACACAGCTAGTAGGGCTTTGAAATGTTCCAGACAAAGTGACAAAAGTTGGGGTTCGGCCGAGAGTAACAAGGGTTGAGCCGTATCGTCGTATAATATCACAGTTAGAGTATTGATGGCCCAGAGTGTGTCCAGTTCGAGACCCGATCGTAATGCCATTGTTAGTCGTTTCGGTGTGGCCCATGTCATTTCTCGTGCGTATGCTCGCGGCCGTTTTCGTCGTAGAGCGGCGGCCGATGCTGTAGCTTCTATACAGCCTGGAGGGAACGAGGGATTCACCGGCATCTGACGCTGTTGCATATGCATTGGGTATTGCTGCGCCGTCGTTGTCGCTGCCGGAGGCATTTGTTGAACTTGTGGGGGTACCTGAAAACATAAAAATTAAGTTTTAATGGCAAAAATTATAAAAATATCAAAAAATTATATTATAGTAACTCAAATTTCATGAAAAAGATGTAAAACATAACACTATTACATAAAAACTACTAAATCCCCATTAAAAACTATCGACTGCCTATTAAACAATAACAAAAATCTTCATAAAATAGTATAAAAGCCTTAAAAATAAAATTCTAGAGCCTCAACATGGATAATATAATAGCTTATTCCTCATCGTCCCGCATAAAAACAAATCAAGAATTGAACAAAAAAAGCTTCAAATACCCTGTTTTAACCATAAAATAAGAAAAGCCTTCTAAAGATCCTCAAAATTAGCTTAAAAACACCAAAAGTATATTGTCCATACCTAAAGTAGTCTCATGCTCAATATATTAATGCTTCCTTCCCGCAACTTTTTAAAACTAATCAAAATATCTTTAACAATGTCTAATAAACAAACTACAAGCTAAATCCCACATAAAAATTTTTGAATTTAGCTCCAAAACATTAAAAATATATTATCCATGCATCTAACCCTCATGAACAACATATTAGTCTATTCCTCCTCCATTTTCCTAAAAAATGTTTACCTAAACACAAAACAACAAAAAAATTTAAAAACCTACCCTCTGCTGTCGTTGTGAAGAGCTCGGACTAGCCATTTGTTGATTCTGCATGTAATATTGACCTTGTGGTGGAGGTGCAGTTGATGTAGAAGGTGGCTGCGGTCGTCGGAACTCTTGCTGCGGTTTCCCCGGCATTTGTGGCGGATTCATAAACCTTGGTGGAACGGCCGGTTGTGAGGTTGGTGGCCACATTTGTTGTTGTTGAGGCGGGTACATGTTGGGATGTTGGTATTGGTTCGGATCCGGATAACCGACCGAATATTGCGGTCGATTGGGGACGGGTCGATATGCTTGTGATGGGTAATATGGTTGACTCGTATGTGGAGGCATGTTCATCGGGTTAGGTGGCCTGAAATAGAAAAGAAATAGAATTTTATTTAAAAATTTAATATTTTTCTAACTTTCGTCTAGTGTAATATAATTTGAGCTCAAAGACACAATTTTCAGTAAAATTGCAAAAAATCTTTACAAAATTAACTTAAAAAGACCTCTCTCCACCTTTTACATCCATTATTCCCTGAATACACCTTCAATAATCAGCCTAAAATTTAAAAAGAACATCAAACTCCTCAAATATTACCTCGGCGATATATCGTTATTGTCCCATGGACGAAAGATCGATCTGTACATAATATATGACTATTCTTATTATGTTATTACGTTAGAAAACAAGTTAGAAGGTTAGTTTTCGACGATAAAACGGAAATGAACCGGAGAAACCGAAATAAAACGAAAAAATCGTTGGATTTTACGATTTTTTGACATTTCGCTTGCTTGATATCGGAAAAAGGATAAGTTCGGCTTCTTTTTCGCTTTTGGCTTGAAAATCGTCGTGAAGGTGAATATATTGACTTCTATTTCTTACTATGGTCTCAGAAAGCCTAGTATTTTATAAAATTACTTGAAAATCAATTTTTCCTTTTGATCACTATATTACACTTGAAGTTTTTATAACTTTTCAATAGAAAAATACCATTTTTTTAATTGAAAATCTTTAAAATTTGACAAAACCATTCCCAAACAGACAACCGCAAATATCCTTTCTATCCCACTAATATAAATTTCCTTACATTTGAGGTGGTGGCTGAGCGGGACCGGGCATGGAAGCGGTCGAGCTGGTGGGTACGGGGGTGTGGGCGGCTGGTTTCACCGGCTGTCTCGAGTTGGGCCGTTGTTGTTCGTGGGTGTCGGGCGTCGAGGGGGGTTGATAATGAGCCTGCGACGGTGGTCGACTAGTTTGGGGTGGTGGAGCGGGCGTGGAGCGGCTGGACTGGTCGCCCACCGATAGGGGTTGTTGGTCCTGTTCGGTTTTGATGGCCGGAGGCTGAATTTGTGGAGGGGCGGGTTGTTGTGAAGCCGGTTGGGGCGCGGGCTGTTGACCTGGTTGTGCTGGCTGTAGAGTCGAAGCCGTTGGTGGAAGATTCGCAGCCGTTGGCGGGAGATTCGAAGCCGATGGTGGCAGATTCGAGGCCGGTTGAAGAGTTGAAGCCGGCGTCAAACCTTGTGCCATATTCGGTAGACCAGGCAGGTTTTGTTGACCAGGCATGGTTGGCTGTTGGTGAAATTGTGGCCCATAGCCGGGAGGATAGCCTGCTGCGCCAGGGGGTCGAACGTGGGGCGGGTAGGCATGTTGAGGGAAGCCTGGTGGTAGGGGTTGACCCGACCAGCCCGGGTAGGCTGGATGATGAGGTAGGGGTTGGCCTGGCTGTTGATAGTAATACGGGGGTTGTTGAGGATCTGCCGAGTTGTGGGGTGGATAGCCTGGAACTAAAAATTAGATTATGATGGATTGTGTGGTGATTTAGGTATGTTTTGGTTTTTTTGCTAATTTTTTATAAGTTTTGAACTAAACAAAGAGGTTTTTTATATTATCCATGACCTTTCAAGCTTTTTTTGAACTATTTTTGTAAATTTTATTATCAAAATTTAGATTTTTTGACAAAAAAAACATTTTTTTATATTATCCATGACCTTTTCAACCCATTTTTTTCATTTTTTCATCGATTTTTTACATTTTTTTCACTTTCCAACCTCATCTATGTTCATTTGCTCCTTTAATGTCTTATAGATCATATTCATGACTCCGAAAATTAAAAAACCTAAACCTCGGTTTCTATAATTACCACGCCATTTCGAAACCTTTTCATGACACTCTGGCATGACATGTTTTAAACCTCAAGCCGCTTTTACCGTAGCCGTGCGACCGGTTGGTATGACAACCGATGTAAGGTGTGTGGAAGAAAAAGTAATACACAATTCGTCTTAATACACCTAATACACCGGCTGACCATTTTCCGTTTAATGCCCTCGAGGGCCAAGGAATTAAATCCTCGTCCATTATAGTGCCATTTCGGGTTGAAAAATGGATTTGAAAAGCAAAAAATGGAGTTGTATTGCAAAAATATTAGGCTGTTTAAAAAATTGTGAGCCCCTAAAAATAACAATTTGTTCAAAAAATTCAGAGCGCCTTTAAAATATTAAGTTGTTCAAAAAATTCTAAGCCCCCTTGAAATATAAGTTTGTTCAAAAAATTCTGAGCCCTTTAAAATATTAATTTGTTCAAAAAATTCTGAGCCCCTTTGAAAACTTTTTTTTTTAAATTCAAAGGTAGTGCTGTTCAAAAAAATTCTGTGCCCTTTACCAAATATAATTGTTCAAAAAATTCTGAGCCCTTTCCAAATATAACTTTTCAAAAAATTGTGAGCCCCTTTAAAATATTAAATTGTTCAGAAAATTTTGAGCCCCTTCTCAAAGCAAATTTATAGGTTAGGTGGCTCTGAGTTTTTGAACATCCTAATATAGTACAGAAAAGTAAAATGAATTCACGAAGCCACAAGGTGCAAAGTTAAAGCAAAAAAATTCCACTACCTATGTAAAGCATCACAGTACGTACGTTAACCTTCTATTTGAAAACTTTTTACAGTTAGAATTTAGCAAAAAGTTCAGTGTAACATAATTTTTTTAAAGTTTTGGCCAACCTAACCTCAGCAACTTTGCGGAGCCGCAACTCGGCAACAGTTGCAACATTTGAAAAATCGTCATAAGCAAAACTGTAGAGAAAATACTGGAGAATATTATGGCGTTTTTAAAATTTCAAAAATCGACCGAATTTTCGACCAGTCGACGTTTTTAGCCCAAAATTTTTGAAAAAATCTCCCCAACTGACCCCATCGAGGCGGCTGTTGCGACGTGGATGGTTGGTTTGGGACTGGACTGGGCTGTTGTATTAAAGGCCTTGGACTGCCCGCTATGCCTGGATGAGTTGGAGTGCCGGCTGGATGGCCTGGAGTACCGGCGGGATGGCCTGGGGTACCGGCTGGATGACCCGGCGTTCCAGGATGACTAGAAATTCGATTCGCTGGTGTACCTGGATGTGATTGAGCTGACGTGCTGGACTGGACTTGACTATTTTGGCCTGGTGCTGTTAAATGAGAAGCTGATACTTGGGCCGAGGCTGTCGATGGTTGACTTGGATTTTGGCTAGAGCCGGGTATAGACGTAGGACGAGTACTAGGACCAGGAATTGGTCCTGTGGGAAGGCCTGATGCTGTAGACTGTCCTGGATATCCTTGGTAGCCTGGTTGACTAGGGTGGCCTGGTTGACCCGGATAGCCCGGAGGCATTCCTGGGTGAGCAGCTTGTAGACTAGGGTGGCTAGAAGGACTGGGCATGCCAGCTAGTCCCGGATGGCTAGATTGTAACGTACTCAAAGGTAGTGCTGAACTACTTGATGGAACATTGGCTCCAGTAGGTAAGCCAGGACCACCTGGAGGTAAGCCGTGAGTTGAAGGTGAAAGCGAAGATCCAGCTGCTATAGCCGGACCACCAGGAAGCATACCATGACTAGCCGGCGTCATACTATGCCCCATATGGCCTAAGTGCACCCCAGCAGCCGCGGCTTGTTGTGCCGCCGCATAGCTAGCCATATATTGTTGTTGTTGGCGTAGGCTTGGCGATGGTGCTCGAAACATTTGTGGACTAGCCGCACTAGTACTCGGGGTTTGTGCTCGAGGTGAGCCCGCTCGGGGATAGTCGTAAGCGGGCGGGGCCAAGTGTGTAGGCCGATATTGTGGGGGTAGTTGGCGTGGCATGCCCTGGGGCGGATAGGCCGCGCCTGGGTACGCCATGTGCGGCGGCATTTGATAGCCGTAGTAGCCGGGATAGGGCATGGCGTAGCCGGGTGGGAGCGCGTAGCCATAGCCGGGCGGATACTCCACCTTGGCCGGGGTGGTGGGGGGCGGTTGTTCCGCCGGTGGTTGATTCTTTTTGCGACGTGACGTTCCGCGTTTCATTGCTCTTATGTCGCCATTAAGGTTGTACTGCGACGCGGGGCTTCAATTTTAAGGGAGGTTATTTGAGGATTAGTTACAGTACTCGATAGGATCGTATATTATGATACTCGATTTGATACTACATTATGATACTCGGTATAAACGTACAATAAAACAGTTTTAAATATGATTGTAATTAATCAACAGCATCGTACTATTGATTGAGTATAGTAAGCGCTCGAACTTGTGTACTCATTATAATGTTATAGTACTGCCTATAGCCTTATAGTACTGGGTGTAGACTTATAGTACTAAATATAGCCTTATATTACTGATTATAGGCTTATAGTACTAAGCATAGCCTTTTGATACTAAATATAGTCGTATATTAGCTTGTTCAAATAATTCTGTACCCCTTCTCAAAACAAGCTTTCAGGGTTAGGAGGCACAAAATTATTTGAACAATATCCTTTTAGTGCTAAATATAGCCTTGTAGTACTGACTATAGCCTAATAGTACTAAATATGGCCTTATAGTACTCAGTATAATCTTATAGTACTCAATGTCCTTAAATATCCCAAAATTATTTCAAAAGCATTTTAAAACTGATTTCAAGGATCTAATTGCCGCCATTTGTAATACCGTTTGTAATAGGATTGTAAACTGAGAACGCGGAAGTTTAAATGTGGCAAAATTTGGGAAATATCCAATTTTAATTAGGGAAATTTTGGCAAAAAGACCCGGAGGTGTTTTAGGAAAAACAATTTAAAAATATCCACAAATCAGACCTTATGAACAATATCACCATATAAACCCTAATGAACAGTATAACTATATAAACCCTCATGAACAATGTAAGCATATAAGCCGTTATGAACAATATACAAAGTGCGCCAAAAGTTCTGTTACAAATTGTAACTCTCAAAGACACTTTTTTTAAAAGAAAAAGTAGTTTCCCAAAGCATAAACAACATGTAAAGCAAAATTCTTTCTATACATTCGTATAATATGGCCATTCCGAGTGCAAAACACTACGTATTAATTTAAAGGTGGCAATTACAAACTACAAACTGAAAATGGCACATAATCCGCTTCTTAATTTTGGTCGTAAACAAATTGTGACAACATTTTGTTTATGAGGAATTGAATGGACAGTTAGATTCTAGTGGAAAAAGAGTAAGTTTTTGACTGAAATAATACCAATTTGAAAAAAAATTTTTTTTGAAAAAAAAAATTTTGGAAAAAAAAATCAACAGGGGGGACCACGTTCAATATTTTTTGAAAAAAAAATTTTTTTAATGGGAAAGCGGAGTTCAAAAAATTTTTATGAAGTATACAAAGTGTTGTTCTCAGGTATACTCAAGAGTGTTTTCTGAAGTATTTTATACCTTGAAAGGGGGTGTATTGCTAAAATTTTTTTTTCAAAATAATTTGAGCTTGGTTCCCCCTATTGACTTTCCAAGAATAAAAAATTTTTTTGAGGGAAGTGAAGGAGATATAACAGTTTTTACAAGGTCCCAAGGCAGTTTTTTAGGTACACTATTGAAGAATGTAACCCGCTAAAAATTTTTTACAAAAAAATTTTTTTCAAAAAAAAATTGAACTTGGTCCCCCCTGTTGATTCAAACTTCATAGTACATTACCTAACTACCTTACCCTTTACCATTAAACTTTTTTTCATTTTTACCTCTATTTACTTTTAATTTATATCAGTATGATCTCTCTACCTTATCCTTCATTTCCATATTACCCAACTAACTTATGCTTCATATCAATATGACTTATCTACCTTATCCTTGACTTCAATATAACCTCAATACCTCATATTTAACATAACCTCAATAACTCATACTTAATATAACGCCCCTATCTTCTACTTCATTTCACTATAAACCCACTACCTTTTGCTTCATATCACTATAAGCTTCCTACCTTATCTTTGACTTCAATATAACCTCAATACCTCATATTTAATATAACCTCAATAACTCATACTTAATATAACGCCCCTATCTTCTACTTCATTTCACTACAACCCCACCATCTCCCACCTTCACTAAAACCAAAAAAGGGCCAAGAAAGGGCCGACTGTTAGTGACAGATTATATTTAGTTTGTAAAAAATAGGAATACTTAATGACGTGTGTGTACTTTTGCCGAGAGTGGACATCTGCCCCCCCCAAGGCGGAAGGAGGAGACGGAGCAAAAAAGAAAAAAAAACTGTTGTTTTGTTTTCCTTTCCCTAAAATTGGCCTTTGGAAAAAAAATTTTCGGCGGGACATTTTAGAACGAGCCAGAAGAGAAAAACGAATTATAGCCCCTTCTGTTTTTTTCTTCTCGTCAGACACGTTCATGGTGAATGTGAAAACAAAAAAACGTGAAAAAACACTGAAAGCTGCAATTTTTGGGAACGTCATTTTTGATTAGTGACCAGTCGGAAAAGGGCGAACATTTTTGGGGAAAGAAAATAAAAGTTCAATTTGAAAAAAAGCTGGTGAGAGAAGTGAAAAGGCTTAGGAATAGCCGGTAGACAAGGGTAAAGGCTTAAGAATAGCAGGTAAGATTAGAGGAAAGGCCTTTAAATAGCTGATAAGATAAGTAAGAGTTTAGAAATAGCTGCTAAGACGTGAATAAAGGCTTAGAAATACCTGGTAAGACAAAAGTAAAGGCCTAGAAATAGCTAGTGAAACAAGAGTAAAGGCTTAAAAATAGCAGCTAAGACAAGGTTAAAAGCTGGAGCAGGCCAGAAAACCCAAGCTAACGAGATGAGAAATAAAAACGCCAGATAAAAAGCCTAATATACGTTAAAAATAAGCCTAAAGAACCCCAAAGTTAAGCCAAAATTTAAAAAAAAATAAAAAAATTCAATTTAAAAATATCAGTTTGTTCAAATAATTTTGACCCCCCTTAAATTATCAGGTTGTTCACAAAAATCTGTGCCCTCTAACCCCGAAAAGTTGCTTCGAAACCCCAAAAAGTTATTTCGAAACCCCAAAAAGTTGCTTAAAAACCTCAAAAAGTTGCTTTGAAAAGAAGCACAGAATTATATGAACAACCTGATAGCTAGTGAGACAACAGTAAAGACTAGAATAGACCAGAAAACTTGAGGAAAAGGCTAAGGAAGACCAGAAAACTTGAGGTACAGTCTAGAAAAGAGCCAGAAAACTTAAGGTAAAGGCCAGACTAAACCAGAAAACCTAAGGCAAAAAGATCGAGAATAACTAATCTAAGTAAAACGTCTCAAATATATGTTAAAAACAACCCTAAGGAATCTCAAAGTAAAGCCTAAATCGAAGCAAAATAAAGATTTTGATAAGTGTAAGAAAAGATAGCGAAAAAATGGCTAGCCAACCCAACAAAAGTCGTCTGAAAACGCTTGTGTCTATCAGAAATCTACCTAGACAACTTTCAATACCTTTGCCTCCTTTCACACCCCATTCTTCCCACTTAAAACCACCCTACTCTATAAAGAACCACCCCATTCCAACCAAAACTCTCCTCCCATGCCAACAAAAATTCCCGCGTCTGGGACCTCTGGGACCGCAAAACTCCAACGGCCGTCGGAAAAAAGCGAGAATTCGGCGGAAAAAAGTGTGGTGAGATGTTTTGGGGGGCGAAAAAAGAGTGAACACACCGGGCGGGAGAGCCGGCGGTCGTCGTTGGTCGGACGCCCCCTGAGGGCGCCAAGGAGAGAGAGAAGGAAACCCGGTGGGGCCCTCGGGTTGTGGTTGGAAGAACCGCGCCGCCCTTTCTCCCATTTTTTCGCCCAATTCGCCGCCGCCGGCCCAAAAGGTGTTTTCTCTCCACCATTGCTGGAAAGGGGCTAATGGCGACCGGGCCTCGCCGGCCACCGCCCCGGTGCTCCTTCCAGCCAGCCGTACGATAGGAAAAATTTTTGCGCCTTCTGTGCCTGCAGGCTTTTCCGATTCGTATGCGCAGAGAATTGCAATTGACACAGGGCCTAGAAGTTGCCAGAGGTTAGAGGTTGCCAGAGCCTAAACGTTGCCAGGGTTTGAAATTTGCCAGAGATTAGAATTTGCCAGAGCCTAGGAGTTGCCAGAGCTTAGAAGTTACCAGAACTTAGAAATTGCCAGAGATTGAAGTTGCCAAACCTTGCCAGAGCTTAGAAGTTGCCAAGGCTTGAAAGTTATCAGGGCCTAAAAGTTGCCAAAGCTGCAAAGTGGCCAGGGCTTAAAAGTTGCCAAAGCTTAAAAGTTGATCTTTGAACTTAACAGGGCTTGGAAGTTGCGAGGGTTTGAAAGTTGCCAGCGGCTGGAGCAGGCCAGAGCTTAGAATTTGCCAGGACTTAAAAGTTGCCACGAATTTGAATTTGCCGTGACTTAAAAGTTGCTACGAATTTGAAGTTGCCAGAGCTTGTAACGGCTTGGAATTTGGCAGGGCTTAGAAGTTGCCATTAAAAATAAAGTTTCAAATTTCAGAAAATGTCATAATTCATGACATTAAGCATGAAGTCATAAAAAAATATTGTTCTTGACGACATTGTAAATAAAATCATCAAGAAGACTATCCTTGATCATCATTGAGTACAAGTCATCAAAAGACTATATCACTGATGAGATTCAGTATAAGTCATCAGAACAAGTATCATTAAGGTCTTTTAATAAGGTAATAATCGAAAAAAGCTATAATTGGATTGACATTTCTAAAAAAAGATTTTCAACCCTTAAGCCACAAAACATTAATTTCAACCAATTTGGCATTATTAAACTTTCCACAGCACGTGCAAATCCGCCCAAACAAAGCATTCTAATCGGGCCGAAAGTGACCTTTGGCCATGACTCCGCCCTTCAGTTATGTAAACAAACAAGCTCCAAAAATTAGCACAAACCAAACAATAAACCAGCCAAAACAATAAACTATAACTAACTATTCGAAACAGAGTACATTAATATGCGAGTACTTTAATATTGTAAAAACATTGCCCCAACCGCCAAAACATAACAATCCTTTTGTGGTGGAATGATAATGAGCACTGATAATGATGATTCCCCCCTTCCCTTTTCCGAATTTCCGGCCTCAAAAACATTTTTTTCCGAAAAAATATACAAAAGACCCTCAAGCATTAATGATCTGCAAATGGCTTCAAATGAACTTTATGTAGTTACAGTTGGTTGTTGTTCAGGGGAAATTCGATTTTTTCGAGAAAATATTGAAAGAAATGTGTTTTTCTTGGCAAAAAATTAAATTTTAAAGTAAAATTTTTTTTCGCTTTAAAAATGCCGTTTTATAGCGGTTCTTTGGCCTAAAACTGAAATTTTAAAGCGATTTTTGGCCTAAAGTTAAAATTTTAAGACGGTTTTCAGCCCAAAATTGAAAGTTTAAGACGGGTTTTGGCCTAAAAAATTTTAAGACGGTTTTTAGCCTAAAAATGCATTTTTAAAGCGATTTTTAGCCTAAAATTGAAATTTTAAGCCGACTTTTAGCCTTAGAATGAAATTGTAAAGCCATTTCTTAGCCTAAAAATGAATTTTTAAAGCGATGTTTTGGCCTCCGTTTTAAAACAATTTTTTTGGCATAAAAATAAAATCTTAAAGCAGTTTTTAAACTTAAAAATGAGATTTTAAGGCAGGTCTTTAAAAAAATCTTAAATTTTTTTGTAAAAAAAGTCGTTTTAAAGCTGTTTTTTGACTCAAAAACAAAGTTTTCAAGCTTTTTGTAGCCTAAATACTTCGTTTTAAAGCAGTTCTTTAGCCTAAAACTAACTTAAAACAGCATGTTTAGGCCAAAATCAGCTTTAAAATTTCATTTTTAAACAAAAAATTCGATTAAAACTTCAATTTTAAGCCCAAAAACAACCTTAAAATCTATTCTTTTAGAATCAAAATCTGCCTTAAAAAACATTTTTAAGCCAAAATCGACCTTAAAATTTCATTTTTAGTCCAAACGTTGTCTTAAAATTTTATTTTTAGAACATAAAATACCGGTCCAAAAACTTCTTTAAAACTTCATTTTTAAGCTAAAACAACTTTAAAACTGCATTGCTAGGCCAAAACCTGCCGTAAAACTGCCTTGCTAGGCCAAAAGCTGCCTTAAAACAAGATTTTTAGCCCTAAAAATACTATTTTTCGTCCAAAAAGTCATCTTCCCCAACTAAAAATAATACTACTGCCTATTAGCCGGCTTGCAATTATTTCTTGCCCAAACCTCGGCCAAATCCGTTAATTTCTCCGCCAGTTCGGAAGGAGGAGAAAAGTTCATTCAAAAAAAAATTTTTTTTCAAAAGAGTTTAACTTGATCCCCCCCTGTGGATTTTTTCCATATTTTTTTTACCCAGCTACATCTTCTTTCCAAAAAAAAATCTATTTTTCGAATCCACCCCCAGCAAACAAAAATATTTTTTACCATGCCCAACCGCATTCTCCTTCTAAAAAAATTATAACTTAATCCCTATAGACTTTTCCTTATCTTTTTTACTTTTTAAAATCTACCCCTAGCAAAAAAATATTTTTTTACCATACCCAGCCACAGTCCCCCTAAAAAAGTTTAACTTGTTACCCCCTGTGGACCTTTTCATAAAAAGTTTTTCAATTTTTTCCAATCCACCCCCAGCCAAAAAAAATTTTTTTTACCACACCCAGCCACTTACCCCTCCCCCCTATCCTTAGACATGAAGAACGGGTCGGGCCCAATTTACAGGTCCGGCCCGTTCCTCATCTCTATTTTCAGGCCTGACCCGTTCCTCATGTCTACCTACCCTCCCTTACACACCGAGTTCAGTCCAAATTAAAATCGACCCGCTGTGACCAAAGTAAATTGTCGTAAAAAAGCGAATTTGCCGCTGGCACTGTTTTGCTTCGGGATGCGGAAATGGCTTCGGTATTTGCGTGCGACGTCAAACGAATTTCCCAAAAGTAATAATCCAAACACCTTCCAGGCGTGGTCTCCCCTCTGGATACCATGCAGTCGGGTGTTATTCGACTAATTGGCTATTGGGTTTTTGGGTAGGGGTGTTTTTGGCCATGGATTCTTGAGCAGGGGTGTTTTTGGCTATGAATTCTTGAGCAGGGGTGTTTTTGGTTATGGATTCTTGGGTAGGGGTGTCTTTAATCATGGATTCTTGGGTAGGGGTGTTTTTAGTTGTGGTTTGGTTATCGGTTCTTGGGCAGGGGTGTCTTTAATCATGGATTCTTGGGTAGGGGTGTTTTTAGTTGTGGTTTGGTTATCGGTTCTTGGGCAGGGGTGTTTTTAGTTTGGCTCTGGGAACTTGGATAGGAGTGTTTCAGGCCTTGGTTAAGGTGTTTTGTGGCCTTTGTTAGGGGTCCTTTGGTTCTAGGTAGTGGTGCTTTCGGCCTTAAGTAATGATGTTTTAGCCTTGATAGGGGTGGTTTTAGCTGGCTGTTTGTTGCTATAGGCTGTTGGGTGCGGTTGCCTTGGACCTGGGGTTTCTTCCTCTCTATTTGCTTAGGCATGGGTATTTTCTGCCCTATCTTCTTAGGTATGGCTGCGTTACTTGCTCTGGCTTCTGAGATATCGTATTTACTTAGGCATGGATTCTTCTGCTTTGTTTTCTTGGGCATGGTCTATTTTCTCGTATTCGGCTTTGTTTAGCTACATTTTCAGGTTACAGTAGAGTCTAATGCTTCTCAAAGTTACGCGTTATATAAATTTTCAAAATCTTCTTTTTTAAATTTCAAATTACCTGCAAAATGCCCTTTTTCTTTCATTTCATCCCACCAAAACTTGAATTGTATTAAGCAGTAATAACGTTGTAATTACGCGCCTCGAGGGCTTTTTGGCCTCAGATTTCACCTGGCGTGCGCAGGCCAATTAAAACCGTCGGGGGGCCATGTGATGCCGGTTGCCATGACTTGGCCCTGCATTTTTGTAGCCACCAATTAAAATTGGGCCCCGGTGCTTCGGCGTTTGTAAACCAAGCTTTTGTAGTTCTTCTTATTCTTGTTACTCGAGGAGGGGTATGATGGGGTTTCGTTTGGGCTGGTGCAGGGAACTCCCTACTTTTTTTGGGGGAGAGAGGGAGGAAGCGAGAGGGGGTGGTAAAAGCCGTTTTTCAATTTTTTTCGGAGGGACTGTTGAGAAATTACCACCCTAACCCACAATTTTTTCCAGGTTTCATAAGGCCTCTTCTAGGCTTGTGCTGATGCCTATTATCCTGCCTTATCACCCTACCTACTAAGGTGAATCCACCCTTATTGCCCCTAGGGGCCCCTCCTCAATAATGGTGGATTCACCTTGCGACGTCCCTGGTCTGGTGAATTACAGGTTTGATAACCTTAGCCTTTTTAGGGGTTGTGATAGCCATTATAGGCATGGTGACAACAACTTTAAATCAAATTCTATGTTTTTTAAGGTCATATTTCTACGCGTTTTCATGAGCACCTATAGTCACCTGCGCCGTATTTTACCTCCCCTCACTAAATTCTTCCAAGACCTTCGTCTTCACCATACTCAATATGTATTTGTCAAAACACTACGTATCTCTTCACCATAGTAACCAATTATTATTAACTTTGGCGACAGTCATATTAACCCTTTAACCCGTTGTCACAGTTAACTTAAACGTTTCGTTTTTGGTCAAAAATATAATGTTTTATACGAAAAAAATCCAAAATTTCAAATTTTTTCAAAAATTGATTTTGTGCCATAACTTATTGACCACCTTTCAAAACAACAAAACTTGTTGACAAAACTTTCAACAAAGGCCCTAGTAATACATATTATTCATAAATAATGTCTTTTGCGAGCGGTTTTAAAGTTTAATTTAACACCCGTTTTAACCAAAAAATTTTTAGAATAAATATAAACCTACCTGCTGCCGCGGCCGAAACCGGTGTAGCTTGAGCTGGCGGGCCTGGAGTTGCAGCGGCTGGAGTTGGTGTTACGGCCGATCTGATGGAGTTTGGAGTTGGTGGATTGTGAGCGGGTGCTGGAGTGCCTGGTTGACCTGGCTGGCCTACTGAGCTTGGCCCACCTGGTACCGGCTCCTTCTCTTTTTTCTTCTTCTTCAACTTCTCGGCATATGCGATGAGTTCGCTCATGTCGGCTCCAGTCTCGCGACACTCCAACGCTAGCAGGTATTTTTGGTAATGCCTTCGGAGTTGGTAGCCAGCTGCCGAGGACTCGGTCATTGATGGGTTGGCTTCGCGGCATAGGCCTTTCCAGGATTTGTCGTCGCACACCTGAAGGATGGTGAATATTAGAGGTGGGTTTGGATTTTGTGCCATTTTTAATTAAAAACGTATTGGAAATGGTAGGAAATTAGGTTTAAAAGGTACAGCAAACTCCATAGGTTTCACAAAATGCCCCAAAAGTCTAAAATTCAAACCAAAAAATGAAAATTTTACCTTTTTGAACCCTCCGGCCTTCCTGACCGCTATGTACAGTCGATGCAGATCGACCGGGCTTTTCGAGACCTGAGGCGGTGCTGTGAGTGTTTCATTGTGTTGTTCGTTTAACAGTACGAGTTGTTCGAAGAAGTCGCGTCTCTGTGGCATCACACTGGGCGGTACTAGTTCTGTTGGTACCCCGACTAGTTTGTCCACTGCTTCGCGTTGTACCGGCTTTAAGAGATGAGCGTTGGCTGAGGGTGGGTACTGTTGGGGTTGAGGGGGTTGTTGGGCCATCATCATTGGCGGTTGGCCTGCGGGCATTGGCCGCTGAAATGATAAGAGTTTAAAATTTAAAAAAGCTTTTTTATGCCTAAAACACACAAAAAACTCATTTTTAAGCCTAAAATCTACAACAAGAGTCATTTTTAAGCCTAGAGCTCATAATAAGAGTCCTTTTTTAAGCCCAAAACTCATAAGAAAAGTCATTTTTAAGCCTAAAAAATCATTAAAAAGCTCTTTTTCAAGCCTAAAACTCATAAGAAGGGTCATTTTTAAGCCTATAACGCATAATAAGAGTCTTTTTAAACCTAAAAAATCATTAAAAAGCTCATTTTCAAGCCTAAAATCCACAAGAAGAGCCATTTTTAAGCCTAGAACTCATAATAAGAGCCCTTTTCAAGCCTAAAACTCATAAGAGTCATTTTTAAGCCTAGAATTCATAAAAAGAGTCCTTTTTAAGCCTAGAATTCATAAGAAGAGTCATTTTTAAGCCTAGAATTCATAAGAAGAGTCCTTTTTAAGCCTAGAATTCATAAGAAGAGTCATTTTTAAGCCTAGAATTCATAAGAAACATCATTTTTAAACTTATAGCCCTTAGGCAATTCAATTCACAACCCTATCCGACCTAAAAAATTCATTTTCAAGCCTAAAAACTCATTAAAAAAGCTCATTTTCACCCCTTAAAACCTCTCAAAAAATCGATTTTTTCTCCCACCAACTCCCACTTTTACCCCTCCCTCTCCCCCTCCCCTCAAGCCATTCAAAACCGACCATTATTGACTCCATTTTGGCCAAACTTTGCCAAAACATTGGTCAAGAAACGTTGTTCTCAAAATATAGTGAACGCTTCCAATTTTCGACCGCGCTCAGCCAAATGGAAGCAGCAGCTAACCGCGTTATTATGCAAGTGGCTAGCGAGAGAGCGGGCGTAACGTGGAGTGAGTTAGAGAGCGAGGAATGGTTGGGTTTCGAGAGAGGGGCAGAGAAATAGGATTCGAAGCGAATTTTTTAGGTATGAAAACGCTGCTTTTTCGAGAAACCAAAATGCATGTGGAGCTAATTTTGAAGGCGTATTTGAAAATATTTTTGAAATGGTCAATATATTGTTAAAAACGACACTTTTGTGACAATTTTTCAAAAATATTACCTAAATTTTAAAATTTTCAAAAAATGTTACCTAAATTTTACTAAAATTGAAAAATTTTACCTAAATTTGAGAAACTTCGAAAGCGTTACCTAAATTATCAAAAAAGTTTAAATTGTTGCTTAAAATTTCCAAAAATTGAAAAAAAAGTTACCTAAATTTTCAAAATTTTACTTAAGTTTAAAAAACTCAACAAATGTTACCTAAAATTGCTTATATTTTAAGTTCTGATCAATATTGTCCTTCACACTTTTTCAAAATTCATTTTTTTTTCAAGATTTGTTACCCAAAAAAAGCCAAAAATTATAAATTTCAACTGGTTTTTAAAATGTTATGGCCTGAAATTTTCAAAAACAACCATTTTTAGCACTTTTTTCACCCCTAATTACCTCATTTTACTCTACTTGACCTTACCCTGCCCTACCCTAATTTACTCTACTTTACCCCACCCTACCCAATCCCGTCCTATCCTTCCAATCTTATTCTAATCTTACTTTCCAAACCCTAAAAAGGTCATTTTATTTCATAAAATTCAAGTTCAGATCAGTTTCTTCCATTATTATTACCTAAACTTCAAAAATCCAAAAAAAAGTTAAACCTTACCTGCATGTTAATATTGTAGTGGGGATGATGTGGAGACTGTTGTGGTGGATTTGTATTTGCTTTCTCACCTTCATCAGCAGTCGACGTTTGGGGGTGTTGTTGGTTTGAAAGGAATTGTTGTTGAGGTACCTGAACATTGAAAAATATATTACTTTAAGTTAGTTTAGGGCAAAAACTTTCTTTACAAACAATAATATGGCAAGAAATTTCTTTACAAAACAAAAAATGGCAAGAACTTTCTTTACAGAGTAAATATGAACTAAACCCCTACCTGTAGATAATACGGATGGCCGGGGAAGCCTGGTTGCTGTGGCGGTTGTTGCCCTTCCGGATACATGAACCGCGCCTGTGGTGGCCAGTAAGCCTGGGGCGGGTAGCCGGGAGGTAGGTAGGGCGGCATTTGGGGCTGATCCCCGGCGTCGCTTTTGGGCGGCCATTGCATTGGCGGCCGCCGTTGGCCCGGCGAGTGTTGCACGTTCTGCGGTGTGCCGGGCGCAGCTGGAGCGGCACCGGCGGCGATCTGCAGTGTCGCTTGTTGCTGATGTTGTTGTGGTTGTTCCAGCCGCTGCAATTTTTAAAAATTAAGTTTAGGTAACAATATTTTAAAAATTATAAATTTTAGATAACAAATTATTAAAAAATCAAATTTTAGGTAACAAATTATAACAAAATTAAAATTTTAGGTAACAAAATCTTCATCAAAATTAAGCCCTTGAGACATAAAAACTTTTAAAATCCGGCTAGCACAATATTTTAAGTAACAAATTTTTAAAAATAAAAAAAATTAAACTTTAGGTAACAAAATCTTTAAAAGACCATTAAAACCATTTTATTATCAAAAATAAGTCCTTGAGGCAATAAAACTTTAAAATCCTTCAAAAACAATATTTATAGGTAACAAAAGAGAATATTTAAAGTAGAAATTAAAAAAACTGCTTAGAATTCAATAAAAGTGCATTTTTAATTCCAAAAATAAAGTTTATTTTACCAAATTTGGCCAAAAGGAAAAAAAAGAAATCTCTAAATTTGGGCGCAGCTGAATCAACAACTGCGCGGGCTTTTTTATCCGAAGAGTGATCAAATTGGTTTTACAACGTAGTTTTAGCTTGAAAATTAGAAAAAGGGTGTTACGATGGATTAAAAATGACATTTTTCGAAAAAAAAATTTTATTTTTTAAATTTTTTTTTAAATTTTAAAAATTTTATTTTTTGAAATTAAAGCCCTTGAGGCAGGATATCAATTACAGAGGCGGCTCTATTTACCCTCGGCTCTTGTTGATATTGTTGTTGAGATGGGGCGTGGGTTTCAAGCTCATTTTTATTTGTTTGTCAAAGACGGGAACAAAAAAGTTTTTTTTATGAAAAGATATTGTTGTTTGGTCACTTAAAGACAGTTTTTTTAAATTTAAAGCTAAGAGAGAGACAGTTGATCAAAATGACCTTGAGAAGACATAAGCTCTTGCTTTTGACCGTTCTGGCTTCGTTTGAAAATTAGTTTTTTGTTTTTTTAGCAAAAACATGGCTAAAAAGGTAATATTTAGGTTGGTAGGCTTAAAATAAGAGAACTAGAAGCTAAGCCTAAAATTTTTGAATTTTTTCAAGAAAAATAGTAAAGCAAATTAAGTAGTAAGCCTAAATCTAAAATTTCAAAAGTTTTTAAGCCTAAGTCGGCTCTTAAACTAGCCTAAAACGTGGAACTTTGTAATCTTTGATCTACCCCCACCTTTCGTTAATCTACCCGTTGATCTACTCCTCCTTCTTCATTGATCTACCTCCAATTTTTCCCTTACTCCACTCTTTACTATAACAAACCTCCATCTCCACCCATCCCCCCCCCCCTATTCAACCCAAGCCCTTAACCCAAAATAATTCCTTTGAAACCCTAAGGGCAAAATTTGAAACAAAATTCAGGAAAACACGTTTTTTGCAAATTGCTTGAAAGAGTTCATTCCGAGCTCCTTCTCTCCCCCCCCCTTGACGTCATTTGTTTGTGGGAATTTCATTGAGAGCGAGCCCCGACTATTAATAGAATTGACCCGCCTTCCGATAATGAGATCGCGAGCTGTCACGTGCTCCCAACGGAAGCAGGGGACAGCTGGGCGAGCAAATGTGACGTCGGTTTTTGGGAAATTTTAAGAATTTTGAGGGGTTTTTCTACCCTATGTTTGCCTTGCCTTGCCTTGCCTTGCCTTGCCTTGCCTTGCCTTGCCTTGCCTTGCCTTGCCTTGCCTTGCCTTGCCTTGCCTTGCCTTGCCTTGCCTTGCCTTGCCTTGCCTTGCCTTGCCTTGCCTTGCCTTGCCTTGCCTTGCCTTGCCTTGCCGTACCCTACCCTATCATACTTTACTCTACCCCCCCCCCCCCCTTTCTTATCTCTCTTGTCTTAGCCTTGCTCTAGCCTTGTCCTAGCCTTTCCCTACTCTTGCCTTATCGTACTCTACCCTACCTTATCATACCCTACTTAATCCTCCCCCCCCCCCCCCCCATCTACCGTATCTCCTTGAAACGTTATTGTACTTCCCTAACATCCCCCCCCTCCCTCTTTCTTACCTCTAGGTTTACCTAAAGCAAAATTGTACTTCAGCTTCCTCCCCCTCCTCTCTTTTTTGTTTATATTTCAAAAACCGAGCTCCAAACCCCTGACGTCACCGTGAGCTGATGTGAACTTTGTTGTAATTTATAAGCTGTTTGTTTACTTATGTCATCTCTAATCGTCTCTTTCATGCTCCAAATTCAAATTGTTTTTCATTCGATCAAAGAACGAGAGCAAAGAACAGAGGCATGAGCATAAGAGAGAGGGCTTATTTCAAGGACAACTACTATAATATAATGAAAAAGGGAAAAGATAAGGATGGCTTGCAGAAGCTTATAAATATTTTATAAATTCGAAAGTCATGCTAGGAGTTGTGAGTCCAAAAGTTATTGTTTAAACCTAAAAGTTGTTCTTTAGCCTAGAAGTTGTTTTTAAGCATAAAAGTCGATTAGTAAGCCTAGAAGTTGCTTTGTAAGCCTAAAAATTTATATTTGTACCTAAGAGCTCTTTTTAAGCTTAAAGGTTGTTTTGTAAGCCTAAAACTTGGCTTTTAAATTTAAAAGTTAATTTTTAAGCCTATAAGTTGTTTTCTAAGCCTAAAATTTGTTTTTAATCTCAAAACTTACTTGTTAAGGCTAAATTTTGTTTTTAAGCATAAAAGTCGTTTTAAGCCTAAAAATTGATTTTTAAGTCCTAAATTCACTTAGTATGTCTTAGAGTAATTTTTAAGCCTAAACTTTCACTTTTAAGTTTAAAGCCAGTTTGTCGTCCCCAAAAGTATTTTTTAAAATTTAGAACTTATCTTTTAAGCCTGAATCTTCGTCTTTTAAAACTAAAGCTGGTCTTTTAGTCCTTCAGTTCTCTATTAATATCTCGCTCCTTCCTTATATCTCTTCCTTCCTTTTCCCACTTTCCCCCAACTTTTTATTTCTTATCACAACCAAGTCATTTGATCGTTTTTTAATTGCGATAGAGTTCCGTTCTTCAATCATAAGACCTGTAACAGGTGTTTTTCGAAAAGAAAAATGAAAAAAAAACATTTTTATCAGCAATAAAAAGTCATAATAATATTAATGTTTTGGCGGGAAAATTTTTTTTAGAATTATCAAAGTTTTTTATTTTAAAATTTTTCAAAAAATTTTTAAAAATTTGAAAAAATCTTAGGTTATACGCACAAGACATCTCTTAAAACGCCCTAAAAACTTTAAAATTACCCTCCACCCCTCCCTTCCAAAACCCTTAAAACTTCAAAGTTTCAAAACTGCCTTAAAATCCCTTAGGGCTCAAAACGAAAAAAAGTTGGTTAAGTACGAATGGATATAACGTCATTTCCCCCGCTCTCGAACGGAAATGAGACATCGGGAAAATGAGATTTTTGTTTCGAAAAACAGAGCAAAATTCTACCCTGAGGAATTCGGGTTTTACACGCAAAAACAAGATTAGCGCTCCGAAAACGAGAAATTTCAAACCAATTTCGCGTTCAAATTGCGCGAAAAAAACATTGAAAAAATGGTTTTTAATCTTTCAGATTGAAAGGCTTAGGCTTAGAAGGCTTACTCTTAGTTAGGCTTATCTTTAGTAATCTTAGGCTTATGCTTATCAAGCTTAGCACGCTTAGGCTTAGTAATCTTATGCTTAGTAGGCTTAGGCTTAGTAGCCTTAGGCTTCGTAAGCTCAAACTTTGTAATCTTAGGCTTAGTAAACTCAGGCTTAGTAGATTAACGCTCAGTAGCCTAGAACAAATAGATTTCTTAAACTTATTAGGCTTAAACTTGGCAAGATGAGGCTCAGCAGGCTTAAACTTAGTAGGCTTAGACTTTGTGGGCTTAATCTAGGCTCAGAAGGAAAGAAAAATTAGGCTTAAGCTTAGCAGGCTTACAAATGGAGACCTTAGACAGTAGGTTTAGACTTGACAAGCTCGTGCTTAGCAGGCTTAAACTTAGTAAACTGAAGTTTAGTAGGCTTAAGCTAGGCTTAAAAGGTCGATGTTTAAAGAAAAATTAAGCTTAAGCTCAGTAAGCTTTAAATTAATAGGCTTATTCTTAAAAGACCCAGGTTTAAAAGGCCTAACCTTAGAAGACTGCAACTTAGTAGGCTTACTGTTAGCATTACAATTAGTAGCCTTGGGCTTAGTCCTAACATTATCTTTTAAGTTTTAAAGAATTGAAAGGAGGTGAAAGAGAGTTCAATTCATAAAGCCCTTTCTCCGCTCGTCTTTGAACCTTGAAAGAGCATGGACAAAACAAAGCGAACGGGTTATAAATAGCCCGGGTCAAAGAACACAAGACTCTCCAACGAAACACGAATTGACGTAGAGATACACAACAGGGGGGACAAGGAATGTGTGTTTTTCCCCGCAAAATGTTATAGAGTGCAATGGGTCGGTCGAGAGGGGGGAGGAAGTAAACATAAACAAAAAAAATTAAATTTTAATGGTCATTCTGCGATGAGCTGCCGTTCGGAAAGGAACTTGACTTTCCTTTTAGTTTTTGGGTTGAAAATAGAAAAAAGAGGGGAGGGAGCGATTTTGAAATTATCCTACCTTACCCTACCATACCCTACTTTTATAAATACAAGGCTAACGGGCTTAATAATAGTAAGCCTAAGCTTGTTAGGCTTAGTAGACTTAGACTTAGTAGGCTTAATAGGCTTATTCTTAGTAAGCTTAGGTTTAATAGGCTTAGGCTTAGTAGGCTTAGGCTTAGTAAACTTAGGCTTAATAGGCTTAGGTTTAGTAGGCTTAAGCTTAGTAGGCTTTGGCTTAGCAGGCTTAGGCTTAGTAGACTTAGTCTTAGTAGACTCAGGTTTAGTCGACTTAAACTTGGTAGGCTTAAGCTTAGTAGGCTTAGGCTTAGTAGGCTTAGGCTTAGTAGGCTTAGGTTTAGTAGGCTTAGGCTTAGTAGACTTAGGCTCAGTAAACTAAAGACCTTTTTTAATTTTTTTTTCAAAACGTTTATAATTTTAAAATTTTCAGATGCTACTCATCACGACCCACGCCTCGCTACAGTTTTTATGTTTGTGGCTACACAAGAGCTTTAGATTAAAATATCTACACAGCTCAAGACTTGAGGCTATAACCATGTATTAAGTGCCGGCATAAAGAACCCGCCATTTTTTACAGGAAATTACGGGAAAACTATGGCGGGTTCTTTATGTCGGCACCTAATAATCCCTGAAAGCGTTGATTAGCATCCATACCTGTTCATGGGCTGGTTGTTCGGCTGCGCCTTCAGCCGAAGACATGTTGATGGTACTCTTCGAACTCAAAATTTGCGTTTATTCTCTGATCGTACTGTGGTCTTTCAGTTCCGGACGAATGCTAATACCACAGTTGTACATAAAACTGTCAGTGCATTCGCTGAAAATTTCGATTTTAAAAGTCGGCCTGTGGGCATTTTAATAGCAAAATCGCGAAAAATTAGGCATTGTACAGATGAGAAAAGGGTCTACTGTGCCCGACCCAAATTTGGTCAGGGCTTAACTCGGCCTGGGCCGGAACATGTAGATCAAAGTGCTGGAACTTTAGGATCGGGGCCGAGTCAAAGCAAATTTAAAAAAGCCGGACTGCACCGGAAAATTAAGAATTTTGTACAAGCGGCCGGGCCAGGCCAAAGCAAGTCTAAAAAAACCGGACCGGGCCAAAAAAATTGGGCTTAGTCCATTCACGGGTCTATTGTACAGTAAGATATAGTATATTAGGTTGTTCAAATAATTCTGTGCCTTCTAATCCGAAACATTTGCTTTGAGAGCGGGCAGAGAATTATTTGAACAACCTAGTATAAGACTACACTATTTAAGTACTATAAGTCTACATTTAGCACTATATATCTATACTAAGTACTATAAGTCTATATTTAGTACTATAGGGCTATGTCCGTGAATCCCTGGGCGCTCTAACCTTATACAGGCTATATTCAGTACTATAGGGCTATATTTAACACTATAGGGCTATACTAAGTACTATAAGTCTATATTTAGTACTATAGAGCCAAATTTGGTAATATAGGACTATATTTAGCGCTATAAGGCGATATTGAGTACTATAGGGCTATATTTAGTACTATAGAGCTATATTCAGTACTATAAGGCTTTATTCAGTACTGTAAGGCTATATTCAGTACTATAAGTCTATATTCAGTACTATAAGTCTATATTCGGTACTATAAGTCTATATTCAGTACTATCAGGCTATACTAAGTATAGTAAGTCAATATTTATCAGATTGAACCGAAAGTAGTGGGACACTTTACATTTAATGACCAATCGAAAAGTGTCCCGCTAGTTTCTTTTCAAACTAATATTATTATAAGACTATAATCAGTACTATGGCACAGAATTATTTGAACAACCTATTTGAAAACCATCGTTAAAAATCTATTAGGTGCCGACATAAAGAACCCGCCATACTTTGCCTCTAAATTCCTGTAAAAATGGCGGGTTCTTTATGTCGGCACCTAATATGTTTCCTTTAGCTTTAGCATAAGCTTGATAACTAATATTAACCTATCTTTAAAATTTTCAAAATTTCAAAAATTTATCAAATAGCCTTAAAAATAAAATTTTTAAACTTCCAACCAAAAATCCTTCCCCAAACTTCCCTCTGGCTATTCTCAGAAACCCAAAGCAAAAGCGCTTTAATGTAGTCTCTAACAAAAAAACGTCATTAAAAATGTGTTTTCGAGCGGTTTTTTGGGGGGCCAGAGGATTTGGCTCTCATAAAATGGACAAGAGTTCACTTTTTTCAATGCATATGTGAGGGAGGGCTTACACGTGCAAAAACCGGCTGTAAACCCAACGGATTTAGCGGGGATTTCGGTTAAAAGTGCATTTAATTTAAAAGTGCTTGGAAATGGCTATTTATTTTTGATTGTTCATATAATTTTGTGCCCCCTAACCCGGAAAAATAAGCAATTTTTAAAAAGAAAGGGTCGGACTAAAAAATTTTGCCTGACCATTTTACAGGTCTATGCTACAGTATGGTATAGTATATTAGATTGTTCAAATAATTCTGTGCCTCCCGGCTCAAGGCTGGGCCAAAGCAAATTTGAAGAGCTAGACCTGAACGAAAAATTAGATCTAGTCTTTTTACCGGTCTAGGTTACAGTAAACTACACGTATAGTATTTTCAAATAATTATGTGCCGCTAACAAAACTTCTAAATAACAAACAAATTTTAAATCCTCAAGCGATGCTTTATACTGGAGTTCCACTGAGCTGAAAAAAACTGCAAAGCTAAAAATTGATTTAAATCATTTAAAAAAACTTTAAAGCAACCTAAAACAAAAAAGTATGAAAAATAGCCTTAAAACCATCAAAGAAAGCCTTAAAATGATTGTGAAAAGTCTTATGATCTCCAAAATAAGCCTCAAAATTAATAAAAAAGGCTTAAAATCATTTTAAAAAACTTTGAAATAAGCGCAAAAAGCCTTATAACTATCAAAAACAGCCTAAAAATCATCAAAAAGCCTTAAAATTAAAAAAAAATCTAAAAAAATCCAAAAAAATCTAAAAATTTGTTTTTCTTAAATTTATTTTTAAGGCTATATTTGAGTTTGAGCGGGTTTTAAACTCGATGGCTATTTTAATAACCGGATTAGTTCAACGAAAACACTCTTAATTCCTGAATAGAAGTGCGTCATCGCTCGGGCTCAATAACCGCCATCTTTTCACACATCCGCGGGTCGGGCGGGAGGGGTTGAGGGAGAGCGCGCGAGTTTTTAAAATTGTTTAAAACTTGAATCAGTGGTTTTGATATAAGATTTTGGGGCTTGATTTTGAGGGCTTGGCATGAAATTTTAATATTTTGAGGGCTTGGCGTAAAATTTTGGGGTTTAGAAGGCTTGGTATAAAATTTTAAAATTTTGAGGTGTCATTTTTAAATTTACTAATATTTTTTGTGGTTCAAAGGATAGTAGGGTTAACATTGTTAGGCTAAGACTCAGTAGGCTTATAAATACTAAAAAATTTGAAAAATTAGCCTAAGGGCAAGCAAAGTTTTAAGGTTAAGAAAATCTGATGATAATATAAATATCTACTTTGTGGTCAATGTTTTAGCCATTATGAATAAATATACTAATCAAAAAGATCGTATTGACTATTCTTAAGACTTTACAGGTTTTTTAAGGTTTCTCCTTTTAAAAAATCAATTTTAAACCTACACATGAAGCAAAAATCCATTCATATCAAAGGAGATTATGTATCAAGAAAAGGTTTCATACCCTAGCCTTAAAAACAAAATCATCGCCGTTCCTCGACCCTTGGGGCAAGCCTTGTTTGATCTCTTGTATCCGTCAATGAACTCTTAAAAATTATGAAAACCCCTCTTCCATTTACCCCTGCTACATCCCCTTTCTATCATCATCCCCTCCTATCCTTATCCCCATCCCCTCATCGTCTCATCCCCTCATCCCCACCCCATCCCCGCCAATACCATCTTCCTGATCCCTTCATCCCCAGAAGGAAAAACTTGTTGAGGAATCCGGGTCTTCCTCCTCCCCACCCCCCAATCCCCATTGCACGGTATATAAAACATGGTATATTCCCCCCATATCTTGAGAGATATGTGTCGTCCCCGTGTTTTCTCTCCTTCCCATACGACAAAAGCCTTCGTATTTTCGCCCCTAAAACCATGAAGGTATGCGTTTTTCCCGTCATTGCATTTCCCACAAAAATCGCAGCCCTAAACCCCTGAAAAATACATATTCGCCCAGTTTTTTCGACCCCATATTCCTCCCTTTTCGCCTTTCCAGCTGTCCCCCGGACTGGTCGGTCGGGTTGTGTGTCGTTTGCATTGTCCGACCCCCGACCGTCTTTCAATCCGCTTCGCCTCGCTTAAAGAGAGAAGGCAGGAAAGAGGAGCGGCGGCGGGGGGAACAACAGAACCCATGGGGCAGAGAACTCGCTACGATGGCGCGTCGACCCGACTTTTTCGGCGGCGTCCTCGTTCAGTCACCACGGCCGGCGCCCACTGTCTGCGGTCTCTTCGCTTTGGCTGTTTGTGTAGAGATCTATCTGTGTTTCGCCGTTTGTGAAGGGGTCTATCTGTGTTTTGATTTCTGTCGCTTTTTGTTTTGCAGTCTGTTTATTGGGCACTCTTGGTCTCTGTTGTTCCGAATTTCTTTGTTTCTTTGAGAGAGTACACTCTCGAATCCTTTTTTCTCTGGGATTCTTTAGAGCGATGTATCATCAGTGATTCTCCTGCTGAGTCTCTGTAAATCGCTACGCTTTTCAATGCTTTGCTTTCTGGGTTTCTTTGAAGCGTATTCTCTTCTATGCTTTTCTTCATGCTCTTCAATGCTTCTCTTCGTGCTCTTCGTAAACCCTACACTCTGACGTCTCTGCGTTACTGCGAAGAGATACATAGGATACTTCATTGCTTCAAGGTACTATACGTTGTTCTTTCCTGTCTTTTTCTTCTTATACATTTCACATTCGTCGTGTTTTTGGTTTATATACTTCATTTTTTGCCGTACAATCGTATATATATTCTATATATAGTCGTATGTGTATTTTATAAATTCCAGGTTCGAAATTCATTGTTTTTTGTCGTTTTTACTCTTGCATAATTATACTCTTTGATTTTTAACCAGTTTTCTGTAGCTTTCTAATTATGATTTCTATGAAATTTTTAATCGTTTTGACATACGCTTTCTCTCGCTCTCTTTTCTATACACTTTCTCTTGTCTATGCTCTCTCTTCTTTACGCTCTCTTCTGTACGCTGCCTCTTACCCTTTCTTTGTCTCCCTTTCTCTCATGTTTGTACCCGCTATTCTTGATATATCTTTCATTCACTGTTCATTTTTGATACTCTTTTTTTTATATACATTATTTTTCCATTCCGTCTTCCGATTTGCCCCCGTGCTATAAATTCAATCCCCAACAATATTTACAACGAGGGGACGAGGCTTTAGTTTTTCAAAGTCACGGGGGCAAAACGGAGCGCCAAGTTTCCCCTCAAGGTGAAAGAGGCTTCAGTTGTTCCCCTTAAGCGAAATATGCTTCTTCTGTCCCTTACCAGTGACAGAGGCTTCAGTTTTCCCCCATCAAATTGAAAGAGGCTCTTTCTGCCCCCTCCCCAACAAAATTAAAAAGGCTCCTTTCTGCCCCCATCAAAATGAAAGAAGAATCAGTTGTCCCCCATCGAAACGAAAGAGAGGAGAATTTTGAAGGCAAGCACGAAGATCCCATTCGGAAGATGAGAGAAAGAATTGGGAATAGAGCGGCGAAGTCGGTGTTTGAGAATTTCGGGCGAAGGTCGGTCGGGCGGCGAGGGTCTCGCAGAGCGCCATTCCATTCAGCCAGCCCAAAAAACCTCCCCATTTTTATTTTCAGCACACAAAACGTCGTTTCGAATTCACGGAGAGAGCGGTGGGCGAGATAGTGGGAAGCGGTGCGGGGGGAGCGGAAGACGGCCGAGCTTTTGGCTTTGGTGGTTGGAGGTCAGGCCTGCAAACCGGGGCACAGCAAGAGAGGAGGGGGAAGCCGGAGGTTGGGTAGGGATAAAGAGTTGTTTTTGAAGTAACATAGAGAGCTTTTAGATTCGGTGGGGTTTGAAGAGGGTTCTAGGGTGAATTGTGGAGAAGGGATGAAGGGATAGATCGTGTAGAATGGAGAGGGAGAGATGATTGTTTTCAAAGCTAAGGATGTGAAGATAGAGTACTTAAAGAGGTATTAACAAAAGAAGATCATAAAGAGTTAGAAGAAGAAAAAGAAGAAAAAGAAGAAAAAGAAGTAGAAAAAAAAAACAAACCATAGTTAATGAAAGCCAAAAACCTAAGAAAACTCCCTCCAGCAACAAAGCACAGCACTCAACACAAAAGTCAGAGAAAAAAGCAAAAACAAGACACAACAAATGTAAAAGACCGTACCAGACAACACAGTGTTTTCTTTGTGCCGTAGCGCGCCGTTCTTTGATTTCATAGTAAAAAGAGGCGACAGAGAAACAGCTGAATCCACACCAAATTTGTTTTCGTTTTTTTAAATGTGTGGCGGCTGACAGCGCCGTATGCATCTTGCTAATGTGGATTTGTGCTCTCTTGCTGGGTTAAAATGAGTTTTTTGTCTCTTCATGGAGTAACGTGGAGATGTGCTCTCTCGGCATAGTAAACGGAGAGTGTACTCTCTAGGCAGAGTACCGTGAGTTTGTACTCTCTCGACTAGTCAACTTGAATTAATGTTCTCTCGACAAACCAACGTGAATTGGTACTTTCTCTTCGGAGCAACATGAGCTTGTAGTCTCCCGTCGGATCGTTCTCTCTCCTTTTATCTAACTAGTTTACAACTTTTCAGTGATGTCGTGGGCTTGTTATTGGGGTTCCGGAGATGGAACGGCCAGTGGGGTTGATTAAATGTCATAAAGGGTTCCAGTGGTCAAATGAGGTTGTTTTCTAGTTTTTTGAATTCGAATGGTTATTGTGGGGTTTTCGGATGTTTTAGGTGGTTCTAACAAAATTCGAGAGGTTTTAAGATGTTTTCGTAACTGAAACTTTTTAGAAAGATAAGGGAGGGGCGGGTTAGTGCTAAGAGAGATAGAATATTCAAAAGTACTGTTAGGTTTGTACTTCTTTTATTTAGTACTAAAGCTTGTACTAAGAGAAGCACAATTAAAGCTTGTAATAAAAGAAGTACAATCTCTAAAGGTGCTGATAGGGTTAGTGCTAAGAAAGGCAGAGACCTTTAAAGGTAAATGTAGGATCAGTGCTGAGAAAGGTGCATCCTTTAAAGATCGGTACGGTAAGACTAGTGCTCAGAGAGGTACAACTTTTAAAGGTATTGATAAGCTATCTCTTTTAACACTATAGCTATTAAAACTACACTTGAATAAAAGTCACTAAACCCAATTTCAGCCCAGCAGCTTCAAGCCAGCCCGGCACACGTAAGACCGAGGTCAGGAGCCTCAACCCAAGAAGGCTTGACACCTTTACAAGTCTTATTATGACTAGACTATCAAAACAGTCTGCTAATGTTTAATGTCTTAAACAGCCTTTCAAACCTCTTTTAACCCTAAGGTCTTTAATTTCCAAATAGTCTTTATTTTTACGATTTTTTGCGATTTTTATTCCAGTTTAACGTGATTGCCTTCAGGGCGCTAGTGTAATTCAGCGAACCCCACAACCTAATGGTATCATAACAAACACATTAAGATGAATAATAAACACAACACAAAACAGGAAATTTGAAATGACACAAAGTGAAACATACACATACTAATGAAAACATAAACATGATAAGTAAAGCATAAACATGAAAATGAAAACATGAAACAAATCAGAAGTAAATGAAACATAATAAAGTTTAAAAAGGTGCCATTCTATTTACAGTTCAAGTTTTTTAAAGCCCTTTTGTTATAGAAAACAGTAAGTCAAAACCAATCAAGTGTTATACTGGTACTCTTGTTGCTTTGCGACAATTTTAGTCCAAGATAGATAGTAGATTTGAAAGAGTCTACAATCCATCCTGGAATAAAATTGCCCACTAGAAACACCTTAGCCTTGGCCTGTCCCTATGTAGGGCGCAAAAGCAATACAATACAATCTACAGTGATCTCTCTATATAGTGAACCACCTGTATAAGCAACTCCCCTTATAGTAAACAAGAAATTTAGTCTCGGCAAGTAAATTTGCTCTAAAAATCACTCTGTACAGACAACACCTCCTATAGTAAACACAAAATGTCGGTCCCTTCTGGTTGCTTATACAGAGAGAATACTTTATAACAGTATAAATTTATATATAGACCGGGCTGGACCTTTAAAAAATGTTCTGAGAGGGTGGTGGTATATGTAGTTCCACACGTACAACCTGTAGTTACTTTTCTTTTCTCTCAATTCCCCCTGAAATAAAACTGCTTGTAAACAAAGTGGTACCATCAGTGGCAGACGAACAATGTTGTTTTGAGATAGATCTAGAAAAGTGTTCATTGGGCTCGGCATCGGCCCTGGACCAAACTAAAACTTCAAAAAGGCCGGGCCGCCGCATGTGGGTTCAAAAGCCGAGGCCCAAACCAAGGTCCATTTCGTAGAACGGCCAAAAAAATTGAGCCGGGTCCAAAGCCTCAACAGGTCTATTTTGTCAGGTCAAAAATTTTGTTTTTTAAAAATTTTCTCAACTTTAAGCTTTTTACAAAAAAATTTTTACCTTGGTTTTTTTGAATGTATAATGTGACCGTGAAACTGGCTGACAAGATCGTTTAAGTATGCAATCTTTAATCGTCCAGACGATGTTGAACTGTGAAAATATTATTTTAGTAAAAATCTGATTTGCATAAACAATTTAATCATAGTAATGATAACAAAATCGTAGTACCGATGATGAGATTCGACTATTAGCAATGATGCTGTTATTTCTATTAATTGCCGACATAAAGAACCCGCCATATTTATCCTGTAATTTCTTGTAAAAAATGGCGGGTTCTTTATGTCGGCACCTAATAAATTTATCGTGAAATAAAGAGCTAACTTAACATTATTCTACAGCCATTTACCGTAAACTTGATTTTTGTTGAAATTTGAAATCAAATTCGAGCTAAAAATTACAAAAAAATTTAAAATTTCCATAAAAAATTTAAACTTTTCCAAAAATGTGCAAAAATGTGTTTATAAAAGAAGTAAGCAAAATTGAGCCTGAAGAAATAGCACACGAAAACGAGAGATCACATACAGACAGCTGGTTGGCGGGACGCCTAAATTCGGGCTTAAACGCAAAAATTGCACACGCCACTTTTGCCCACATTTTTCGATCTGATTTCCCTCAAAATGTCGCTTTTTTGCAAAAATTTTGAATTTTTTCGAATTTAAACTAGTTTTTCTTAGCTTTGGGTAACAAAATTGTAATTTTTAGGGTTCTTTTAATCATTTTTTGGCATAAAAACAGTCATATGTTTTTAAATTCCTTGACATTTTGCCGTTTTTCTATATTAACATAGGCTCTATACCTACTCCAATATAAAACTATGGTTATCTGACCTAAAATTTAAAAACTTTTTACATTTTTGAGTTTAATATGTCCATAATCTCCCATTTCAAGTCAATTTACCTCTTCTTTATTGGCAAAACGAAAAGCAGCGCCTTTGCATTTGGGTCCCGCCACGAAAATGCTTAATTGCAAAAAGCTTTGGCATTTCGTTGCAAATAATGTTTTTTCGATTTTTTCTTTTGAAATTGGTATGTTTCTGTGTGCACCGGATTTTATTATAGTAAAATCAGATATTTTTAAAAATTTTTAAAAAAAATTTTTAATTTTTATATTGTTTTAGGCATTTTTGATCATTCATGTTGTTTTACGCTTGTTTTTCATTGGAAAATATGTTTATTGGTATATTATGTGATAAAATATGATTTTGAGGGTTTTTTCTGCAAATTTCAAGCTATTTCAAGGCGGTTTTGACTTGTTTGATGTTGTTTTAGAGCAGTGATATTATTTTAGGTATCAAATTTGCAATTTTTAATTTTTTTTTTAATTTTCTTTTTTATTTTCAGAATGAATCGAGTTTACCGACCTTATAACCGACCACAGACAAGAAACCTATCCAAAAAATTCTACGATCAAGGCCTCTCTACGCAAGAATGTCATCAAAAGTTGCTCGAGTTGCAAGGCCAAGCACGTGCACCATCCTACGCCTCCGTATCTCGATGGTTTCGTATGTTTCGTGCTGAACGTTCTGCAGATTTAGAGCGAGGCAAATTTGTTAAACCGCCGGATGTGGGACGAGTTATTCATCAACTTCTCGAGGGCAAGAAGAGTGTATCCGAGTTGTCGAACGAGCACGGTGTTCATCCAACGACGATTGGTCGATGGAAGAAGAACTATTTGAGGGCGCGACCATCTGCTTACCTTCTCGACAATGTGAGCGACGGTGAGCAAATAGAAGGCGAAGAGTATTGTATTCGGACTGAGCTGCGCGAGAATTGGCGTGAAACCTCGGAAGATCTGGATGAGAACTCGACCGAGCCTAAACTCCGAGATTTGTTCGAAAAGGAACCAACAGTACCACTAAAGCGGCCCGGAAATTACTTGGTGAGGGCTTCTGAAGCTATAAAGAATCGACCGATCTTACCGAAAAGCTTGACTGGCGCGCTACGCACTAAAAATTGGCTTCGACCCGAGAATCGCCGCACCATCGTGGTGGTAGCCAAAAAACCTCCAACTTCACTACCTCATTATGGCCATGATGCTCCGACAGAACGAGAATTTCTTGACGAATCATCGACGAGTCTGGCATATGAAAGGCCGAGCTCCAGTGGTACCAGTAGGACTAGTTTCGAGCCACACAACCGGATGTTTCGGATCGTCAAGAAGAAGCATGACAGCTCGAAAACAATGTTTGATGCCATGGACGATGTAGATACGATAGCCAGCAGTAATGAAGTTTTGAAGAAGCTCGTGAAGGCAGACTCACCTGACGATCATGTGATTGTGACTGAAGTTGTTAATGAAAAGGAACTAGATCTCTCCCAGATTTTTCAATAAATGATTATTATTTTTTGGTCGGTTTTTGGTCGATTATTTTTATAATGCAGAATTTTAAGTTGATTATAGGTACGAAGTTACAGTTTAACGATTATGGTTCGATTTTTCGAAAATTAGTTTAACCTATGATAATATATTGAGGAAGAATGACTGTTCTTATTTTTGCCATAACTTTTTTCAAATTAAAGATGCCATTTTGAAATTTTAGGTAAGTGTAGGTTGATCTTAGGTCTATTTAGCGTATTATAACGTATTTTACAAATGTACAAAATTTTAAAGTTACAGTACTTTTACCGTACTCTATTTTTTCAAAAAATTTTTTTATTTTTTATTAGTGCCATAACTTTTTTGACCTTTATTATATTGATGTGAAATATTAGTGGGATGTAGACTGATCTTTTATCTACTAAACCTACCTTAGCTCATTCTTTAGCTACTTGGTTTTTCAAAGTTACAGTACTTTTACTGTACCCTATTTTTTCACAATTTTTTTCAATTTTTTGTAATTTTTTGATTTTATATTTAAAATTCCAAAATATTGTTGTATCAAGATTTATTTCAAAGATATTCCATTCAAATGCATTGAAAAACAAATAAAAAGGCAGATTGGTGAAGGTGTTTTGTTGTTTTCAAGATATATTTGGGTCAAACATAGTCGTATGTCAATTCACAGTGCAATATTTTCAAAAATCTTACAGTATGTGACAAGGAAGTTTAGAAAAATGAAAATTTACTTTTCATTTTCATAAGTTTTTGAAAAGTTTTAAGAGCTTTTGCACGGTGCAGTCATTATTTAAGACTTTGCACTGTGCAACCAATTTAAGATTTTGCACCGTGAAAGTTCTAAACATTTTTGGTACAGAAGGTAGGGTAAAATAAGTACATAATTATTTTATCTTGCAATTAACAAGCTTCAAAAAGACATGTACAACATTTTTACAAGGAAAAACATCCAAGAAACCGGGATATTAGACCAGCCAATTTTTGAATCTTAATTTTCGCGGGCTTTTTAAAAACATGTCGTATTGTGTAAGTATGGTCGATAAATGACATAAAAAAGATTGTGTATGTAAATCTGGGGTATTATTTTAAAATTATGTAATATTAGTTCCATTTAAAATTTTTTTTTAAATTTAATTTTGAAAACTTTGCCTAAAGGCAAATTTTTCTGAAATTCACAAAAACAGTTGATTCAAAATGAAAATTTACCATATATCTACATTTTCACAAATTATCATCCATTTTTATTGACCGTTTTTTAAACCACGACAAATTTTTGAAAATCCTTGGCATTTTGTTTCAACTTTAAAAAATCGATAAAAATTTAAAAAGCGGAAAAGAATGCGCCCCGACTGCTATTATACAAGTTGCTGAACAAGTTTTCTTGACGCGGACGACGTGCTGGAGCTGGTGATAACAAAGACAATGAGGCTACATGTCTCCACGGGCTGTAGGTGGCGGAGTTCGAAGCAGAGTAGCGGTAACGGCCGTCCGTGTTTCGGCAGCTGAAATTTCGATTTTTAAAATTTTTTAAAGGTGGTGCAAGGTAAGATACTGCATTGTAGAGTAAATACAACACTTTCTAAGTTCAAGTTAAGATACGATAAAACATACCCTACTGACAACCCACGCCTCTTTGTGTATTCCAACGGTAAAGCGGCCGACTTGGCTCTTTGCCCGTCATCTTCTAGCCTGGAAGTTGCACTGATCGCACTTCGATACGCTGCATGTCGTCGCAATTCATTAGCATATATGTCAGGTACATCCATATCACAGCCATCTACTCTAACCATAGCCACAGTGGCATGACCACGTAGTTTCTTCTCGTACGCAACCATTTGTTTGAAGAACCCGATGTTAGGTCGAATAATTGGTCTTGCCGATTTAACACATGTGTAGGCTTGTGCCAAACTCATTCGCTCGTATTTCATCAAGTATACGATGCACAGTGAAGCTGACCGGCTAACACCAGCCATGCAATGAACTAGTGTTCGACCGCCACGCTCTTTTACTGACCGAATTCGATCAGCTACCATGTCAAAGTAGTGGTCGAGATGAGCGTAGGGTGAGTCGTCGATTCGAATTTTTAAGTAGTCGATACCCGGTAGATAGGCGGCTGGTTCTTCATTCGTTGCATTTACTACACATGTGATCTTTTTCTTCTTCAGGTTCTCCGGTTGTAGGACGCCCGCGCCCGACAAGTATAAATGGTCGTTGATTTCGGAAATTTGGCCGAACAGCCCGATTCTCGACATTTTGTGTAGTACTTTGATTTGTTTTATGTTATAAAGGCGTAGGTATTGAACCTCGAATAACGCTTATTATTTTATTTTAAAGGCGTTGGTGTTCAACGTTGGCTAACGCTGGTACAGACTGTTTTAGCCTTTACGTAGACTGGCTACAGACCAATTGCCAACCTTGAAGTAAGCTAAATGTACGCAGATTGTTTACAAGTTCTGGTTTCTCCTTCTGGAAGTTTTTTTACAACCTTGATTATTTTCTATGGAACCGTTGTCAATCTGGTTTGGTATGTAAGGAAGGTGAAGTATTATTGGGTAATCAATCCTTGTTTTGCCACAAATATAAGTAGAACTGTGTTGCGTTACAGCTGTATGTAGAACTCCAAAATATTGGTTTGAGAAGGCGTAGCACGTAGTATGTTGGGTACTTTAACCACAAGTAGGAGCCTTGATTTAAGACTGAAAGCAAACAATATTAATGTAAATAATGTAGTGTAACAACCACGAGCGTCAGAATTTACAATCGCGTTTCATGTAAATAAAAAAAAACGCTAGAGAACATTGTACAATAGCCTCAGCTTTACTGCGCAATGTGCTCTATCTATACAGTCAAACGTAGCATGACACTAAAGGGGCTTGTCCAAAAACTGTCTTTATTAACTAACAAGGAAAGTACCCTACCTGCCCCGCTCAGAATCAGCTCGAAATTTTTATATGAATTCTTTGTACCACCAATAGTACCCATTAAAAATTTTAGCTCGCGCTTTTGAGTTTTAAATTTAAATTATTTGGGTTTCCCGCCAATTTGGCATTGTGTTTCAAGCACTTTTTTTGGCTTTCCAGACAAGATACGCTTACAAATTTAAAAATGTAGGTTCATTTAAAGGTTATCTACCAGTATATCAAAGAAAAACTATTAAAAGTCAAAAAATGAATGAAAAGCTTGAAACACAATGCCAATTTGGCGGGGAATTCAAAATGTCATTTTTTAATCTCGATTTTCTCGAGATTTCCTGAAAAGCGCGATTTAGTACTTTGCTGAAGACCTTATATTTACATGATCTTTCTTTATAAAAAGTTTGAAGTCAATCAGAGCGGGGCAGGTCGGGCACTTTCCTTGTAAGGTGGGACTCAGGTACTTTTTCATAAGAGTTCGACTAAATACAAAAGACAATCAAAAAGCCATTATTACAAAGAGAGTGTCATACTATCGACGGTCATACTAAAGAGCTTTTCACTGTGTTTTAACCTGCCTATGTATCCTTTTATCAAATTCCCCAAACAAAATCCTTTGAATTAACACTTAACTCTCTCGATGGTATACATTCCCGTATGTATTTGTAAGATGGTTAAAGGTATGCTCAGGGCCGGGCGGGGACTTTTGGTCCGGGGGCAGGGGTCCAAAAAATCGGAACAGCTACCTGTGCCGATTTTTTGCAAATTTTTTTTTCCAAAAAATCCACAGGGGGGACCACGTTCAAATTTTTTTCGAAAATTTTTTTCTGGGGGGGGGGAACCCCACCCCCCCCGTCCCCCCCCTCGCGCCCGGCCCTGAGTATGCTATAGTGAAGAAAAGAAAACTTATAGTGTAGAAAGACCTCCAAAACTGATGTCATTCAAGAACAAACAGTTCAAATTCAAAATGAAAACAAAACTCCAGTTCGAATGTCAACATAGAGGTCTATTTTTTGAAATTTTGCCCTCAAAATTCATAAATTCAAATGTTGCCTAGACAAAAGGCCCCTGCGACATGAATAACATAGAGGGCCGGCGTTCCGAATGCCGTTTTTTAATTAACAAATTCGCTTATTAAAAATTAATTGGAAAGTTTTTGAAATTCTTGTTTTCGACACGCAATTAAATTCTTACAATAATTAAAAATGTTTGCTACTGTAAACAGGCGACAGGAACTTTTTTGTGTAATGTTATTCAACTTCTGCATATTAATGTTGGAGCGGAATTCGAAAGTTGTTTGAACTATATGCCTCAGGGGTCTAAATTTAAAAATTTGAGTTTTTGGGGGGCAAAGTTTAAAAATTTGAAATTATTGAATATTTGATTAAAAACGCAAGAACTTTTTTTACAGAACTTAAAATGGCAAGAACTTTCTTTACAAAACATAAATGGCAAGAACTTTCTTTAGAAAACATAAAATGGCAAGAACTTTCTTTAAAAAGTATAAAATGGCAATAACTTTCCTTACAAATCATAAAATGGCAAAAATTCTTCAGACCACAAACCAATATGACAAATCCACCACAAACTATTTAGAACCCAAAAACTTTCAAAAAAACGCCTATAAAATTGAGCAATTTAACCAAACGCCCCTCAGGGCAAAAAACGAAAAACGACATTTGAAACAGCAAAAAAGAAGGTGACAAAGTGTGCAAATTTAATTTTGGCCACGGCATTTACAAGACTTTGAAGGGTTTCACGCTGCGATAAATGAAGTCGGCGTCATTTTAAACACCTTCTTAGTCTGGAGTTTGTAAAGTAGGGCTAGGTAAGAGCTAAGGCTCTGGGCTAGGGCTCTGGACCTAGGGCTCTGGACTAGGGCTCTAAGCTAGAGCTCTGGGCTGGGTTCTGGGCTGGACTATGTCTCTGGTGTGGGCTAGGGCTCTCGGCTTCGACTCTGGGCTAGGGCTCTGTGCTAGGGCTCTGGGATAGGGCTCTAAGCTAGGGCTCTGGGCTAGGGCTCTGAGCTAAGGCTCTGGGCTACAATTCTAGGGCTAGAGTAGACATTGGGACCGAGCAGGGTTTGAGCAAAATAAGAAGCATCAAATTCAGGCCCGGACAGAGGGACAGGTTTAAAAAGTAGGCCCGGGCCCAAAAAAAAAAGGCCTACAATTTTTTTGATCGGGCCGGGCCTGAATAAAATGAAATACGGGCCTGGTTTAAAATACAAGGTCGGTTTGAGGGCAAGGCCTGAAAAATAAGCCCGGCCTGATACCCATCTCTAGTCTAGAGTTAAGGTTACGGCTAAGGCTAAGGCTAAGCTTAGGGCTACAGTTGAGGACTAGGGCCAAAATAGGCAATATGAGTTATGAAAATATGCTTTTAAAAAAGCACAACGGCTTCAAAAATCATCAAGAGGTTTTATATTACGGAACCAAGTCTCTTGCCAGAGCTATAAATAAGCATATTATTGGCAACCCCTACCCTACCCTACCCTACCCTACCCTACCCTACCCTACCCTACCCTACCCTACCCTACCCTACCCTACCCTACCCTACCTTACCCTACCCTTATATTCACCATCCTTTCCTCTTCAAATGAACTACATTCACTACTGCCACATTACTTTCAAAACCAACGTATAAGCACAATATACTCAATTTAGGAAAGTCTTGTGTCCTTTAATTTCGTCTACTTTAGTATTTACATTCAGTGTTATTTATGTGCACTTGAGGCTGACTTTACTATTAGATGTCTGACAACATACGACCGACTATAAAAGGGCACGTTTCTCGGAAGATACGAAATAGTTGTAGGGATACATTAAAGTTCAGTAATGGATTTTGGGGGAATAAGGTAAAACAGATTAATTTTTTGCTTAAAACGCTATAACTTTCTTTACAAAGCACAAAATGGCAAGAACTTTCTTTACAGATCATGAAATGGCAAAAACTTTCTTTACAAAACTCATTTTACATGACAACCGCAATAACTTTCTTTACAGGACCTAAAATGACATTAAACGTATAACTTTTCCCTTGCGGGCTGCACAGTGCAAAGTTTAATCGTTTTTAGAGAGAACTTTCTTTACAAAAACTTGAATGACAAGAACTTTCTTTACAAATCTTAAAATGGCAGAAACTTTCTTTACAGAGCGTAAAATGACAAGAACTTTCTTTACAGAAATTAAAATGGCAAAAACTTCCTTTACAGAATACAAAATGGCAAGAACTTTCTTTCCAGAATAAGAAATGACAAGAACTTTCTTTACAAACCAAGAAATGACAATACCTTTCCTTCAAAACCAAAATTTTGTAAAAACGCAAAAACATTCTTTCCACCACTAAAAAATACAAAAAATCATTCTTCTAGCCACAAATTGGCTTTGAAATTCAAAAAAAACGGCCAAAACACATTGGATTCCAAGGTGAAAGTCAGAATTTGAAAACAAATTACACTCATTGAAAGCCCTTAGGGCTTCCTGGTCGCTGGTGACGTCCAAAAGGTAAAAACTAATAGAATTGCCAAAAGGGGAACGCTTTTGAAACATTAATAAGGCAGAAACTTTGTTTACAAAAGGCGAAAATGACAGTGAACTTTTGAACCGTAAAAAGGTATTTATTTATGGTAAATGAGAGGAAAAATGGCAAAAACTTTCTTTACAGAGGAAGAAATGGCAAGAACTTTCTTTACAAAACATAAAATGGCAAGAACTTTCTTTACATAGCCTAAAATGGCAATAACTTTCGTTACAGAGCAAGAAATGGCAAAAACTTTCTTTACAAAATAAAAATTAGCAAAAACTTTCTTTACAAATCAAAAAATGGCAAAAACTTTCCTTACAAAGCTTAAAATGGCAAGAACTTTATTTACAAAAAGTGAAATAGCAATAACTTTCTTTACAGGGCTTAAAATCGTAAAGACTTTCTTTACAAATCAAAAAACCGCAATAACCTTCTTTACAACACAGCTTTAGTGCTATATTCAGCATTTACGAGGAACAGATGACTTTTCGCATAAATGACAAAATTTAATTTACACTGTCGCATATCCAAAGTTTGATGTGATTACTCGTCCAATGGTAACTTTGTAAAGCTCAAAGTCAAATTTTAAAGTTAAAAAAGAGATTTTTTCGAAAAATGTCAAGAACTTTCTTTACAAAACAGAAAATAGCAAGAACTTTCTTTACAAAACATAAAATGGCAAGAACTTTCTTTACAAATTAAAAAACCGCAAGAACTTTCTTTACAAACTATAAAATTGCAATAACTTTCTTTACAGATAAAAAAACCGCAAGAACTTTCTTTACAAAGTATAAAATAGCAAGAACTTTCTTTAC